ATGTGGAGTAAGGAAACTTGCCCAAGGTTTCGCCTGGCAGGGGAATCGAACCCAGGTCTCTCGCTTGCGAGGCGAGCACTCTAACCACTGAGCTACAGGACTCACATGTGACCAGTTGCAGAGTCTCTATGGCCCAACCTGGCTGAGATCATGAAACTTAATAGACTTGAGATTGAGCGTGGAACTCAGTTCAGGTGGTGGGCTAACAAAATAATAATCCTTGCGTTTGATATAGCACCTTAACACATCTCAATTCACAGGTGTTTACTGTGAAGTGTATTTGCAGGTGAACACAGCAGCCAATTTGTGCAGAGCCATGTCAACAAGGATAGCCATGAAGTGAATGAACCTTTTTTTGGTACCCGGGGGAATTGTTGGCCAAGACACCAGGAGAAACTCCCTTCTTGTTTCGAAAGAGCAACGCTATGTCCACCTTAACCAGTCCAAAGGGATTTGGTTTAACTTCTCAATCAGGGCTCCACCAATACCGCACTAGAGGGTCAGCCTGGACTTCTGATTTTCACTGAATTTAAACTGGAGTAATTCCGATGTTAAATTCTTTTTCTCCTATTTTTTGAAGGAATACATAAAATAGACCAAAATACCCAGGTATTTGCTTTCTGCATTAAATACCTACTTTAATAATAAAGGGAAAAAAATAGATGCAGCCAATCTAAACATTCCCCCAAAAGGTTTCTTTGCAAAACATGTTCAAATCTTATTTTTGCACAGCAACTTGCAATCTTGCAGATTCCATCCCTTCGAAACCCACTTTCAGACATCACTGCTCTGCACAAAGCAACGTGGCAGAGAAGGAAAAAAAAAATGGGAGTCAATTGTGCAATGCCTATTTTAATTAACTTCTCCTGGCCCTTGAACTCTACAACTTATAGAGCTCAATGCTTCTTTTCTTCCACAGTTCTTTTTAAAAACGTTGGCTTTGCTAATTCAGTCATTGCTACTTACAGACACATGCTCTCCTTCTGACCTGTTTGGAAAGCAAGGCTGCTTTGTCTCATTGTTTCAGTAACTCGATTGAGTGGAAAAACCCATCAATTTACACTGAACAACACAACGCTTATAGAGAGCGGCGTGCATTGCTGTTTGGCCTCTTCTCATTGACTTCGCTATCCATCCACCAAACCCTCCAGAACATGCCCTTCACATGGGGTCGTTAAAACATGTTTTTTTAAAAAATCCCTTTTTGCGCTCCAGTTTATTCCCTCTCCCTTAAAGTCATCTCAAAAAGAATTCCATTCCTACCTCTCATCTTGCTTTATTGCCCATCTCCACTTCCAATGGACTATTGCAATGCCCCCTCGCTGGTCTCCTCAGTTCCACCACACTCAAAATTCAATTAATTCAAGAACTCCTCCGCCCGGATTCTCACCCGGAAAACTCTGTACCCCCATCACACCGGTCCTTGCCAGGCTCCACTGGCTCCCAATTACGGAACGGATCGATTTCAAGATCCTCTCGCTCGCTTTCCAATCCCTTTGTGCCCTCGCATTTCTCTACCGCTCCGATCTGCTTACCCCCCACCCGCTGCCTCCGCTCGGCTGGCTCCAACCTCCTGTTTGTCCCTCATCTCCTCCTCTCCACCATCGGTGGCCGTGCCTTCAGCCGCTACGGCCCAAAACTCTTGTAACTCTCTCCCTCAATCGCTCCGCCCCCACTTTCAAATCCTCGTAAAGACCTTCCTTTTTGATCGTGCTTAGGGTCACCTTCCAATTCCCTCTACCCGTGGCTCGGGTCAGAACCTACCACTGTCGAGCGCTCCAGGACACGGCCCCATGTGAAGGGCGCTATATAAATACAAGTTGTGGTGGTTGTTGTTGTTGTAAATGCTAAGCACAATGAGGCAGCTGCTCATGGTAGTTTGCTTCACACTTTGTGTAGAGAAATAACCACTTATTATCTCTGTTTAAATTCATTTTATGGAAATCTCTTACAGCATCCACAGCCGATTCTTGTGAGACTCTAGAACTTTTGTGTTGGAACTTGAGTCACTCCTCGCTCCACCTCTGTGACCCCTTTATCAACCTGTCCACATTTCCGCACCCGGTCCAACCCCACCATTGGCAGTCTGGCCTTCAGCCTCTCTGCCCCTCAACGCCATCCCACATTCCCTTCGCCGGGCTCCCTCCCTTGCCTCGTTCAAGGCAGGTAACAAGACCCTCCTCTTCGACCACGCCTTCCGCCATCCTCCTACCTTCCCTTATCCCAACCGCTCCCCCCATCCCCCAGCTTGTGTCCAAATCAGTGACTGTCCAGCGCCTTGGGACATCCTCCCGACGTGTAAATGTAATTTTGCATTGCATTGTATCGACACGACAACTGCCTCACAGCAACTCGTTGAACTGTGCTGCACGTCTGCTTCTAACTCGGTGGAAAAACAATCTCCTGTGTGTTGGAGAGCTGCATTTCTCAATATAAAAATACACGGTTGATTCGCCTGCAGCCAGGGTTCCTTCGAGAGAAAATTTCCGCTCGTGTCTCGGTCATCGTTCCTTTGGGGATTGGCTCTTAACTTACCCTTCAGCAGTTTATTTATTCTAAGTACATCACCTCCCCCAACTGGTACAACATGGCAACTACAGTCTCTGCACGGATTGCGCAGAATAACAAACTCCAAATAATTCGGGAAACATTTTGAGTATTTTACTAGAAAATAGAAATGCAGAGCGATGGCTTTGGTTCAATGTGTGCGTTTGCGGTTGAACTGGCAAAACCCAAATGAGAAACACCATCCTTGGCGTTCCTCAATTTTTGTTGAGGAACGGCAAAAGATATTTTTGCGTGGACTTTTTTTTGCAGCTGCAATAATTTAAGTTGTTGAAAATGCTGAACGTACTGGCAGACGTTTACTGAACGGCCCGCGATTTCGAGAAGCTCAAGGATGTCCGTCACCATTCGTTGGAGATGCAAATTCTCGCTAATGGACAGCAACACGACTTCCTCAGGGCGTATCCCTGGGAATGGGAAGTGGGGGATGGAGATGGGGGGGGGGGGGGGTGGGGGGTGGCAATTAGCAATTTAACCAGTCATGAGTTGTGGGACGTGCCACTTGCCAACTGCCCACTCGACATCCCGGTGCTGACAGCCTCAGGAGGCAAACTCAGTGGTCTGTCGTAACACGCTACAGGTTCAGGCTCAATGTAGGGTGTTGGTGATATAACACTGGCATTCTTCGAACCCTCAGCTCAAAGCAAACTGCCAGAATCACGACAAATTCCTCCAGTCTCCATGAAGGAGAGCGTCAAGACAGCTACTCAATTTAACACCTCCAGTAAAGGTTGGCACCTCTTTGCAATGCAGTGTTCCTGCATCAAAGCATCAGGGCAGACAAGGAATTCAAAGCCCCCAAATGGATCTGGAACCCACAACTTCCTGACTCGGAGACGAGAGTGCTGCTGACTCAGCCAGGTTGCTGAAACTGTCGAGTCTCCTTGTGTTTGGCTGAGGACGTGAAGCTCATGTCGTTACACGACTATGTGCCCAACCGTTAACCTCAGCACCATTTTACACACACACAAAAAAAATAACTTTACTCAAGAGCTTTGAGACGTTTTTATATGCATTTCTTTTCAGTCCTGGAAACTTTGAGGCGCTTTGAGGTTTCAAACAACAACAATGAGAACCGTAACAATTGAGGAATTCGCATGATTTACACATAAAACAAGAGACTCAAGAGTGTGTTTACAAGATCACAAGATTGGTTCAGATAAAGAAGGTCCTTTCGCCCATTTGATCTCACCCACTCATCACACCAACCACCTTTTCATTTAAAAAAAACAAAATTAACTCTCTATCCTGGCCTCAAGGAACCTTCTTGGCAACCTGATCCAGTCATTAAGTTGCAATATTTTCTGGTAGATCTTACAATAGTCTTACTGAGGGTTTCAGATGACTACAGGAGCAACGCGAGAGCTGTTTATAATTATACTTTGAACCCTGAGCTGAGATTACCGCCTTGAAATCATTCCAGGTCATCAATTATTTTCATTCGATATCCGTCAAGCGGTCTTAGCTGTTGTTATTCCATTCAAAGTCGCTTTGTCAACAGCTAGTGCAGCTCCAAGTCACTGATGGATAGCAAAGATCACACCCCAGGACAGATATCATTGCTTCGAGACTCTTGTGTAATAACCAACACCTTATAACATGAAGCCAGCGCAAAGCGATCTGCATCATTGCTGCTTGCTGCAACACTGATTTTAATTCAAAAACAAAAGATTTCTTCTCCGAACACCTCCACTTACCCAAAAGGACACGTGAGGAGCTTTGAGTTGTGGTCCTGATGCGAAAGGCGTTACACAAGCGTAAAATTGCTGTTGCTGATGAACATACCAACAACCAAACAGAATATGCCCTGACACCACCCTCAAATATAGTCCACATGATGGACCTCTCTCACACGCTCAGCGGTTTTCCTACTGGAGCAGAGATCTGGGTGAAGCCTGGAGCCTCCCATTGGGGTTTGCCATCACCGAAGCCACGACATTAACTCGGCTCGCCACGAAGCAGCTGACGTCTCTGAAACATGGGATAACGAGACGGTGTAGAGCGGAGACGGGCAAACAAAGGACATTCAGATATCAAAGGCCACACAGCAACAGCACAATTACACTCGAGCAAGAGGACATGGGTTTAATATAATAATAAGCCTTGCATTTGATATAGCACTTTATCAAGCTTTCAAAACGTCTTGAAGCACTTCACAGAATATAGTGTAAAGTCACTGTATATTTTGTGGGTGAAAGGGCTGTAAAGGGCTAATATCAGAACAGACACCAGGAAATTTTTCCTTCGCCAGAAGTTAATTAATTAATGGTTGCCAGGAAGGGAAGTTGAGAAGACTACGACACTGGATTGATTCATTTATATATCTATATAAAAAAAAGCTCAATGCTGTAATGTGAAGATGGAGCCATGAGGTCAGATGGGCCAAAGGGGCCTTCTTCATCCGAACCGATCTGGTTACCTTACCCATTGCGACTTGCGACGTTCCACAGACTTCATCTGGATGTAGGACAGCGGCTGGAGGTGATGCTCCATTCTCACTGTGAAGAGGACAAAGCTTGTGTGAACGTTAAGAAGCGAAATCACCGATCACCATGTCAACAATTCCAGCTTCCCACTCGAGAGGCCTGAAAAGCATCCTCGGTCAGGCTGACTGATACTGCAGCACATCAGGAGATCAAACACGAGCATGAGGGAGAGAGGAAAAAGAAGAGACGTTTTCAAAATAATCACGATTCTGTTCTCGCTGAAATCATGTACGAGAAGGAAAGAGACCCAGACTGCAAAACCTTGAAAGGGTCTTTTCAGCCGCAGAAGCCAAATCGCACTCAATGCACAAACTAAAGAAGTTGAGGTAAATTGATAATCCTCGCATTTGATACGAATCACATCGGGTGGACATCTCAAAGTGCTTCACGGGATTTACTGTAAAGTGTAGCGACGGGGCATTTTGTCGGTGAAAAAAAATATATATCGATGGCAATGAATAATCGGTCAGCAGGTTGGGGAAAAAAGGGATCTTATAATGGGAACAAAATATCTTTATTCGAAACTGAATGTCTACAATCAGCAATAATATGGCTTAAACCGTGTGCTGCTTCTTACACTGATCACGGAGGAAGGTCCTGTAGTTCTGACCTTTATAATACGTGCCCCCGAGAACATTCAAAGGTTGTCCCCTCCAGTGGACAGGGAGAAGCGGTTTGGTATTTCTGAATCGATTTGAAAACGCGTGGACCTGCGTTCGGATGCAGAGGCCGCATTCTGGCCAGGATTGGGCAGAACCGACACCGATCGTCTCAGTGGCTTCCCACCTCGCCGTGCTGTGCAGTTTACACCCATCCCTACGGCCAGCTCTGGAACATAAGGAAAAGAGGTTCATTATTGCACCCATTCAGCTCAGATCTTAAAAAAAAATAATAATTTGGTGACTCAATCCACGATTGTTTGTGGGACATTGCTGTGTGCACTTGGCTGCCACGTTTGGCCCAAAAACCACGCAGTAAATTCACTTTACAGTATATTCTGTGAAGCGCTTTGCGAATACGTGATAAGGCGTTATATCAAATGCAAGGATTATTATTATTATTAGCATCAATTTAATAGGAGTTTGATGGGGTTGTTCAATGAAATCACAGGTGATAGCACTCTCGCCTTCGAGTTAGAAGGTTCAAGCCCACAGTCTAAGCTGATAGTCCAGTGCAGTTCGGGTGTGAGGGAAGTACTGTATGATCTGAGAGGCCACTCTTCGGATTAGACATGTAGTCATGTCCTGTCGGTCTGCATATGCGGATGTTAAGGATCCCTTAGCACTATTCGAAAAGCGAAGGGTGTTTCTCTTGGTGTCCCGACCATCAATCATCCAGATAAAATCGATCATTCAAGTGGCTGATTGCGGGATAATGCTGTGGGCAAACTGGCTGTCGTGGTCACCTACAGATACAGTCACTCCACTCTACATTAAAATCCTGTAAAGCACTTTGAGATGTTTCGAAGATGTAACGAGGTGCTACAGCAAACGCAAGGACCATTACCTTTCGTGGGTTCTGGTCTGTCCCGATGACACAGGTCTTGCCAATTGCCACAGAATGAGGTTGAGTTTGTGGTCGACTGTAATCTCTTTGTGCTAAATTATGGCGAGAGAGAGAGAGAGAGAGAGAGAGAGACACGTTCAAGCAAGATCTGCAAAGGCAGCGATCATCACATATACATTTTCAAGATGGAGGTAGATAAATATTTGTTAGGTCGGGGTATCAAGGGATATGGGGCAAGGGCAGGTAACTGGACTTGAGGTACAGGTCAGCTATGATCTTATAAAATGGCGAAACAGGCTCGAGGGGCTGAATAGCCTACCCTGTTTCTATGACCATGTTTCGATGCATCTATGTATGTGTCCTGGCTCAGGGCTGACATGCACGTCTCATGTACAGAGGCAAACACCGTGGTAGTAAATTACAACAGATCAGGGCTGACCTATTAATGCGTGTGAAGACCAGCAACTTAAGACTGCCTCGACACTGTGCTTTTACTGTAAATGGAAAGCAATCATGGTAAGAAATCACACCTAATTGTTGGTTCGCTGGCTGATCAGGGCATTGCTGACTAGGGGTTACTTGCTCCCAGTCTCTGAACAATTCTCACCACCACCCACTCACACACCCACCCACACACAAACAAACAAACAAACAATTATTACCTGCTCATCCTCCTGTTGAGCTTCGGTAACAAAGGGCGTTTACTGACAGGCACGAAATCTACAGGAGGAAACGAGGAGAAAATGTTCGAAATGTGAGAATCTGTACTCTTCAGCATCCGACACCTTCTGAAAACATGCAGTTTCCTCTCTGCATCTTTCAAAGAGCAAGTTTTACATCACTGATATTGCTCTGGTGTCTACCCCCGCTGTACACTCCGATTGTAAAGATATAAAGAGTTTCTGCACGAACACAGTTCTCAGGAGTTTACCTGCAATAGCAATGTGTCTCTGCAGTCTGTCACCCCCCTCTTTGACGGACTGCGTAGGCGTGTTTCGGTCGAGGTGGGCACAACCTGCTCTCGCGATCGGCACAGCTTGAAACCAACAATAAGAGTGATCCTGGGATGTCTCCGGCTGCTGTACAGTGTCTCTAAGAACAAAAAAAAGCTTGAGAAAGTCCTCAGAATCCATCCTCACGGGGATAGCGCCTGCAGTCCATTCCAATCCACACCAAGTCTAAGCTGACACTCCAATGTTGTGCTGGGGGGGTGGGGGGGAGTGTTGCACTGTCAGAAGTGCCGCCCTCCGAATGAGACGTTAAACCGAGGTCCTGTCTGTCTGTGCAGGTGAGCGTTAAAATCTCGAGGCACTATTCATCCTCACCTACAATCCCCAAGTTTTTTTAAAAAAAAGGTCACTCGCTCCATGGCTGGCTGTGGGGTGACCTCTGTGGCTGCCGTGTTTCACCCACAAAATACAGTCAATCCATTTTACAGTATATAACAACAACAATAATAATCCTTGCATTTGATGTAGCGCTTTTCACGTCTTGGAGACGTCTCAAAGCGCTTCACAGAATACGCTGGAAAGTGAATTGACCGTATATTTGTGGGCGAAACGCGGCAGCCGATTGCGCACAGCAGCGTCCCCACAAACAGTCGTGGATTGAAAATGACCAATTTATTATGGTTTTGTTTTAAACAATACTGTGTATCCAGTGAAGCGCTTTGAGACGATGCGATAAGGCGCTGTATCAAATGCAAGGATTATTATTAACACACACACACACAAGATTAGTGTATCTCCAGCTTCTTTTTCTTTGGGAACCTCCACTTACTTTTTACACCTCAGAACCTTTCGTTTCGGAGACCACTCAGCCCTGTTCCTCCACCAATCTCTCCGCACCAGTTGGGTCTCGGCTTTGGCACACCCCTCCGGGACCAAAGCGGGTTTGAGCACTTGAAGCTGCGCGTTTATATCGTAGATCTCGCCGCACATCACCACCCGGGCAGCTCGAGCACAGCTCAGGATGTTCCTCACTCTCTGCGACCGGCTCTGCTTCTCGAGACGAGCAGAAGCATCGCATGAGGTCTTCAATTGAGGTTTGGTGTCCTTTCCCTGCAGGGACAGCTGGCTGCCATCCATTGCTCTTACAGTGGGTAGAACAGCCTGGTCCAAAACACATCGCAACAACAGCCATAACTTACATTTCTGTTAAGATAACATCCGAGCGCTTCACGGTGACAGGGTTGGGCGCCAACCGAGGAGGAAGGGTAAAGGGGGAGAGGAACTGTGTTGCTGGCACTATGGATGGATCTTTGTGTTATTTTCAATGGGTTCTCCATTGCTCGCATTAAATCCAGACAAAAACTGGTTCAAAATCTAATCTCCAGGATGTGAATTCAGACACGGGTTCAGGTCAGCGAATCGTTACCTTGGTCTCTAAATTCTCCCGGCTGTTTTCATTCAGAGAGGCGCCCACACACTGCCTGGCATCTGCCATCTTTGGATCCTGGATCAAAGTCGCATTAGGTTTCACTGCCTGGAGACAGACGTGGGTAGTGGTACATAATTAACAGCCAGTTAGAAGCAAAACACTATTATTTCAGCACACGTGATAATAATAACCCTTGCGTTTGATATCGCGCCTCATCACATCGTTGAGACATCTCAAAGCGCTTCACAGAATATACTGTGAAGTGGGGTGACTGTATATTTTGAGGGCGAATTGGACCCAAACAATCCTGGCCAACCGTTCCGCAGATGAAATTGGTCATTCGTTTCCATGGCCATTTGGGGGACGTTACTGTGCGCACATTGGTTGCCACTTTCGCCTACAAATTCACTGTTTCGCCTACAGTCACTGAGCTCGACAGAAAATCCTGTGAGGTGTGTCGATGACGTGATAAGTCTCTAGATCAAAAGGCAAGGATTAAACTATTATTATCACAACGCCATTTGGGGTAAGACCATTAAGAAGCAGGTACTGTTTTTGCATTAGGTATTAGCCTGAATGGTACTTTCTGAGTCACGTGGTTGTAACATTGACTTAGAATTGCTGACGACTTTGACTCCGGGTTTTAGACAATACAAAGAGGCTGAATACAATGGCGTGATGATATCTCGCCCAGCTGGCCTAACGCACTCACAGTGTTATCAAAATGATTTTTCATTCATGCCATTTGCTTGGACTACAATGTTGGCAAAAAATTCACCGCTTCGCACCTCAGGAGATAAGAACTCGTTGCAGTCTGATGAGAACTCGCTGGAATCCGTCAATGAAGACCTCAGCGAAACCCTCCTGTGTAAAGTGAAAGCAAAGCTCACATTCGTTTGAAGTACATTATTTGCTTGATCGGGACTTCAGTTTTACTCTGGTGTTTTTTTTTTAATCACTTCAATTGACAACAAACAAAACGGCAGGAAATAATAATGTAGGCACACACAGGGCTCAAAAAACATTCGGTACCTCAAGTCACTTCTATAAATTTTAGAATCAAGGACATTACTTGCGTTGTGTGGCTGGACTGGGCATTGTGTCATTTTCACACTGTTTGTGGGTGCCTTTCTGAGCTCCCTTGGTGAGCATCAGAGAAGCTTTTGACCCTTTGAATGGATACTGCTCTCTCTGAACGCACACTTGGGTTTTGGACCTCCTGAGTCTCTCTCTCGCTTCAGCAGGTCCTTTGGTCGAGGTCAAAGGCAGCGAGTGGTTTGTCCGTGAAAAGGAATAAAAGTATCTGCAAATAAAGCAGAAGGCTATGAAGGTATCTCACATTTTACGTTACTCAGCACTCCTTATCGTGTTGTTTTCCTCCAGAGTCAAGTACATCAGTGTGCAATGAACAATATTATCTGTGCATTTTATATAGTGCCTTATCATGTCGTCGGGGCATCTCAAAGCATTTCACAGAATATTACAATGACTGTGTATTCTGTAAGGCAAACGTGAGAGTCAAGTTGCACACAACTAATATTCTACAAATAGACATGAAGCGAATGATTGATTTTATCTGGTGGGGTTGTTGGCCAGCACAAGATATTCCCTCAAACCTTTCCCATGTCCGCTGGTGAGCGATAAACAGGATAGAGGAGAAGGAAGGATTGAATCGTTGGCTGGCAAAGCAGCAGGAAAAGAAAATGTATTATTTTAAAATGAGTCCCCCCAAAAATAGCTTGCGGTGAATCGAAAGTAATGGATTCCTTTTTTTGTGGTGGCTTTAACAAAACCGGGTCAAATTCGCAAATTATTCCGCGAGTTGCAAGTCCCAATTCGATTGTAGCTTTCAAAAGGGAATCGAATAGGTACTCGAAAAGGGGGGAAAAAAACTGTGCAGGACTCTGGTAAGAGCGGAGGGAGTGTGAGAGCTCCTTCAAAGAGCCGGCACAGGCCTGGGCACGATGGGTCGAATGGCCTCCTCCTGTGCCGTAAAATAATAATTAACTGCATTTGACACAGTGCCTGATCACGTCTTCGAGACGTCCCAAAGCCGCTTCACAGGACATAGCATTAAGCGAACTGACGCGGCAGCCAATTGCACCAGACAGCGTCCCCCACAAACAGTCGTGGGTTGAAGTGGGGGCGGGGGGCGGTTTTTCCCCCCCCCACCGCCCTTGATTGATTCCAAGTCGCACGTCTCACCTGCTCGTCTTTCCGTACTCGTCCTTGGCCGTTTTCTTGGTCACCGTCCGGCTCTGGGACCTGCCTTCGCTGGTGATGGCGCTGACGGAGCAGGAGTGCTCGGTGTTGGCCGCCAGGCGCCTGGCAGTGAAGGAGCGCTCGGGCCCCATGTAAACCACCTGCCCGTTCAGGCACAGCTCGAAGTTGAAGAGCCTGCCCAGCGGCACCTGAGGCACATCCCAGGTGATAAACATCTCGTTCCTCCCCAGCACAGTGACCGCCAGCTTGCTGGGTGCGTGGTCACCCGGGCAATCCGTGCGAGCGCTCAGCAGGGCTCGCTCCCCCCGCCCTCGGCTGGTGACGGCGCACACCCCGAACTCGTAGCTGGTGGAGGGGGTCAGGCCGCTCACGATGCACGTCAGCTGTGAGGTGGTTTCGATGGCCTGCTCGCCCTTCTGCACCAGGTAATACTTGATGACTCCGTTGGACTGGGCTGGCGGGTTCCAGCCCAGCTTGACCTGGGTTGGGGTGCAACCCACCAGCCGCAAGCGGAGAGGTTGACTCGATACCGACCCCACCGCGGTAAACGCGGTCACATCGCTGCAATGGCCGGCATCCCCCTCGGTGGAAACGTGAAGTCTGAAGGCGTACTTTTCGCCACGCTTCACGTCCGACAGCAGGCAGTCTCTGCCGGAGCCCTCGTACAACACTTGGTCTCCATTCAACAGCCTGAAATCACAGCGAGAGTTGAGGACTGATTGACCGGCTGAGCGGATACGTCTCTCAATGTCAAACAAGCTGTAGGCATTCGTGGCCAGGGCTCCTACAGTTACCCACGCATGCTTAGTCGGTTACGTTAGCTCAGTTACACCGCAAGGGGTTGAGAGCAGATAGTCCGACTGGAATTGTACTACGTCACAGGAGGGAGTTCCTTCAAGACATCGCAAAGCGCGGTATACAATAAGCAAGAACCCTGTTGTTAGTCAATTGACAGATCGCTTTTCAGGGGGTGACAATCCACGACTGTATGTGGGGACGCTGCTGTGCGCAACTGCCTTCCGCGTTTCACCCACGAAATACGCACAATCAACTCACTTATTAGGTATATTCTGTGAAGCGCTTTGAGACGTCTCAAAGACGCGATCAGGCGCTGTGTCAAATGCAAGGATTATTATTATTATTATTGTGCTGTAAAGTGGACTGACCGTGCAATTTTTTGGGCCAAACCACACGAGGCGCTTTCTCACCTGTACGTGATCTCCAGGCCGCTCTCGGGCACGACCTTGCTCCAGGTGATCCTGATCGAGTTCGTGTTCGGCACTTCTGCCCGAGGAGGCGTTGGCTTGGAGAGAGGCAGCAGTTTTCTCAAGGTGACGTTCACTTCCTCCAGGAGGTCCTTCCCAGCAGTTAGCGAACAGGCCACAGTCTGTTCATTTGGGACACAAGTTGAAATAATCTCACTTTATGAATGGTGTCGTGGTCAAGGAGCTGAGTTTACACATTTGCACTCTCATGTTCCAGTTCTGCTCGACTCACACACAGATCCTACAAATTATAAGCCCTACATAATACTGTCATTTCGCCCACAAAATACATTGTCAATTCACTTCACAGTGTATCCCGTAAAGCACTTTGAGATGTCTCAAAGACGTGATAGGGGGCTGTATCAGATGCAAGGATTATTATTACGACATCGGGACCTTTGAGGTTTTGGTTCGTACCGGCTGGAAATCCAGTGCAATGCTGGGGCCACCCTGTATTGTCACAAGTGCCATTCTTTGGACCAGGCGTTAAACCAAGATCGGAAGGTTAGCAAGTGGAATGTAATCTTCCACCGTAGCGTCAGCCTGGACTATGAGCTCAAAACTGCTTACCTTTAAAAGTGCCGTTAGCTTCGGGTGCGCTCGAAGTTTGACAACCCCGCTTGGTTGGCTGGCTAACACTTTCAGCGTCCTGCGGAAGAGAATACAAAGTAAACACCGAAACGCAAGGAAATTGCCTTACGGACACTTGCGGGCTTAAGAGTTCCAGGTATGCATTTGGTAGACCTTTTCAAAAAAAAAAATCAACGCCTAGAGAAGCAAAGCAATTGGGTGGTTTTAATGGATGAAACAGTCCAGATTGTTTTATGTTAGAAGAATGCTTTCAATTTCCCAGAGGTCTTTTATGATTACACATTGTCAACCTAGGCCTTTAATTGCTCAAATGTATGGAGTACATTAATAACAACAAAAGGAACCACACTTCGCTGGCAGGTTAAAGATTTAATGCGAATGCAATCAGCATGCCACACCAGTCAGTCACACTGAATCATCAAAGTCCCACAGTCATCATACGCTTAATGGATTGGCAATCTCTTTTAAACCACCGCATCATAGGAAAGTACTTACTGACTGCCGCACGCTGCTGTCTGATGCAGAAAATGCTGCGCTTTGAACGTTTCAACGCACACCTTTACATATTCTGCATTGAGTTGTCAGGCAAAAAAATAAACGAATTAAAATAAAAGGACGTCACTTTCAGAGGCCCTGCAACTGCTTCGTGGGCTGAACGAAATGGCAGCCCCCAGGCTCACAATGGCCCGATGCACTCAGCCACACAGCTCAGGAAAGGTGATTCGTGATGTGTGGCTCTCGGCTGAAGGAGTGGTTCAAGTGTCCTTAGGTTTTGAGCTAGGGAAGTGGGGGTTGGTGGGGTGGCTGGGGGGAATCTGTCAGCTGTCACAAGCTCAATTTGAGCTCAGCGTGTATGCGTGCCAACCGTGGGTGAGAATAGGATGATCCTCGACTGTGAACGTCCTCAAATAGGCTGCCTACGGCACTGTCCAGGCTCACCCACAAAGAATTTGAGCAAGGATCAAGAGGGCTGCGTCAGCTCATTCAAGTGTTTTCAGGAGAGAAGGGGGTAGAAATAATAATAATAATCCTTTCATATTGCACTTCATTACGTCTTCGAGACGTCTCAAAGCGCTTCACAGAATATACTGTGAAGTGAATTGACTGTATATTTTTGTGGGTGAAACGCGGCAGCCAATTGCGCACAGCAGCGTCCCCGCAAACAGTCGTGGATTGAAGTGACCAATTTCGTATCAGTATTTTTTTTTAGGGGAGGGATTATTACTGCCGGAAAAATGATCAACTAAGAACCGAGTTCCTACTTACTGCTGGGTAAACAGAGGCATGTGGAGTGAGGAAACCTGCCCAACATTTCGCCCTGGCCCGGGAATCGAACCCAAGTCCTCTCGCTTGGGAGGCAAGCTCTCTAACCACTGAGCTAAGTCACGTACATGGCGGCAAACCAGGCCGACTCCTGCTCCTCGGACTCCACGAGGCCACACAGAGTATCTAATACCTCTGGGAAGACCTGGTTTGTCAGAATGTGACTGTGTCCCTCTCTGTCTGTCGCCAGGCAGCTCAACGCAAAGCAAGCGTTTCTGCTTCCGCCTGTATCTCCGCTCGCCATCATCTTCTCCAACGTTTCGATCTGGGAAAAAAATAAAAGGAGAAGAGAGCGAGCAGCGACTCAGGTCAAACCTCACCCGGTCAGATCACAAGATTCATTGGATAGAACGACATATAGAAATCTCCGGCGCCTTTGGACGTCCTTGGGACGTTACATAAAAATGTTGGATCGTGTCTGTGCTGGCTCTCTCAAGAGCAATCCTTTCATTCCCGTTCACCCGGCGCTTCTGCTCGACTGGCACCGGACTCCTGCCCGTCCCACGCACCCTCCGCCCCACCACGGGAGGTCGTGCTTTCGGCCACTGCGCCCCGAAACGCTCTCCCTCATTCTTCCGCCTCGCCACCCCCTCTCTCCCCTCATTCAAGCCCCGCCTGAAAATTTAAGTCCACCTCCCACCCTCCCCCCAGCTCAGAGTCAGGCTCCACCACTGTTAAGCGCTCTGAGATGCTACTCTGCGTGGAGGGCGCTATATAAGTGCAAGTTGTTGTTGTGGTGGTTATAAGGCTCTATTGACTGCTTCGAGACAATTCAACAAGGTGATAAGGCACGACTTACGGATGCAAGGATTATACTTATGACAGCAAATCCGGAAGCAAACCTTTCAATTCCTACTTCAACACATCTGTACTGATTTCACTTTTACTTGGGATTCTACCGTTTGCCAAAACCCAGTTGTGGTTTAGGAACCTTTTGAGTCGTTCGCACCAGTGACACTGGGCAAAGCTCAGACACAGAGACGCTCCATGACTGGTTAATTAGTCAAGTGGTTGGTAAATAATAGTCTGTTTTCCCAAGCAGCGCTGCACAACCGATAAAGCCATCACAACAAAAAGCAGTCGCTTGGCAACAGCGCGAAGAGAATCACTCTAATTCAAGCAATTTTTTTTTAAAATATAAAATCTATTTTAATTTGAAGCTTAATATAGGTTGCAGTAAATTAAAGGCAATTACATTAAAGTTAAGTTAAGCAGATTCTGGGGAATCAGAAAGATTGGTCCCAACTCCCCCCCAGACTCTGACGTGATGTGAAATACATAATTGATAAAGTACCTTCCAACGCACACAGGATTAAAAAAAAAGGTTGACACACAAAAGAAAAAATCAGACAATGCTCAGCTTGTCAGACACGATGCAGCACGTAAGGTGCACTCTTTACATGCTCAAATGACATTTGTAAGCAGATCCAAGTGCGTATTAACGAAGGAACACAGGAAGACAGACACTCTTGGGTGGTGAATTAATGTCCTGCTCGCTTCACACTTAGCTATGAGCGTGTGAAAGGGAATTCACAGGCAGATTTGGGCAAAACGGTCACACCAACACAAATAAGCTGGAGTCTGTTCCACAACACTGCACTCTCGAAAACATCACAAAAAGCCTCCCGTTTCAGCAGATAAGGGACGATTGGATCGGGGCCAAGAATAAAGCGTATTCTGAGCAGATAACTGCACAGGAGTCTGGCCGATGGGGAACCTGAAAGCGTTGAAGAACCTTTCATCATTCAATGAAAACCTCAGACAAATTGTGGCTTCATCGCGTGGGTGTGCATCTCGGGCCTTCCTTACAGCTCACAAACGCGCAACTCACCGCGATTGGTGCCTCTTTCATGTTCAGTATCCGCTTGCGCCCGATGTCCAGGTCACAGAATCTCCCGAGCGCGAAGGCAGCGTGCATTCCACAGCCTGCAGGAAGACAGCAGAGACTTGTAACATGGGTTGCGTCAACAAATCGCATTCATATACCGTCCTTCACATCAGAAGGACGCCCCAAGGCACTGGACAGCGAAAGCTTTGCAATCTGAGAGCTGAAGTTGGGAATCAAGAGCGGTGGGGGTGGGAGGATAACCGAAGGCGAGGTCAAAGAGGCAAGTTAGTGGGTGGAGAGAAGGGATTCTGGGATGGAGTTCAGAGGGTGGGGGCAGTAAGGGCAAAGGCACTACAAACGTATTGCTTGTAACAGCTATCATTCCAGGAGTGGCAAAACAATTCATCTTAAACCCATGTTTTCCTGCACATTTTCAGGAGGAGTCCGTTCCACCACACTGCACTCTCGAAAACATCACAAAAAGCCTGGCTCAGCTGTTTGCACTTGTCTCTCCGAGTCAGAAGACCGTGGGTTCAAACCCCATGTCGGGACTTTGAACTCATCGTCGAGGCTGACACGCAAATGCTGCGCTGGATGTGTGCAGCAACCTTGGAGATACAGTCCTATGGATGAGAGGTTAAGGTAAGGTCCCATCTGCCTGTTCAGGTTTTGTGGGACACTGTGGTGGGAAAATTGGCTGCCGAGTTCGCCTGCAAGGTGCACCATTTACAGTGAATCCGGTCAACTGCTTTGAGATGTTCGAACCACATTATAAGGCGCTATACCAAATGCAAGGTTTATTAATCCAATGGTCTGTGTGAACCATTGTAACAGACAGTTCCACTGGAATACAAAACATCTTCGGTTGCATGAAATTGATCACGAGTTGTGAACATAATCTAAACAAAGAAGCTTTAACAGATGATAGAAAGAGCTTGCAGGATGGATTCGCGATATTACTCCTTTTAGTACACGAATAAAAAGAATATTGTCTCAGGAAACCACACAGGTCTCGTTACCTCTTGTAAATGATGGATGGTCTGTTTCAGGATTGTTTCAGTTAAATTAATGGTAAAGTCAAAAGTCACTGTGAACTTTGCGCACTTCACAACCAGACAGACCCAATTGCAACCCTCCCAACCACCCTACATACAATCCGAGGAGAGAATGGAAATGTGCACCAACTTGTCCGGCGTGTTATTCATGGCACTGTTTGTTTATTTATTTAAGGATTGCCAATATCCACACGTTTCCAGCACAAATAACGGCTCCAATTAAAAAAAGCGCAATAAATCTCAGCATCCACACTGCTTGGGAATCAAATTAGCTCAGAGCGACTTGTTCTTGAACTCGAGGATGTAGGAAAAACCAGAGGAGGCCATTCAGCCCATCAAGTCTGTTCCACCATTTTCTGGAACTGAAGCCCCATTCAAAACAATTCTCTCTCCCCCTCCACGTTTAGTTTGCGTTTATCCCCACTGCTCTCTTCGCAGCCTCCAACAGTTCAGAGCTCTCCCCCAAGACATTTTTTGTTAAAAAACTTTAAGTGATGCACGTTATTAATCCTACAGGCAGTTCATCCAAACCTCTGGCTTCAGGATGGAATTTGTTTCTTTGAGTGTCTTTGAGCGCACAGATAATTTCTTTTTGCCTGGTTAGTCTCCATACTTAAGGGTGATGCCAGTGCAAAGCCTTTTATTTGATCACTTCCATGGGGGGTGGGGGGGGTGGGGAGAGATATTACTGGCAGGAAATGGCCCTAATATTATGGGAACTAAAGTGAATCAACTGAGAGGAAGAGAGAGAGAGAAAAAGATACGCAGGTGTCTCAGTCGAATATGAGAGACTTGACATTCCTTCCCTTTTCAGCGCGTTCAAGAGAAATTTAGCGCAACCACAAGGACTCAATAGGAAAGGAATGTTAAGAGGATCGAGACCCGAGGGAAGAACTTTCTGCTTCTCAACAACCCTGGAGGGAGTTGACCTCTGGCTTCAGGATGGAATTTGTTTCTTTGAGTGCCTTTGAGCGCACAGATAATTTCTTTTTTTAAAAAAAAAAGGAAATGGCAATGGAAGATCATTTTCAAAAATGATCGCAAGTTTGCAAAACTCACCACAAGTGGGCGCAACGCCACGGCATCAAAAAAAAATCATAATAGTGATAAAATTCGGAGAAGCATCTTTCTCGTTGGGAAGAGGTCTCGAAGAGCTTCACGGAATACGCTGCAAAGCGGAATGACCGTAAAGTGGGACGTCCCACAGACAGCCGTGAAGCAAAGCGAATGATCAATTTATTGGGAGGGAGGGAGGGAGGGAGGGATTGTTGGTCAGGCAGAAGGGAACAACAACAACAAAATTACATTGATAGAGCGCCTTTCACGTCGGGAGGACGTCCCAAGGCGCTGGACAGTCAGATGTCGGGGCCCGAGCATGGGGGAGGGATGGGGTAGAGGTGAGGGAAGGCAGAGAGGTGGGAGGGCGACCGAAGGCACGATCGAAGAGGAGGGTCTTGAGACAGACCTTGAAGGAGGCAAGGGAGGAAGCGAGGCGAAGGGACTATGGGATGGAGTTCCAGAGTGTGGGGGCAGAGAGGAAATTTGCGAAATTTCACAAAAGATGACATTTTTGCTCCAAAGTAAAAGTTGTTCGAGAACACGACCGAATGTCCGTGCTCTTGGTCGTGGCCGGTAAGGGTCTGTCGTTGGGACCTACCTGCCTCATCCACACCCAGGGATGCTATCAGCTTGCTCAGAGTGTGCTGGGAGTTGGGCTGCTCCAGAAGCTTCCTGCAGCCGTCCTCACACAGAGAAATCCTCGCCAGGACCAAAGCTGCGTTGCTGGCCGTCCACTCGTTTGGGCTGTCCAGGAGGGCGGTCACATTGTCCACAATGCCCTTAAAGTCAGAATCATTCAGAAGCCACTGGCGACCGTTACTGGTTTCAGCCTGAAAGGAAGGACAAAGGATTTGCGGCCACGATAAGAGCAGCCAGCAATAATCCTGGCGTGTGATATCACGGCCTTTCACATCAGGAGGAAGTCTCAAAACACGTCACGGGGATTCACTGCATCTGGTAGTTTGTAGCCAAACATGGCAGCCAATTTCATGGCGCAAAGCAGCCATGAAGTGAACGGCCAATTTTACTTTGGGGCGGGGGGAAAACTCACTGAGACACTGAAACAAACTTCTGTCTCTTTTCGAGTCACGCAGATAGTTTAACGTTCCATCCTTTTGTAGTACGGCACCTCCAACATGCTGGTGCACTCCCAGCACTGCATTAGAGTCAGCCTCGGTTAATTGTAGTCAAGCTGTTGTATTTTTCCTTGTTGTTTACACTTCACTGACTTTCAAAATAACCCCGAGACTGCAATTGGTATTGTTCCTTTGGATACCTGGGCTGAACGATCAAGGAAGATAGGAACGTTGGAACAGGAACAGGCCATTCGGCCCCTCGAGGCTGTTCCACCATTCTATTAGATCATGGCTGATCTGCGCCTCCAATCCATTTACCCGCCTTTGCTACACATCCCTCGATCACCTCACCGAACAAAAAGATCTATTGAATAGAGTGAAAGCCCTTACCATTGTGCCGAGTGTCCCGGCTGCGTTCATCACCGCCTCTGCATCACTCCACTTCAACATGGCGTTCAAGTCGTGAAGAAGACCGTGAGATGCCGACGTCTGGGACTGCCCCACAGCCACCAAACTCTGGGCCCCGGTCTCATTCTCAGCTATCGTGCCCAACACATAGGCCACGTGACTGCAGAGGCTGGAGGACGAGGCAGGGAAAACAATCAATTCGTCACCATCGCCAACTTCAATCCATGTCCGCAACCCATTACAGATAAAGCTAACCCACCACCAGCTTATTGCACAGTTGATGCAATACTGGTACTAAATTTGCCTCATTAAGTAAGGTTAGGCCAAAACCCGCTTCGCAAGCAGTAGCCAGAGACATTTCTGCAACATTAGCAGTTGATTGTCAATCAAGGTTGGGGTGAGGGGCTGTGATTGACAGTCAGTCAGCGGGCGGGCTGTGTCCAGTTGAAAACGGCAATGCAATCGTGAACAAGTACAGGTAGGCGAGTCAGTTTTGGTCTACCAATTGGGGTGGGTGGGTTTATAAAACCCCCCACTCCGACGCATCCCATCTGCTCCGCCACTGATTTTCACCTGACGAGAAGTAGGAGTGAACCGGTTAAACCACCGCTCTGCAATCCCAGGGCTTGATCTTGTGAAATCATGGTTACCTTCCAAGCAGAACCACCTCACAGGCCTCCCATCCCTCATTATAAATGGGCTACGTGTTAAATTGCTGATGTGGTCAGCAGTCCAGCCAGTTTCTTACCTCTCTGTGATCATTAGCTTCAGTAACAAGCATTTTTTTTTGCTTCGATGTTTATTACAGTGATTATAAAACAACATGATTCACTTTTCTAATCTTGGTGGTTGTGCCACTGGCTTGTGGCTTATGATTTTTTTCCCCCCCTCTGAACGGTGGTTGAGGGGTGGAAAAAAAAACACATCAAGGGGAAAAGTCACTCACAAATGTGATGGGTTTCATACATACAGACAAAACATACTTTCTGTTAGACTGGGTGCTAGGCAACGATTGAGAGAGGCTTCACAAATCGATCGCAACGATCACTGCTTGGATACCTTTGACTTCAAACAACAGCAAAGACAATGCTTTACGAATTACATCAGGCAACCGAGCGCAACTCGGCAAGTCTTTCGAGTGAACTTAGCCACGATGTGTGGCGCTGACTGAAGGAGGAATTCGTTACACAAGTGGCTGGAGGTGGCAGCCTCGCTCCGTCAGTAGCATTGTCGCCTGAGAGACAGAAGGGTAGGAACATAGGAATTAGGAGCAGGAGTAAGCCATTCGGCCCCTCAAGCCTGCCCCGCCATTCAATAAGATCATGGCTAACTCCTAACTCCATCTGCCCGCCTTATCCCCATATCCCTTAATCCCTCTTAAGGTTGTGGGTCCAAGCCCCAGGTCGGGACTTTGACCTCAGAGTCTAGCTCTACACTCATGCTGAGGATGGGCTTCGGGTGAGACGTTAGTCTTTAAACTAAGGCACTGTCCGCCTGTTTAGGTGGACGTTAAAGATCCCATGGCACTGCTTGAAAAGAGTCAACTTGGCCAGTAATCCCCCAGGTGGTCACTCAGGACACGGCTGTTTGTGGAGTGTTCGTCTGCACTAATTGGCTGCTAAATTTGCCTATAAATACACCATCACTGCACTCCACAGTCACGTCTTGTGAAAGGCTTTGAGATGTCCCCCTGAAGTGAAAGGCGCTATATCAAATGCAAAGATCTTTATTAATATTAATATTAGCGCAGAGATTCAATAAAAGGTAACGTTACTCAGGGTTGTGTTAATAGGTTGCATTGCGTTCACTCTTAACTGCTTACTTCCTTTTACGTACACAAAAAGACTCGTACGTTGGCATCAAACAGCTCAACCTCACATCATCTCATGAGTTTGACTCGTGTAAAGGAAAGCAATATTCACAATGATCCACCCTAGCACAACGACATCCTACGCTGCTGCAATAATGCTTTGCGCAGTGCAGTTAACGCCACAAACACGTCCTCAAATTAGTTGAGTTTCAAACACCAACAATGGAAAAACAAAATTCTCTCTCCGCTGAAGCCAAATTGCTTCTCGTTGAAGCCAAATTACTTTGGAGAATAATAAGAAAACATTGGCATTCAATACAATGGCTTATCATCTCCAAACATCTCAAGAGTGTGCTCTTTTGAGCACACAATGAGCTACTTTTGAAGTGTTTTGACTGTGGTTACGTAGCCAAAGGCGACAACTAAACAGCGTCAGCAACACGCTACAAACAGCGATGAAATCAATCACCGGTTGATCCGTTTCGGTCGAGTGTGTTCAATGTTACTGAACTCGTCAACGATCCNTTTTTTTTGTTGTGGCTTTGCATGCAAGATGTTGACTGGTCCGAGTTGCTTTCTGATCGGCTGAGTGCTGGCTCGAGTCGAGGCCGTGACTGTCTTGCGGGAGTCTTGAACAAATATTTCATCTTTGGAGGCTTTGTGAAGGAAGGCAAACCAAGTTGACAGAGGGGCAGAAATCCATTCATATTAGGCTGGAAAACAAGGGATCTGCTTTTTAAATCCACAGCACCAGTCGTGGGGTGAAATAAAGCAGTGTGGGCTCTCCGACTGAGTTTGTTTAACTCCCACACCGCCACTTCTCTTCCCCCGTCAGCATTTTGCAAGCAGGTCAGCGGATCTGATCAGCGCTGACTTATTGATTGCCTTGAGTTAAGACAAAGGACCCATAGTTACCGTATAAACACACTCTGAAGCGTGTTGGTTTTCCAGGCTCCATTCGTTAGAACAATGCGATGCAGGGTGGGGAGTGGGAGGGGAGGGGGCTGTGTCATATGCAGTACAAAGATAGCAAAATCACACCCCAGCCAATAACTTAGGAAGTGAGAGGTTTGCCAGAGAGCAACAGAAAATTAAACTTCAACCGATATGGTTCAGAAAACAAATATTCCTCGCAGGCCTGTGCTTAACTAGATTCTCGTTCCTGGGAACGGCCCTAGTGTACATTATCTATACACACATACACGCACACAGAGTTCATTCCATTTGTAGATCAGATGATTTCACTCTAGGATATCTGCACCATATGGAAACATAGGCATCAGACTTTCGCAGTGACTATTGCCGGAAAGCGGCGGAAGGGAAGCTAGACGGGAAATTATGCTGGTTACGTGACATATCGGAACATTAAAAGCAGCGAGACGTTGTGTTCTATTGCTATTAATTCTACAAGGAATTGCACAACAGAACAATCTAAGATCTAACATTCTTAACTCCTGATGCGAAAAAGCTCCTAGTTATTAATTGGTAAAAAAAAATAGACGGAAAAGGAGCTGGTTCTCATTTCACAAGAACAGTCTGTGCTAAGAATCACTGACCCAAGTTAAATATCATTCTGAATTTGCTGATCAAGAGAAAGACTGTCTATCGCAACATTGCCACCTTCTGCAAAAAATCAATACCTCGGTTTGAAAACACAGACGTTAAAGATTCCACTATTCGAAAAGAGCCAATTGCACGCAGCGGAGTCCCACAAGCGGTGGTGGATTGAAGGCCCAAATTATTATTATTGATTTATTTATTTATTTGAAGGGATCATGACCCAGGGTAAAAGCGATCCGCCAATCGACTGACAGCCGGGTTCCTGCTCACTGCTCGGTAAACAGAGGCGTGCGGAGTAAGGAAACTTGCCCAATGTTTCGAACCCATCGAACCCATGACCTCTCGCGTGCGAGGCAATTCACTGCAGGACTCCACCAAACATTTTCCAGTTTTCCAGAAAGTTTCCACACTGGATGACAATGAAATGCAGCGCAAACCGTATAGGTGCCAGGTCAGCAGAACGGAGCAGGGAATGTTAGTGGGAGTCTTTGGACTAAAAACGTCTGGGGTTCTGGATTGATAGTTATAAATTCTTTGGTATTCTTGCTGTGCAGGCCTCGCTACGCCGAGCTCCGTATCACCCTATAAACAGCAAGTGGCCATGTTTCACACTTCAATAAGCTACAACAAAGCTTCGATGTGGAATGAAAGATGTCAGCTTGAAATTACACTACTCGGTAACTAATTAGATTTCTTTATTGAAAAAAAACACACAGGAAGGCAGTTGGAAGCTCACAAGTTCAGGGCTATTTATAGCTCCTCGGGTCTAATGCGCGTTAAGCTAGTTTCGCTTGTTCACCACCACAGATTTCAACCCGCAACACGAAGATCTCCCTGAGCGACACTGTGTTTATTGCACTGATGTACTGAAAATAAGGTCTAGAAGAAAATACTACCACTACTTGCAAAAAAAAGCCTTAACCCAGCACAAGCCAATGTCCTTAGGAGAGGAGAGGGAGTGGAACGGGCATCAAAACACAGTTAGAATACAGGAGTTAATGTGAAAGACTTGCTAAAAATGATCTTAAAGCAGAAACAAGTAGCGTTTACACATTGCCCTTCCTTCTTATTTTTGAACAAAATTATTACTAAATCCATTATTTAATATTATTTATACAATAGTATGTCTAGCTCTGTCGCTGTCAAGAGCTCTGAGATGCTATCCTGTGTGAGCGTTAGCTACACAATTGTAAGTTGTTGTTGCCCGGGGTTGATTCAATGGGAGGTGGTAAATGATGGAAAGCAAAGATCGTGTGAAATGAAACCGGTGCAAAAGGTCAGGCGAGGAGTACTCAGTGTTACCACGGGATAATGGTATGCGGAGACTGTCCAGAGACCAGATGCTGCCTCAAAACGAAAACCCTCTGTGAAGCGCCTTGAGATGTCCTCACAGCTTAGGGCTCTGGACCAAATGTAGTAGTAATAATTATTACTGTGCGCAATTGGCTGCCGCGTTTCGCCCACAAAATATACAGTCACTCCACTTTACAGCATATCCTGCGACGCGTTTTGAGACGTCGCGACGACTTGGTAAGGCACTACATCAAATGCAAGGATTATTATTACGATTATGTTTCCTACTCCATGTTCCAAGGAATCCGAAGTCTACTTTGAAGCTCACAAGGACAAGGGTTAAGCGCTCCGAGACGCCGCCCCGGGTGGTCGTTGTTGACCAACCAGCTGAAATCCATTCTGACCAACAAGCTTGAAAGGTATTATACACTTGGTTGGGCACCAAGTACAGAACCCAGCTGATGTCCTCCTATTTCCTGCAGCCAGCTCTAAGCAGTACAATCGCTGACATCAATGCTGGACATGTTATGCAGTCAGAACAGTGTCCTGGTATTAAACTCAACACCAGAGGCTTTCATTGCAGTACTCACCGTGGCTCTCCTGAAGCCAGACACTTGCACAGAGCCAGGAGCAGTTCTTGGCTGCGGAAATCATCCAAGAAGCATCTGACCAGCTGGTCCTTATCCTGGTGTAAGTCCAACACCAGCTTCTCCACCGCCTCCGCCACCCTGCCCTGGTCAGAGGATAGCAACTGAGAGAGCAGATTGTCCTTGCTCAGACCATCCTCCCTCCGGTTTGGGACGTGTCCAGAGGTGGCTCTCCCAGGGACATCTCCAGAGATGGCTGCCGGAAGAGCTCAAAGACATCTACCTTTGTCCCAATCCCAAATTCCCAGTGGGCGCGGAGTTAACCCTGGCAGATCCAAGGAGCTGAGCTGTGTCTGTAAGCGAGCACATGAGCATGTTACACACTTTACTCTTCCACCCAGCAAAAACCCTCTCTCCCGTCCCACAAATAAACCTGTGTGCTTTCCCAACCTCCTTCCCTTCTCACCTCACCCCAACTACCAATTAATAACATGCCACATAACGCGCTGACAGCTCACAAACTCACCCATCCTCCTACAAGAAAAATATCCCTGGGTGTCAAGGCTGAATAAAGCCAACCCTCTCCTTGCTTGCAAGCACTGTTTTGTGTGTGTGGTGTGTGTGTGTGTTACACCTCTCTCTCTCTGTCCAATCTCAGCAGCTGTTATCAATCACTCATTCTCTCTCTCTCTCTCTTTGTCACTCTCTCTCTTTCTCTTGGAAACTTGCAAACGTGTCCCTGAGTCGATGTTAAACAGTGCAAATGAGGGGAAAGGGAAAGAGAGAGAGAGAGAGAGAAAAAACAATAATTTCAACCGAATGGGTCTGAATCACACCTGAAACCGTCAACAGAGCAACAAAATTTCATTCACCTTTCAGCCCTCACTCATTCACTGCCTTGTCCAGTCATTGAGATACTCACTCACCCACCTACCCACTCCCGTATCGTGTCATTGCAACCCTCACCCACCTACCCACTCACTCCCTTATGGTGTCATTGCAACCCTCACCCACCCACTCACTCCCTTATGGTGTCATTGCAACCCTCACCCACCCACTCACTCCCTTATGGTGTCATTGCAACCCTCACCCACCCACTCACTCCCTTATGGTGTCATTGCAACCCTCACCCACCCACTCACTCCCTTATAGTGTCATTGCAACCCTCACCCACTCAGTCAGTCACTAACTCACTCACCCACTCATTTACTCATCATTGCGATCTGTGGCTTTTGTTCAGCCGCACGTCCCCACACTTCACAAAGGATCAGGTTTACTGTCACTTGTTTCACATTATTTTCCTCGCCCTCTTTATAATACAAGCGGGGAATGCTGTGGGAATTGCAAAGTCTAATCATTTGCCAGACCGTCCTCTTCCTCTCTTTCTTCCACCCCCAGCCCCCACTCCCCAATTGGGGTGGGAGTGACTGAGTGAGTGAGTTGGTGACTGAGGACATGAGTGAGTGAGTGAGTTGGTGACTGAGTGAGTCAAGATTGTGACAATATACTCTATGAAGCGCTTTGAGACATCTCGAAGGCCTGATAAGGGGCGGTACATCAAATGCCAGCTGGTGTTGCTGTGGCTGAATAACCTTGGTTTCTCAAAGCCAAGGTTTCTTATTAATTTGGCCATTTAAACTGCACCGACAAGAGTGCCGACCTGAGCACAAATCCCTCTGGAAGTAGCAGCTGAATCATTTTTGAGTCATTTTTTTCCCATTGCTCTCTGCTGACACTAGAGGTCACTCCAAGCACGTCAAAGTGGAAGGTCTTCAGGTGTCATCTGAAAGACGGGCAAGGCAAGAGGGATTGAGGTGGACAGTTGCAGAGGTTCGGGGGTCGTGGCTGAAAGCACGGCTGCCGATGGTGGAACGGAGGGGGCGTGAACCTCACACGATACTCGCATGGTATTCACATGATATTCACGTGGTGCTCCCGGCCGTAAACTGGTCCGAATAGCTCCGTGGAGAAAGAGACACCCGCAGGAATGACGACCAGGTGGTAAATTTACTCCGTGCGCCTTTCCACAGCGCAAGGAGACCCTCCCCTCCAAAAAAAGAAGTTTGACCGAAGGAGAATTTTAGTCACTCAGTACCACCGCTGTTTCCGGGACTCGGGCTGTGCGCAATTGGCTGTTGCGTTCAGCTCGCACAATGCACACTGTAACGATGTATATTCTGCGAAGGCGCTTCGGGACGTCTCCACGCCGTGATAAGGCGCTGTATCAAATGCAAGAATAATTATTGGCCAACTTTAACGAGAAACCCATCGAATCATCCCACGAGGAGAAAGGCAACATTTCTCGCTGTACTCCCAAACCAATAGATGGTGCTGCGAAGGAGACTAACCTAAACTTTCGACGAGGGAGCTTCCTTAAGTATGTTTACATCGTTGGCTTTCGAGCGAGCCAATTGCGAAGGCTGATGTTTTCTTTGAAACCGAAGGTGCCGTTACCAATCGGGGAGCAAAGGGCTTCCTAGCGTGAGCTTCGTAAAATGCGTCCAAGTCACTTTAATCCCTAAATAACCAGAATTATTGGACACTGCAGAAACTGTGATCGTAGACCGATTGCTCCTAAGTACACGGGGCCGAGGAGAGAAGCCGAATGCTGCTCTGGGATAAAGTAAGATTTTCATTCTTAAGATAATAATCATGATCATAAAAGGAATGATCCTCGCATTTGATTTAGCGCCTTATCGCGCCGTTCAGACGTCTCGAAAGCACTTCACAGAGAGTCATGGATATTGTAAAGTGAATTGACTGTGTTTTGTGGGCAAAACACGGCAGCCAATTGCGAACAAATCGAGAGAATATTTCCCAGTTTCTGTAAAATCGCTGCTCGAACCCAGTAAATATAGATTAATGATGAATCTGCGATGGTTGGACGAGCAGAGTGACTTTGACAGTATTTGGATGCTGTGTGTGTGTGTTTAATTGCTGTATGTTTCTCTGGCGATGTTTCAGAACAGCAATATGATTGATTGATCGATTGGTTGGCTGGTCGATTGGTTGATTGATTGATTGACAGGAGCGCGTGTGAAATCGACACATCGGCGGCTGAAGGATGGAAAGTGACAAGTCGCTGCCCGCAGAGCGGTGTCTCGACATCTACATCATCTCCCAGAGCCCCCACAGGTACCTCTGCTACACCAGCCCTGGCTCACACACCTTCGACCTGTGGTAAGTCCTTGGCTGACAGGAGTGGGTTGGAGGCATTGTTTTTCTCAGCCGGGTGTCGGAGACGTGTGGAAACCCATCACCACGCTTAAGACTGTCCAAACAAACAGAACTCCACATACGTACCTCTCCACCTGACCCCCCCACCCCCCACTCCCACCCCAGAGGGACGTACCCAGCTTTACCCTATTTCAGACAGTATGAAGTGGAGGTTGGCGAGAGCCAAGGCTTAAGGACCCCAGAGCATGTGTTGGTTGGTATGCACACGTGGAACTCTCAGTCCGGTCACCCTTAAGCATTGCGGTTGGGTTTCGACACATGCCAGACATCCGGCTGACCCCCAAAAAAGTGCGGATTTAAATAATTCTAACAAAAACAGCTGCAACTTCTTTCGTTACTTTGCGGAGAGGGTTCCGAGCAGATCGGAAATGGATCGACATCGTCAACCAACGATCTGATCAAACTGATTTGGAGGTGGGGGGCTGTGTGCGGGGAGGGGGAAAGACAAAAAACTGAGAATCTGATGTGTTTACTTCCAGTGTTACAAATGTCGTGGACGTGTGGAGCACAGGTTTCACTCAAGAAAAGCTGGAGGAGCACGTAAGTAGCAGGACAGGATGATCCGTTCAATTAATATAATAATAATTATAGTAATAATCCTTGCAATTGATATAGCGCCTTAGCACGTCTTTGAGACGTCTCAAAACGCTTCACGGCAAAGTGACTTTACTGGTGGACGAGACAATAGAGTGATTGTTACCAAGTGAAGATGAACACAGAGATGCACAGGCTAATTGTGACGTCTCCGCTGGTTGAGATCAGTCAACCCAGCACAGACCTAGGAATGTTAACTGGGACCCAATTCCTCTGTACAACTCACCCCTTCACTACGGGGGATAGTGCAGTGAATAGCCCTGCTCTTTCTCCCTTGCTCAGCCTCCAGCCCCGTCACTGTGAATTGCTCTGAGACTCCATCCTATGTGAAGTGCGCTACGTGAATGCAAGGTGTTGTTACTGAGCGTAAAGAAACTCGCTGAGAAACCAAGACAAGCTTTCTTTTCAATCATAGAAATATCTTGATGTTTACGTTCTGTCTTCAGAAATCTGCCCACGGAATAAAAACCACTGAGGAATACTACAGCAGGACAAGGTGTGTAATGATGGTTTTTTTTTACTCTTCACTTGGTTTCTCATCCCATTCAATTCTCTCAAAAAATTTTCTTAAACATTTTCGGTATTGTTTACAAGAGCTGCTGCTATTTGCCGATGAACAGCAAGTCAGACAGTGGTATAAATTGCCTTACAGCCCTGTCAGCCTGGCTCAGCTGATAGCTCTCTAACTCAGAAGGTTGTTGGTCAGGACTCGAGCTCACACAGTCGAAGGTAACACTCCAGTGTAGTGCTGGGGGTATGTTGTATTCTCAAGACATGCCATCCTTCGGATGAGCCATTAAACTGAGCTGTCGCCGTTCTCCAACGGCAATAACTCACTTTGGTCCCAGGACAAACTGTTGATCTCCTTGCCTCCCTCCTTCCATCCGCATACCTGTTGTTATTTACACCTGTGTTCTGTAATGTTCCACAGAGACGCCTTCCAGGAGGGTTCTGTCCAACTCACAGTGCTGGACAACACAGTGACACTGACTCTGAGCAAAGCTCCCTTGGAGCTCAGATTCCACCTCCACCAGCTTCCCATTTCCGAGGCCAAAGCAAAGATCCAGGCTGCTGTGTTCCACCTGGCGGAGAAAGTATGTGATCTGGAAAAGCGATTGAAAGGTGCGTGCAGCGGAGTTTGTGAGTGAATCTGAAAGGCGGTGTCGATAGCGTGAGGGTATGAGCACTGTCAGCCTCTAGTGGGGAACAAGGGTGATTTCTTAAGCTCATGATTCTATTTTTGCGTTATTCCTCTTGCAGTTTCGGAGGAAATCCGTGCCTCAACCCCAACAAAGAAGACCGAGAGGGGACACAGATTACTTCTGCCAGGTACCACCTCTTATGTTTCTTCCTTTCTTTTTTCCTCTGCCTTTCTAAACGTACCTCCGTCATTTACCCATCACTGTCCAATGACGTCAGCTGTGTGGGAACACCAATTGAAGACACAATATATCTGAGCTGTGATCTTTAACCCTCCTTCACCCACCACCACCACCCAATTGAATGACCTGCTAACTAACATTTGCCATCTCTGCCCCGCTATGAAGGACGGAAACTTGCACAAGATAATGGACTGAAGGAGGCTAGAAAATCGCGATGCACAAACTCTGCTTCTGCTCACGTCCAGCAAACTAACCCTCAGAGTTAATGGAAAACACCAAAGTATTTTGGAAAAAGAACACTCGCGATTTATCCCAAAACAGGAAATATATTAGAAGGACAGCTAAATATCAACAAGCCCAACTTGTTTTTTCTTACATAAGCTCTCGATCCTAACTATCTGCCTTGAGAAGGTATTGTTTGTTGATTTGTTCTTGTGTTAAGTGGAGGAGGAGGAGAAACAACAGTGGTACATCACTCTGAGATGCCATCCATTGTCGTTGGCGCTGTAGAAATGCAGGTGTTATAATGGAGGTGATAGTCTGGATGGTTCCGAAATTTGTTTTTTGCAGAGGTGATCTCCAAGAGAATTGGGTCTTCACCAACAGCCAAGAGGATACTCCCAGGAGAGTCCCTGATAAACCCAGGCAGAAAGAGGTAACAACACATCAAGAATCATTTTATGTCCACCTCTCTCTCTCGATCTCTCTGCCTTCGTTGCCGTGCTCTAACTCCAAAGACAAGGAAGGCAGATAAGCAGCTTGCTCCCGGGTCTTTTCCAATGTAACTTTTAAACAAGTCCATATAATTATTGTTATAAACTGCCCTTTTCATTTCCCATTTAGAACAAAGGCTCCAACAGGTGTAAGTTTTGAAGAAAACTCCCCTTGATCCAAGACATCGAATGAAGGTTATAGCTTGAAATGGGATTTGCTGAAGATGTTTATAATGAAATGGTCTATAGTTTATTTTTATACAACTTATAAAACGGATGAGTGCGAAACACGGTTAAAGATTTGTTAACCGCGTGCCTACACCCTGTCATTAGTTGGGTAAATAAAGGAAGACTATGGAAAATGACCAACACTCTGATCATGTTGTGTGAAGGTGCTCATGAGGATTTCATTATGATTGTCATTTTTTCAAACATTCTGCCACTGCTCTCTGGAACTCCATCTCAGCGTCCCCTACACCTTGACCCTTCTCTTCCCACAGGGCAAAACCATCGGCAAGTTTCTATGAAGTTTCACACGCCTCTATTTACCTGACAATATCGATCGGTTAATTGAATACAACAACAACAGCAACAACAAATTACATTTGTAAAATGCCTTTCACGTCGGGAGGACGTCCCAAGGCGCTGAATTCTGGTTAGAAGAATAATTTTCGTGATCAAATTAAGTACTCAGTGAACCGAACGTCACTGAACTTGCTTTCCGGAGGCAGACAAATCAAGGACGTGTGCAGAATAGCTGGGGCCCTGAGCTCAACACACAGGATTAGCGATGATCTGTGAGCAAAGGAGAGAGGGTAGACTCGGAGCCGAGCAATATGACCAGGTGAAAAATGATGCCTGTGGTTGTTTTTCAGTTGGCTTTGCGGGCAAAAGGAACAGTAAAATAGTTCCTGTCTGTTACCATCTGACACCTGCAAACTATGGAGTGTCGTGTGATACAGAATTTCCTGTGGGGTGGGGGATGCATGAGGCAGGTAATAGAGCATTTACTTTTAAAGGAATAATTCAATTAGCAGAGCAAATTTGTGAGTTTGAATTGGTACCTACCCAAGGTAAAACAAATAGGAGCATTCGCAAGCCATGTCTTCTCTCACACTCTTGTTTTACATCAGGACCTAATGCTTTGCAAAAACACTGGGGTGACAGACAGACAGACAGACAGTCAGTCAGTCAGTCAGACAGACAGAGGAAGAAATGACAGGCTTAACCTGGCACCCCAACATTCAAATAAAATATTACTTTATTGTAATTATTCATGCACTGTATTGTGTTTAGTAAACATTACCTTTATTTGGCATTCTGACTTCTTCCACGGTAGACATACAGATAAAGGTATCTGCTCATCACATATCTTCGAGCCAATGTGAGCTGTAGCAATCACACACAGGAGGCAGCCCATTTGATTAATCGAGCAATTGCCTGTGCAAACATCTCCACTGGAGCCAACTATGCTAATACCTTTGCAATTACATTTAGATTGCGCCTTTCGCACAGGGAGGGAGGAGGTCTCAAAGCACTTCAATTCCCTGTTCCCCTCATTATATCAATAATAATGTCCAAAGGCACAGTCAAAGAGGAGGGTCTTGAGACGAGCCTTGAAGGAAGCAAGGGAGTGGGGGGCGGGCAACGTGATGAGATTCAAGGATGGAGTTGCAGAATTGCTGTGGCAAAAAAAAGGATATTTGTGGCTGAAGAATTCAAGAAATACCATTCCATACCTTATTGTTAGAAGATGGCTTCTAATTTAGGGGTTCAGGTGGTAGATTAGAGAATAATCTAATCTAATTATTGACACTTGAGAGCAAGTGGTAGGTTGGATTCTGATTGAGGGTTTTAGAATAATACATACAGGCCAGTTACAGGCAGGAATATAATTGAGGGGTATAAATGAAGGGTCTGTATTTTGACTAATGGTAGTTTGTCAGGATGGAGATCAAAGGCTTCAGATTACATGTTAAGAGACACAAATTAAATTTAAAGATCAGTTTTTCGGATTGGTTTGATGAAAGACGAGTTTTGTGGACAATTGTTGACCATCTTCATGTTAACACCAGCTCAGTCTGCAATGAGCCTCAGACTGGAAGGTGTTAACACACAGTGATTGTAATATTATCGCTGTGGGTTTGCTGACACATTTTTCTCAAAAATCTCAGCCTTGTTTGTCCAACGTTCAGAAGCAGCACAAATAGCAAACTCAAGAGTTGATATTTTATTTTTATTCACGATATTATTTACAGCCGAAAATAATCTGAATACATCAATAAGCACTTCATATCGCATCAGTCTCTTCAATGCAGTTTAAACATTGGATATACTGAGGGTCTAAGAGTGTGACAGAAATAATAAATATGGAGGAAAAATAGGCACAAAGCATTATTCTCCTGGTGTAGCTGTGACTCGGATTAGCTGGTGATCTTTGGTGGATTTGCCTCACTGAAATCAAAGCTCCACGACTAATAACTCTGGAGCCTTCAACAGAGACAAAGACGAAAGGTTTCGGAAAACCAGGTTTTCTCTAACATTAAGGTTTGACTGTACAGTTGTGTCACAATACCTCGTCAGTGTTCAGACGATAGAAATGGTAGGAACTGATACAGTTGTCAGAGGAAGGAATGCGTCATTTTAAGAGTCAAACTACGCAACATTCGAGAGTCCTCTATTGCTAGAATTTCAACAGAAAATTAATGTTAGACTGTACAAATCACTTGTTTCATTAATGCCATCTCAGTTTTCTGAAGATAAATAATTTACCTTGTAGCTTAATAGGTTTATTGACAGACACACCTAACGAAAAGGACAGTGATGTATGCAGATTAAAGAGCTATATTTAACCATATTCAGTACATCACTTTTTATCCTCAATCACCTCTCTCTTCCTGTCAATGAATGTAACGTTAGAAATGTTGGTTTGGTCTCGTGGATCTATTGAGTGGCATTTCTTAACAGCGTTTCTTAATAAGGAATCTTGTGGTACTGCGGGAACCAAATAGATCACAGTGAAGGATAGTGCAATAAAGGTCCAGCACCACTCGTGTTTATTAAGGGATCCCTTTAGGAAGTACCACAAAATTCGACCTCAGTGTAAGTAAACATCTCTAAACTTAAAAATAAAATTACCAAGTTATGCATGATATCCAAAAAAGACTATTACTTATCAACAGAATTCTTGCATGTTTTGTGAGCGTATTATTGAGGTCAATCTGAGCTGCGAAGTAAAATTATCGAATTACCACATGATCTCTGTAGCCATCGCCATCAATTTTGTAAATTATTTACGCTGATAATTTACGGTAATTTACTTATAATTTAAGTTGGGAACTCCAATCCACTGGATGGTTACCAAATCCCCAAAGTTCTCCATTCACATTGTCAAAACTAGAGAAATTCTAACAAATCATCCTTTAGAAACAATTAAATTTACAGCACAGAAAGATGCCTTTAGGGCCTATCTTATCTGTACTAACTCTCAATCAACTCTATATCACCAATACCAGCTGAGAGACAAAAGTAAGAGTGTAACTTACAATACTTTTCGGACTTTCAAATTATTTTTATTTTGATTCTCAAGTGTCTTGACACATGTGCAAACCCATTGCCACGCTTTAGATTATCCAAACCAGACTAAGTTCCATATATGCACATAAAAGGGTCTTTCCTTGGTGTGAGATGGAGTGGATACACTTTGCCCTGGAGTTACACACACTGCTTTATCGAATCCAAGAATGTAAGGGTGCAGGTTGGTAAGAGCCATGGATTGGCGGCTCCAGAGTTTGCATTGTGATATTACTGGAGTTTAACCAAGATCGCCACAGAGGGTCAATTCAACTCCCAAGTATTATACTATCCCAATCGGTCACCTTAGAGCCACCCAACGAGATGCCACTTATCTCCCACCAAAGACATTGACATAGATATTGTGTAACATGTCTATCCAGTGGAGTGCAGTGCCTTTTTTTTTAATATATATATATATATACACACACACAATGCAAGCTTCAATTGAACACAATATCCTGTGAGTTGCCTTGCTGCTTCAAATTCAAGATGTACCAGAAAATGTTACCGAGGATTGCAAGCTCTGAAGCATATATAAAAAGATGCAAAATGAAGAAAGTCACTCGTGGTCAAAGTTTATCACTTGGCAACCTGGCTGTATGCCATTATGATCTCTTCCTTATTTGGGCAAGTGTTGAAGAACTCTTCACGGCTGTCTGCATTACTCAAGTATTGGCAGAGACCTGAAAGTTCCTCTGGGATTTTAAATCTCCGATAGTGCATGCACACCACCTGTGGGGAGAAAATTAATGGTAAATGTTGCAAGATGCCATTTGGAAAATTAAGTTGACTTTGCCTCAGTAACAAACTTGACGTTGGCACACAAACCACACAGTGAAATAAGGATTATTACTACGATCATTGTAACAAATGTACGTTCAAGTGGACGTTAAAGATCCCAGGGCACTATTCGAAGAGAGAGGGGAGTTTCTACTGGTGTCTGACCAAAACTTCCCCAGATAGAATTGGTCATTCTCTTCACAGCTGTTCACTTGCCAATACACAGTCACTACATTTCACGGCAAATCCTGTGAAATCCACATGACATGAAAGGCGCTATATCAAATGTAAGGATTGATGACCAACACACTCAAAGGCAGCTTGTGAAGACCAGCATTTCTCTTATATAGAAATAAACAAGTTTGGGATCAAGCCCACTCACTCGGACAATGTTGAGCTTCGGTAGGAGGTTGCAGTCGGCCAATGTCAGGTCATTTCCGTCCAGGAACCGTCTTTTTGACGGGATGGTTTGCTCTCGTGTTCCAGTGGTGTTTTCAAATATTCGTCCAGCTGTACCAGTGTTTTCAGGAACGCTTTCTCTATGTCTAAACACAGAGAGCGATTAGCAAGAGGAAAGCAGAGGGTAGATCGATTTGGCAAGGTCAGCAGAAGGGCTATTGGGCTCACCAAAGTTAGTTGACCGTTGCTCAGAAAGGCTTAGCCCAAAGCAAGATTGGGTGACAATATTTAAGAATTCAATTTGCACATCTTGGTAGCATGTTAATCGCTTAACTTTTTATTTAGACACATTTTGAATTCCAGAGAGTGGATTTGGCGACAGTAACTAAACTGACTGTAAACTTACTTCTGTTTTGTTCTGTGGGGCTTTTAATGTAAGCTGAGAATTTCTGGAAGATGTTATCTCCAGCAACGGAGGATTTGTGGTAACGAACACCCAGATGAGGGCACCTGTCAAACAAAAGTACAGTTTAATCCTTTGTGAGGAATAAAGGCAGAGATAGTTACAATCAGAAGGAATGATGACATTTACAAATCAACTGCTGTGCGTAAATAGAATTGATCTCACGTGGAGCGTTCTTACAGTGAGCTATTTGTTATGCCTTTGTGATAGGAATTCTAATTATAAAAATGTTCCAAATAGTCATCCATAATGAAATAAGTCTCGGATCATGTCTGAGTGAATCAGTCAGGACACCAACTGATATCAACCGAAGACAGCAAGGAACAAGGAATGGTCATGCGTCCCACTAGCCTCATGTATTCCACCGACCAACCCACCATGGACTTCACTCCACTCTGACTCAGGGGGGAGGAAGGCAGGGGAGGAGTGGGGGGGCAGGGTCTGTGAAAATACTCCTCGATTCCCAACAGCAATCAAGCAAAAGCTCTCAAATATTTCTTCATCGATTCCCCATGACTCAAGACCCGCCACGTGGATCGTGCCTTTGGTCAACTTTCCCCTCCCCTTTTGGCTTCCAAGTCCAGCCAAGAGTGTTAAGCACTTAGGACATCCTCCAGAAGTGAATGATGCCAGATATAAAAGCTAATTTGGAATAGCTTGTGATTTCAACCCTCATCTGCTTTCCACCCCACCATTTGGACCAGACAGTTGTTTTCGGGAGAATGTCCATTGCCACGGCAGCGAAAATCATTCGTTCAGAGAACTGAGTGGCACATTTACACCCATAGACAGAGCAGTGGATCCACCATCAAACATTACATTGAGAGACACAATGTGCAGCTATCAGGGTCCATCTATACTATGAGCTTGTACTGCAGTGACAGAGGTTTGCGAGATAGACAATAATCAACCCTTATAACGATTTGAACCGAAGAGTGAAGTGAGATAGCTGGAGCTTTGGAAAGACCTGGGCACTTTGGAGCCTGTGGCTTTAAGGGACTCAAACATTTAAAAAAACTCGTTTAACTTTACTAAGACTTCATCTGTGAAGGCAACAAGATTCATTCTCCTAAAGCCGTCCATCCAGAAGGTTTTCGTTGCCTGGAGCAATCTGCTCATCACTCATCTCAAGATAGAACAATGCTCCAGTGTCTCATCAGCAATAACCACGGATCCTAAACCACAACTGCAGGTGGGGACTGAACAAGAGCTTAAAAGCAATGAAATATGAGCTAACAGAGACCAAACGGGGTATTTAGATTTGCAACACTGCCAGCTTTGCCTCTGGCATTGTTCAGTATGATTAGATGGCAAGGTTATGAGTGGCTTGAGCAGAGGAGACACAGTGGAGTTAACAGGGTGGATTGAAATAGGGTTTCACATCCTGTGGTGCTGAATGTGCACTTGACAAATAGGCGGTTGAGAGACTTTGAGAAAGACTCTCAGCATTGTTGAGATCTTTCGCCCAGTGCTTCAATCAGTTTGATAGGTTCATTCCTGCTGAGGAATATTACTAATTACTTATTACTGTTAAGAATTGCTCTGCGCAATTGGCTGTCACGTTTCACCCACAAATATACAGTCAATTCACTTTACAGCATATTCTGTGAAGCGCTTTGAGACGTCTCGAAGACGAGATAAGGCGCTACATCAAATGCAAGGATTATTATACAATATTATTTCAACCCAGCTCCTGTAAATGAAGACAAAATGTCTGCAAGTTTAGGCCCTTACCTGTAAGGTAAGGGAAATCATTTACTCTCCAGACTTGATTTTCCTTTTTACAAAAAGCAAATGCAAAAACAAGTCTCATTTGGGGGAGAAAAAAAAAATTCAGACCTCTTTAACAAAAAGATTTCCTAAATCCAAATGCTACATGGCTCCTTCCATTCTCTTCCTGCCTCTTAAAAACGTTTCGCTTTGATCAAGTCTCTCAAACTCCCCTGCTTTCCCCCCCCCCCCCGCTCAATGATTTCTCATCCCATCAGCGTTACGCGAAGCTATTTGGAAAGTGCGAAGTGCAAGTGGTTGCTCCATGAGGGGTGAATTCAAATCCTTCCACATTTTGGTAGGCGAGCCTCTGATGCCTTTAAAAATCCAGATAGACTTACCTTGGTGGAACAAGAACCTCTTCCAGAAATTCCTCGATCTTGTTAGTGTCTGTCTTGAGATCCCCATTGAAAAGGATGAATGGGGGCTGGCATCCTGGTGCAATGTCTTTCAGCATGCTTGTGTCTCTGAAAGTCAGATACACGAGTTATGTCTACATCAGAATTGCCCACGCAACCCTCCGCATCGCGCACTCGCACACGCTCACGCACACTCACACACACACAGAAGAATTGTCATTATGACATCCCGTGCCTTGAATTGTCATAATCTATCAGACATAAAAAAGGACAAATCATTGCAACTTTACTAATCGTTCTCCTTTCATTATTATTGTTACTTATTATTATTATTAACGTCATTGCTCCTCTGAACTTTCCTCCCAATGTTAAATTTCACCACCCTACATCTTCTTCCTTACACCCTCCCTGTCTCCAACTCTATTCTTTTTTCAATATCTCATGATTCCTTAGCTGCCTGTCTTGCCTTCCTCATAAAGCTCCAGGTTTTGCATTATGCAAAGCTGGTGTCACCTAACCGTAAAACCCTTAGCAAACTTTCTATATGTTTTAATCTGTGAAACGTCAATGAAAGTGCCTGTTTTGTACACCTCTTAGATGGAAAGCCTTGGTGAGACGAAAGCCCGTTTGGTTTTAATCAACGGCACAAACTCACCTCTTCATATCCACGGTGTTAATGGTGAAGGGATTCCCTTCAGCCATAGGATCATGAATAGGCGTTGTGAGAAAGGGCAGTTTCCAATGCTCGCCCCATCATCACTGGCCTGCAATGAAAAAACAAATTTATTGACTAATGAATATGAGTATTGTATGACATTCCAATTGGTAATAGTTCACCTCTTGATACTTCTGGACCCTATCTGCTTGACGGGTGCTATATAAATGCAAGTTGTTGTTGCTGACATGTTAAGCAACAAGTACTTGACTGTAAGGAGAGTAATTCAAGTAATTCGACTGGAGGGTCAAATTACTTTCCTTCAAATATCTTGACTTCTTTTTTCTCCTGCCGGCTGCAGATCTATGAGCCCGAGGTGTCCTCTCAAAACTTCCTCGCGGGGAGGGGGGGGGGGACGTTTTGATATGGTTTCGCCCACAAAATATACAGTCAATTCACTTTACAGTATATCCTATGAAGCGCTTTGAGATGCCTCAAAGACTTGATAAAGCGCTCTATCAAATGCAAGGATTAATATTATTATTATTATAAGACGCTGTTAAAAAAAAATCCACGGTTTTCCTTGTGGCAATGGCAATCCAGGTGAACTATGTAATTGTGAAAGCAGCCTGGACTGCACCCTCTCTTGTAAATATCCTCTTAAGAGGGTGGTGCCATGCACTTCCTCTGTACAATCATTTCTTTGCTCCAGAAATGTCAGCGGTTGTCCTGCCTGACTTCACCCACACAATTCCACATTCCAAGTTGTTCTCGCAATTGTCCTCGTTCTCCTGTAACTAACTCACAAACCTTAATTTATAAATAATAATGATAATAATCCTTGCATTTGATACAGCGCCTTATTGCATCTCCGAGACGTCTCAAAGCGCTTCGGGGATATACTGTAAAGTGAATTAACTCCGCATTTGGGTCGTTATCTCTCTAAATCTCTGATTGTTTTGAGCCATGCAACAGTGATAGCAAAGCACAATAGAATTCTCTAAACCGCTTGTGGTTACAGCAGATAGAATCGGTTGTGAAATGAGAGAGACCGTCAACATATTGATCCGCTCTTGTTCAGACAGACAGACACACAGACACACACACACACACACATACACCGATTGTCCCCATGGAATTTCAAAACATCTTATTCAGAGCCCCTTTTGAGATGGTGCAACTCTCCAGAGTTTGTCAATCACAAAGGACATTTCAATGACTGAGCAAGGTTCAGTGACTGGCCCGGCGTTCGCTTTAAGGTTCAAGCGAGCATTATTGAATCCAGCAATGCCTGTGAGGTGAGTCATAACCGAGCCGGCTGCCAGAGCCTCACCAGGCACTCCCGGCGAAAGAGATTGTGTTGTTTTGAAATCATTGCATTGCTGCTGGAAGTACCGGTTGACAGGGTCAGGAATCCTGACCAACACCCACCTCTTAAGTTTCAATTGAAAAGGCTCCGTCTGCCGTTCAGATCAGCAGTTCAAAAAATACCGAGAGATCTGTGCGTCTCTTTGTTGATGATGGCAGTCGCGTAATATGCTTTGCTAATTATTTTAAGCCAGATGTTAAGTCCGTAACACAGTGGACAAGGACAGATAGTACAAAAGTGATAACAGATAGATATGGGAAGAAAGAATCATTAATCCCGCATCCTTCAGGTGAGATGTTTAAAATCCTGTGGCACAACTAGAACTTTCTGGCAGTTAACAGTCTTCCAGTTAACATCGGTCATTCACCTCCTGGCTGTTTGTAGGACATTGCTGTGTGCAAATTGGTTGCATGGTTTGTCTACAAATACAGAATGACCAAACTTAACAGTGATTACTGTCAAACCCTTTGGGTCATTCCAAAGTGATAAGTTATATCAAATGCAAGTATCATCATCATCGAGTCTATACCCTGCCACTCACATGGTATTCACACAGCACAATCAGGGGCTACACATTCTGAAATGCTGTAAGTTCTTGCGAACCAAATGGTGAGCGGAAATGTCACGCTTAAACAAACAAACAATAGCACATTGTCGGCTTAAGGCTGCACTCTACCAGAAAGGATAATATCAGCCTCGTCAGTGAATAAAACTATGAGAAATCTTTTTTACGGCTCAAAAAGGCTGCCCCACGTGAAGGGAGCTATGTAAAAGCAAGCTGCTGTTGTCGAAATTCACAGGGCGTAATTAACCTGAATCAAATTCAAGTCGAGAGCTTCAGAAAGTTGCCTGTTACAAGCCTCGTCTACAAACGAACGCACTCAAATAAGAAAAAAAAATATGGAAATGAAACTGGAATACATTTGTTAAAACACAAGGCACCTTTATGATTTTTTTAAAAAAATAAAAACTTTCTACAACTTTTAAAAAAAGAGAATTGTTTTTAACATGTCACGGAGTCACATCCGATCGAGATAAACCACTAATGTACCTTTATGAACAGCTGAATCTTTGGATCTACGCCCAAAGACATCTGTGCGATTCTTTCTTCCCCAACTGCAGAGAGTCTAATGACCGAAGCGCCAACTGGGTTGAGTGCGCAAAAGTTCTTGATGTCCCGAGCGCTTGTTCTTTTCAAAAAGGTTTCTCGAGCCACGCTCAGGAAATTCAGATTCAGAGAATGCCAAACCTCCCGCAAAAGGATTGCGACAGCCTGGGAAGATTCGCTCTTTGCTTCACAACTGCCCACAATCCTTTCAGAGATCAGCTCTGTTGCTTTGTGCCTGTTCCTCAGTTCCCCTTTCTCTCTCCTGTTGACAAGCGAGCACGACTGCCCTGCTCAATGTATGCTGACTGTGGTTTAACCTGCTCTTCACGTTTAGCACTTGGTTGCCTTCCTTCCTCCGGGGAGAGGTCCACAGCTTTGAATAGTTTCTGTTCTCTTTTATTTGACGACTGCCTCTGATTGCTAGGCGTGGAGCTGCAAGGCAGGTCATGGCATGCGACAGAGTTCATGTGGCGTAATAGGAGCAAAGTGTGCGTGTGTGTGTGTGTGTGTGTGTGTGTGAGAGAGAGACAGAGAGAAAGAAAGAGACATTTCAGATCACTCCGATGTCGTGAGTTCCTTTAAATCCGGGACTGAATTCAAGTCACGGATAACCACGCCTGATGCCATCCAGTTACAATGCCGTAGGCATGTGTAAATATCAGTTTTCGATTGAAATATGTTATTTTCCTGCCACCCTCCCTCTCCACCCCAGCCACCCCCCCACCCGCCCCCCCTCCACCCACATCTTAAATTAACGATTGTAAAAGATGAATTGTGAAACATTCTTGAACGCAAGTTTGATTGAGAGGCCCTTTTCTTTCCAAACCAAGTGCAAAGGGAGAGAGTGCGCAATCCATTCCAACAATCTATCTCTGGAATTGCCACGTGTAGGTGGGATGCAGGGAATTCTCAGCTTGGTTTGGATACTCCAAAGCAACGGTGATGGGTTTCTGCATGTGTCAGAGACCACCCCCCCACCCCTAAAAATAAAAAAACATTTCCAAGCAAAACAGCTTCCAAACTTAAGAACTTGCCACAATGGATGCACCATCTTACATTTTTGAGAACATGATGTGGTCTTTGTAGGCAATAACTGGATGTCTATCCTTTGGATTAGTTCAATTCCAATCTCTGTCTTCATCAAAGGTGGATGATAATTTGGGATACATAGCAACACCCATTAGGATGATCAGTTAGCATTGTTATTCAATGCATCATTGGGCTGAGTAATGGAACTTTTGGACATCAATGTATTTGAGAGGAAACACCCACTTCTCTGGATGTTTCGTGGAATGTTGCTGTGTGCGTTCACCTAGAAAATACACAGTCACTACACTTTATGCAGTAAATCCCGCCAATCCTTTGGGACTTAGATGACCTCATAAGGCATTGTACCAAGTATAGGATTATGACCATTATCTCTGCACACATCTGTAGTTCATATAACACAAATAAAATCAGGCTATTGTCTCTGCAAAACAGGTTTGCTTGCTTCATATTTGTTAGAACATTTTTTCTCTCCCTATCGCCCCCTCCCCCATCTGTTGATCTATCTCAGTGACCAGCGGTCACCTCCGTGTCGGACATGAGGGGCCCAGTAACTGAGATTCTTTGTAGCAGGGAAACGGAGAATATGATTCAATAACAAAGTTTGGCCAAAGGTTAACTCACTCGGTGCTCCAAGTTCCCACCACGCTTTCAAGTTGAACAATTTCCAGTGCCCTCGATCCGAGAACCGGTATCTGAATTCACGTTTCTTACATCCTGCCACTCGGCTTGGGCCGTCCAAGGGCAGGGGCTAACATAGCAAGTTATCTGCCGGATATGTTCTGCTTTGTGGTTTATGTGGTACATCCTTAAAATCCTTGCATTTGGATGAAATTGGTTATTCACTTCATTGCCACTTGTGGGCAAATTGGTTGCTCTGTTTGCTTACAAAAAGTACAGTCATTACACTTTACAATCAAACTCAGTAAGTGGGCTGATACTTCCCCTTTACGTTTATGTCAAATGTAAGGATATTTAATAACTTATTGGTGGTATGTTGACATGAAACAGGAATGGACTAAAACATCCCAGGAGAAATAACATGCCCCCAAGATAATTGAAGTTCTTTGCATACCTGCCTTGCTCCGAGCCAAATACCTGCACAAGGAAAAAAAACAGGTGCAGCAGCACACACACTGTTGTGTCCACTGGGAACAGAAGATGGGAAAAGCTTATAAAGTAAAGGTAAGCTCACCTTGGGGTTCGGGTGATACAAGGCTACATGGGTTTGGTTCACATAGTTCATGACTTTGACCTCCCAATGTGATAGTATTTAATAACTCATACCCACCCTTAATTGCAAGTTCAAAGCGCAGATTCCTCAAACACAAAATATTATTTTTTTCTGCAGAAGTCATTTTCTTCTTTCATATTTCACAATAACTAATGAATGTTTAAAAATACTTCTCTCTCACACTGAAAGAGATTCTCAGAGATTCTGTGGAAGGAATTCCTTCAGGAGATCAGCCTTACCTTAAAATATTCAAAATATTTCCTTTCGTGCCCCACCAGATACCCACATTTAGTTGGCTTCCAGGTCATAAGAACAGAAGAATCGCTCGACAAAAGAAAACCAAAGTCCATCCAGTTCACCTTCCACATCCTGGCAGTCACTTGCCCAAACTACATATTGTATCCTGAGATATAATTCTCAGAATCAATCTCATTTCTTCTTGAAATAATCAACACTTTCTGCTTCCACCGTCTCCCTCGGCAGCTTGTCCCAAACATTTACTACTCATTCATTGCAGTCGTGTTTCCACGGGTCAAATTATCACCTTTCTGGTACTTTCGGGCTCAACTTACAAATAAGTTTGAAGCAAAGCATGGTCTGTTTGATGCTCAATCTTCCCAGTTTGAGTCTTTGGGAACTGTCTACTCAGCCATGCTTTTTTTTTTACTTATACCTTTAATTCCAACACAGACGTCTCTCAAATGCCTCCTTCGGAACAAATGTTTCCAACCACTACAGATTCTGCTGAACGGAGAAAAAGCTAGAGAAAGTCAAAATATCGCCAACTTAAAACTCAAGGATGTACACAAATAACAGCACCAACTTCTTATCCTTTGGAAATGCACTTTCAGCTGCGCGTTGCAAAAGAACTTTGCACAAACGCTCCAACTCGTAATGTTTTACGACTCAATTTGTACAGCCTTTTGCTGTCAATCTTATGGTTCGACTTGGTCAAGAGAAAATTCAATTCATTTTCAAGAAATGCCTCAGTCAGGAATATCAACTGGTAGAAAATCTCCAAACTTACCCGGTCAGAAAAAAAAACTGTACTAAAGGTCAGTTCATGTAATGAAACCACAAGATTTTCAAGAATGATCCTTCATCTCAGAGAATGCCACTGTGTAATCAACAAGAGATGTCAATGAAAAACAAATCTCTATTTTATACAACAAAACAAATATTTATTTTGTTCTTGCTAGCAATATACAGGCTGTTTTGTCAACGTCCTGAAAGTGGCCCAAAAACGCTCGACAGATAGTGAAATTAATGAACGGCACTTTCAGCCCCACAATTCGGAAAAGAGTGTGGAAAACAAAAAACAACAAAAGACGACAGAAACACCGCAATGTGCAAAACGTGACACGATTATACACGTTCGACTGCTCTCACGAACAGGTACGCCAACGATTCCATCAACACAAAGACAATCAATGGTCAAAAAAGCTCGGCTCAACAAGTTAGACACAGAACTTTGCATAAATATAAGAATGTGCAATGTGTGAAAAGCACAAGGTTATTGAACGGAGAGGGAGAGGGTCTGGGGGCAGGTCAACAAAAAGGCATTCCTCTTTTTTTAAGATAAAAAATGGGAAACGTTATCTCAAGAATATCCAAATGGTCAGCCACTCGAGTGGATTAGATATTTAAGAGGTTGAGACACCAGTACAGACATCACACGGAAACCAACACTACTAGCATTATACTTGGATATTGGAAAACAGATACTTGACCAATGTCACTGATTTACTATTTCTACTTCAGAATAGCCATTAATGCTGCTCGTACCAGGCTTTACACCACCAATAAGTGATGGAGCTTGATGGGAGTGGAACAAATTGAATGGGTATATTGTGACACCAGTCTGTCATGAAACTCATTGGTACCTACTTCAGATGATACCACGGTTGCAGCAAAACAATATTAAAGTTGTTGCATTGGGTTTAATGGGGGCGTGGGGGAGGGGTCTGCATTGAGGAATTTGCGTGGCAAATTAACATGGTTAGTTTTTGGTGAGAGATGACTCAACACAGTATATGAAGAAAGTGGGGAAAAAAGTGACCCCATCTTTTCTTTGGGCTACCTGTGAGTATCCATCACTATTTGCACAGTCCAGCTGTTCCTAATAACAGTGCTTTTAAAAAATATATATCACGAGCCTAAACCGATGATACAATAACGTTAATACTCAGGGGCTGAGGCAATGGTATCAGACACTTTACTCAGTAACTGTCGAGTAAATAGACATCATTGGCAATGGGTTGCCTTTCGACCAAGTTCATTTGAAGCTAATTTGAGTGGTGTTGCACCTGGCAGGCATAATAACAGCTCCAAAGCCAGTACTTAGCTCCTCAATACCCCCTGATGAAACAGCAAATTTTACACAACCACCAAAACCCTGGAGGGAGGAGGGGGGGAGCAAACAAATGTTGACATTGCTAACTGTGCTTTATTGTGTCTCAATTTTAAACGGCTCTGATGGGAAATGCTTGCCGCTGAATCTTTTTCCGTTAGTCTTTCTTCTTCTGCAATGATACAAGATCCACGCGTCTTCTGTGGAGTACTGTAGCTCAGTGGTTAGAGCACTCGCTTTGCAAGTGAGAGACCTGAGTTCAATTCCAGGCAGAGGGCGAAACCTCGGGCAAGTTTCCTTACTCCACACAGAGCCTAATAATAATCCCTCCAAAACCAAAAACAATAATAAATTGGTCATTTTCAATCTACGACTGTTTGTGGGACATTGCTGTGCGCAATTGGCTGCCGCGTTCGCCCACAAATATACAGTCAATTCACTTTACAGTATATTCTGTGAAGCGCTTTGGGACGTCTGGAAGACGTGAAAAGCGCTATATCAAATGCAAGGATTATTATTTATTATTATTATTTCTTTGTTTTTCTGATCTTAAGCTAAGTTTTTAGCACATTTTTCCTCGAATGAAATGCCGTCATCCAAACATTCGAGTGTTTCAAGCTTGGGGGATAAAAATGGTGACTTTACAAGGCTGCAAGGGACAGTACAGTGCTTTGGTTCAAGTGAATCAACTCTATTTTTTTTCTTTTTTTAAAAAAAAACCCCTACAGAAGTGGTTGTTGCGCAACAAAGAAGGATTCGATCGAATGAAAACCAAGCAGCGAGAAGCAATGCAACCAGTTGTGCTAAACAAAATAGGACAAAAAAGCCGAAAAAATTAAATCTCAAGTCAGTTGGAACAATTCTCGTAAAACTGTATATTCTTAAGCAAGGTCAACAATAAATAATTCAGATCATCTTTTTTTTTATAAAAAATCCCCAATGGACAATTCTTTGTTTTCAATGCACTGCGATAGATGGGCCTGAAGGTAAAAGTCAACTTAAAACTGCTATCCCTGTCTCAGCCCGAAACTTTTGATCGTTTTGTTCCAAAGTTCTGATCAAAAGAGATGCAACCTTGAAAATCAAGTTTAGGAACCCTCCAGTTCTGTGGTGTCAACTGGTGTCCAACCACATGGCTGACTGACACTCCGAAGGCGAACAAATGCAACAACCGTCACGTGAGCAATTTGATGGAATCAGAGACTGCCCTTTGACATCAATGCTTGAACCGTTTGCCTAAAGTGGCCCAATGGAGGTGGGGAGATAGTCTCAGTCTGGTTTGGAGACTTTTTGAGCGATGGTGATGGGTTTCCGCATGTGTCAGACACACTTGGTTGACCCCCCCACCCCCCACCAAAAAAAAGGGAAATAGGTGCGTCGTCCTTGCGTCAAACTGCAGTGGTTTCTGGATGTTGCTATCCAGAAACGATGATCAGTTGTCCAGCATCCATCTCCAATAACAGCAACTTACATTACATCTGAACACTCCTGTGGTCGCTTCTTCTCACTTGCAACAAAAGAGAAATTCAAGAGAAATTCTAGCTCTTCGTTATAAACACTCAAACTCAGTCTGTTTGTTCTCTTGCATGCAGGGAGTTTTTGTGGGAAAGTCAGACATCCTGCAACTAAAGTACCACTGAAGAAAACCTGGGGTCGCTCCAAGCCCCTAAACCTTGCACTTTGCTTTTTCAAGCGTTTATGGACTAAGGTGTTTGAAACCGATTTATTCCAAATGCATTTTTTCCAAGACAGGGTTGAAGTTGTTACATAATCAACATTAAAGATTAATAGTGTCAATATCGAATGCGGTTTGAGATCGTGAAGTTCAATTGATTACTAACGCTGGTGTGACTTGCTTGAGCCTGGTTGGAAACCTGCAAGAGTTGCTGTGTACACTAAATAGACCTATTGGATTACCAATACGTTGGTCACAACACAAGGCCTGTTTGTGACCATGGTAATTTTAAGTGCTACCTTGCACTGCAGGTATTGAAACTATTTATTCTGCATTCATTTGGTGCAAACAATTATCATGGGACCAGAATTATTACTTATCCAGGCTGCCTGGCGCACATCTTGCTTTCGGATCGATGCTATCTGTTCAGATCAAGGCGACATCAAACGAGTGCAGGAAATAACAACCTGAAAAATCTGGGGGATGGAAAAGGGAGACGTACAACAGACTTGATCTTTTTGGAAGGGAAGAGCAGGTTAAGGGTGTGGCAAAGGTCAACATTGTTCTAAAGCAAGGCGAGATCCACATTTATTGGCAACTGTCATTACTCCAATGAAAATGTCCTAATAGTGAACAATGGGAGCACAGATTTTTTTTTGAAAAGACAGGTTGGTCTCACCCAAATTATTAATTACGTGCCTACGGAGGAATTTGAAGGAAGTTATTTTTCCGAACATTATGAACAATGACTGGGTTAAGTTTCGATGGGATCTGATGCACTCGATTAACTCTCGAGCTGCTTCCTTTTACATTCAAAGAACCTTAATGTTTATTGTAAATGGATTAATTCTGTTCGACAAATATTAAGTGCCTTTCATTGACTGTTACTGTGCAAGTTACTGTTATGTACAAAGACCAGAAGAGAAAAAGGTCAGATTTGTTTTTGAAGTACAGTTACGAGTAGTCTCGCAATGTGAATTTTGTCTCTTTTTTTTGCTGTAGAAATCCCTGCAAGATGGAGTGACAAAGGGCTCTTTGTAATACGGCGACAATACTTTTTTTTATCTAAAAGTTGGGGCACACTGACGATAACCATGCATTTTGCGGGTTCCGAGATAATATCCGAGTGTTTACAATTCGCTTTCGTAATTCAAAATAAGGATTTCTAAAGGTTCTGCGTCATCACTTCTACAACGTTCTTTAAAAATAAATTTTAAATATTTTTTTTCCATACACGGCAGACAGATACTGTACATTTTTTTTTGACAGTGCATTAAAATTAAACTGCTCTGCATTGAATAAAATGCAAAGAACTCAGGTCTTCTGTTTGGAGATCCGTCTTCGTCAACGTGGTGCGCAAGCGATCGACGGGGTGCGGAAACCCACACACCCGCTAACGAAGCAGCGTTCTCTGCTGGTTGATGGGTTAACGCCCCGCCACCCGAAGTGCGTGCTTCTTCAGCTCAAAGGGACGAGCGACCAAGAGGACTGTGACCTCTCGGCACTGTCGTTATTCTTGTGCTGGGACGGCGCTCAAAGTTCTCAAACGTCATGTACAGTTCTTCCAAGGTAGCAATCAAGTTCTGACACCTCAACCCCTCAGCACAGCGTGTCCGTGTTGAACGAAAGCTGAGCCTGAAAGGAAAAGAAAACAGACACTTGTGCTCATAAGATATCACTTGTACATCATGGTTTCAACACACACACACATTATCTCTCAACTTCCTCCATCTGATGAGGGAAGAACTTGCCCTTCTCTCGTCTAATCCGAGATACCACAAAACTTTGTCCGCAAAATACACAGTCAATTCACTTCATATATTCTTCAGTATATTGCGTGACGCTCTTTGAGATGTCTCGAAGACACGATAAGGCGCTACATCAAATGCAAGGTTATTACTCCACTTTACATCAAGCTCAGTCAAGCACTTGCAAGTGACAAGGCATCATGTCAAATGCAAGGATTATTGTTGGAATAGACGGCAAAAAAAATACAACTTGAACACTTGCCCAATCAATTTCACAACCATTAACAACAACAGCAGTAGCATTCAACAACAACAACAACAACAACAACAAGATTCGATTTATAGAACTTGCACACCGCTAGAGTCTCGGAGTGTTTATCAACTGTAATAAAAATACAAGTCCAGTAAATGTAATTTGGTGTTAACTCAGAGGTACCGAAGAGTTATCTCCTGGGTTTTGGCCTTTCATTGTCACCCCAAATATCAGGAAACACCCAAAGCAAAACATTGCAAATGAAAGAAAAACAATGGTTAAAGAGTGTGATGAAAGGCTACACCCAAAATTTTACCCTCTCTCTCTCTTTCAGTTGCCAATTGACCACCTCTTGGTATCGGTTTCCCGGAATTCAGATTAGGATTTTCTTGTCAACGGCATACTGTGTGTGTTCTCTGCATCAGCTTCAATATAAGATTTATTTTATAGGTTTCAAAGCGGAACAGTAACACTGCCTCTGAGGATGGCGGGAGGGGAGAGAAGTGGAGGAGGATAATTTGCCAGTGAATCCAGGAATATTCAATAACAAAGAAGAATGAATGCATTGTTTTTTTTTGATGTACTGATACGTTTCGCAATGTTCCAAAGCACTTCACACAGGTGCAACTAAATATTGTTTTGCACTAAACGCAGCAGGTTTCTCAGCAAACAAGGATTGGTCATTTGCGCTAGAAATAGCCATTTTTTGCCTTAGCAGATCTGATCGGACATGTTACAGGTTATTCAAGGGGATTATTAGCTTGAAACGCAGAAGACCAGAGGCACGAAGGTACAGAGAGCAAGACGTTCTTCAAATTAACGTTCTAAATGAAATGAAACCAACTTGTTTGTTGTTTAAATGAGCAAGTGGGGGTTTAATCCACCAAATAGGCTCCATGACACTGACTGATTTGCTGTCATTAGTGAGCTATTTACGTTTAAAGACGTATCAAGAGCGATTTTGCCACCTTATGCTTGCAGCCTGCCAATGAGACCCATTTCCATCGAGTCCACGAGCCACGAGAACAAAAGGTTGGCAGCTTCTGTTTGCTCAGAACACCTGTTGTGACGAGCAGAAAACACACGACATACCCGTTCCTCCTCGAAGCTGATCAAGCCATCGTCGTCGCTCTCGAGCTCTTCCGGTTCTTCTACGGTCAGTGCCTGTAGTTCGGTGGTGGTTCCCTTTGGCCTCAGCAGGCTGAGAATTCGCTTCACCGGGGACTGCACGCTCCCGGTACTGACAGTTTCCTGTTGCTCCAGGTTATCGCTCTGCTTCTTTGCGAAGTTCACGAAGACCTGCAGAATCCAACGAGCAAGAGAGAGACGCTGCCGTTTACTGATGTGCCAACGCGCTGCCAACAACAGCAGCAACAACAACCACTGGCAATTAGACAGCTCCCCTCACACAGGGTACCGTGCCAGATCATCCGACCACAGAGCAAGTTTGCTTCACAGTCATGTCTCAGATTCATAAAATAATAATAATTATTATTACTCCAATTGCCAAGCACCTTTGCAACTGGATGCATCGTCTTATCGTGTGGTTTGTGGGACACTGCTGTGCGAAAATTGACCGCTATACATTTCACCGGTGAGGAGTACCGATGTGGTCAAGGGGAAATCAATATACGGATCAACATGCCCCAGTGTTGATGATCCCACATTTCCTTCGCCTGGCTCCCTGCCTTGCCTCCTTCAAGGCACATCTCATGACCCTCCTCTTCGACCACGCCATAGTCCACCCTCCTACCTTCCCCGATCCCAACTCCCCAGCTCGGGCTCAAATCCCTGTCTGTCCAGCGCCTCAGGACGTCCTCCCGACGTGAAAGGCGCTGTGTAAATGTAATTTTGTATTGTATTGTATCAAGGCCCTATTTCCACCGCCATCTATTGTTGTCAATGTTCCTCAGGATCTACTCACATTGTCCAGTGTTGTCTGGCTGACCGAGTAGTCCTCGATATTCAGCACATCGACCACCTGCTCCATTTTGCTGAAAACCTGTGCCAGCGAGATGTTTTCTGACTTCAGCTGGTATTGCACTTTGGTATGATGTCTCTCCTGGTGCAGAACAATAATTTAACACATGCAAAAATCAATCGCAATGTACCCACAGAGTTCAACTCTTCGGTTGCAGATAAAATGAGACCCTCTAATGTCCAATATTGGTTCACATGGCCCACCAAGTAAAGGGAGAACCTAAGCAGTCGCCTTGTGCTTGGGAGACAAACTTGTGATTGGGGACTGCTCGGAGGATTCTGCCTTCGGCCAAATTCCTACCTTTAGAATTGCTTCGGGGAAATTCCTGTTAAAAAAACGGACCACCTCTTTCACATTCAGGCTGGACTTTGTGCGGACAGTCATCGTGTAACCGTCTCCGAACCTGGAATTCAAATAATAAAACAAATTAACCACCCGGTCACCAAGTGGCCACTGACGATCACTTTCCTGTGAGGCCTCCTGTCCAAATGTTAGATTTTTTTTTAATAATAATAATCCTCGCGTTGATGTAGCGCCTTATCAGGTCTTTGAGTCGTCTCAAAGCGCTTCGCAGAACGCACTGGAAAGTGAATTGACTGTGTATTTCGTAAGTATCGTTGTGAACTGCACGTGGAGAAGTAAGCGCTATTCTGTTGTATTCTTTTAACTAATTACTAATTAGTTAGTAATCTAATCTGAATTAAAAAACATCAAGATTTGCGTCAGTCTTTGCTTCACCAAAGGGGGCCTACAAAGAGCGAACTTGATTCGCGTTCCTCTGCTTCAAACGAAAGGAGTTGTGTCATCGAATTAGCATGAAATGAAACTGAGAGAGCCTTGATTGCACAGCAATGGATGCTTTAAACACTGAATGCTCAGGTTGGGCTGAGCTGGAATGTGACTTTACCTGTTCTTCAGGTGCTGGATGCTGCCGAGGCACTTGAAACGTCCGTTGACCATAATCGCCAGTCTGGTACACAGTGCCTCGCATTCCTCCATGCTTCCGAGGTGTAAAGAGAAAGATATCAGAGAGGGGGAGGGGAAAACAAAACCTCTGCAGTCACGTACAGCACTTCACATTGCATCCTGGGGAGAGCTTTGAGACGTCTCAAGGATATATATATATTACATAGATATATATAATAAAAATGATAATAATAAGTAAATTGGTCACTTCAATCCACGACTGTTTGTGGGGACGCTGCTGTGCGCAATTGGCTGCCGCGTTTCGCCCACAAAGCATACAGTCAATTCACTTTATGGTATATTCTGTGAAGCTCTTTGAGACGTCTCGAAGGTGTGATAAGTCGCAATATCAAATGCAAGGATTATCATCATTATTATTATTATTAATGCCTTCCCCTCGCATTGGATGTTTCTCATTCAATTCAACATTAGCCATTCTCTCACATCGTATCTCTGCCCAACCTTCTTGATATTCCAGCACGTTTGTGGTTATTTTTAGGGCAGGAGAGAGGAATCAATAACACCCTTTTTGGAATGTTTCCCTTGCAGATGCTTGTCACTTTTTTTGAAAGCTATCAAAGATTTAGCTTCAAAGACCATTTTTTGGTACAGCATTGCATGACCTAACACTCAGTTTGTATAACGAATTCTTCTAAGCTCGCTCTTTTGATTCCACCCACATCACACACGCACACAAATCAATAACCTGATTTGCTAAGGTAGTCCAACCTCCCAATCCCTTTGTTTATTTCTGACTCATTCCTGAGTAACCGTCGAAGTGTTGGGTTTGAATTGGGTACAGTCCATTTTTTAATTGAGTCAGCAAGCTCATTTGGTGTCGATGAAAAAATAATCTGTTGATACTGGAGGAATTTATGATTTTGAAAACCGGTGACTGAAAGCATTGGAATGCGTTTACAAGCATTTGTTTCTGAATTAGATCACATTTCCTCAAGGACACCTGTAATAACCTGTGATAAAATTGGTCACTCCCCTCATTACTGTAGCCATTACCATACGCCAAATATATCATGTGATTTCCACTGAACTATACTTGTTCCTGTTTTTGGGTGGCTGGTGGTAGGGATAATACAAGGGCTGGGATATAGCTCTCTCGCTCCTTCACATACAATTCCCCTCTATCAGTCTTCAATTCACAACACCAGTTCTACTGTAATTATATGGATGTTACGTGACTGATATGATCAAGGCTTGAAAGCCTTTCGCAATGGAAAGAGTTCAAAGAAATCTGCCACCTTTGAAGTGAATGCATTGCTTTGTGGAACTAATTGGAGGCGTTTGTTTTAGAAAAACAAAAGAATTGGGACAAGCACACACAGTTGAAGGGCAGTAAAATGCATAGGGGGAATTGGGAGTAGGATGCATGGCTTTGGAGAGGAGCAAACACACAGTCAATAAAATGGGCCAAATGGGTTTTGTTGGGTCCTGATTAATGCTGGCCTGAGTCTCTCTGACCAGAGGGCAGTTTTCCGTCTTTCCTCTTCTGACTCTTGCACCTTACCTGTGTGATGTCAGGACCACTGATCTCCCAGTTTTGATGATGTCAAGGATCAGGTTCCAGAGAAATCGTCGTGCTTTCGGGTCCATTCCTGTAGTAGGCTCATCCTTAAGAGAGAAGAAGGGCAGAAGGTTATAGAGAGGGCACAACCGGTGCAGACAAAGTGGGGCAGGGCAAGAGTACTTGTTCAGGTCGAGGGAATGGAACACCGTGGACCGTTCGAAGCGAGGGTACCAAATTGTAGACTTTTTGGGGGTACACATCAGGTTGAATCCATCTGACGTGTTTTTGTACAGGATTCTTATGGCCAAGTGAGGAGACTTTCATGCCACCAGCCTGGGCTGCGTTCAAACCTAGGTCCCAGAGGCAAGAAATTGTGTAAACTCCACTGGACCAAGTGGTCTCCTTCTGTGCTGTAAGATTCTATGAATCTGTGATTCTATCAATGTTATGATTGTTAAGATTTTGTGGATGCAATTTTCCTCTTAAAAGGGATTCTTACTCTTTGGACCCTAGTGCTGTTTTTGTTCTATTCTGTTTTAAATTGACATTCACTATACGCAATACGTTACTCATCGCGCAGTCTGCTCGTTTTTTGTGCTTCGTGAAACCTTACACTGGTCTCGTTTGCACACTCAACCAGAGAAGGCTGCTGCAGAATCTCGCATCAAAATCTTTCTCCAAAGGAATCTTAACCTAGAGGGAGAAGTTTGTGTCGTGCCAATAACGAGATAGAGCTGTTTTAACAGTGCGTCCCACAACATTGTGATTGGGTACTGGCTCCTGTGACAGCTCCAGGTACATTGCATTGTTGGGAAGTGTCATATCTTTGAATCAGATATTAAACCGAGGCCCCGTCTGCAAGATTAGGCAGATGTTAAAGAGCCCCTGGCACTGTTCGAAGAAAGAGTTAGCAGGTTGCAGAGGCCCTCCTGATCCATCGAGCCCCCTCTGCTTTTAATTAGCTGGTTTCGCCAGAGACAGAGCAGCCAAAAGTTTGGGGTGAATCAAATTCTGCTGCTCTGGACTCGAGAACTCCGAGTTGCAGTCACACCATCAATTTACCATTTTTTTAGTAGAAGAATCATTGCTGGAGAAAGTGCTCAAGGCACTGAAGAAACCAAGAACTTCCCCAACCTCGATGGAATATTTTTAATGGTGCGAACATGACCTATTGTTTCTGAGCGCCCACACCCTGCGCAAGTCTCTGTAATCCTTACCAGAAAGATTAAGGACGGATAACCAATCAGAGCAATGGCTGTGGAAAGCTTCCTCTTGTTCCCTCCGCTGTACGTCCCTGCAGGTTTGTCTGCATACTTTGTCAGTTCCAGCTTGTCGAGGGCCCAGTTGATAACCTGGAAAAATGGGTGAGAGCGCAGACAAATGATGGCTGCACCACCGCCGTTTAAATACCACCAAGAAGCGAGGCAGCTGTTCCAACGCAAATAGGGACCGGCTCATTATATTTATATGAACCGCTGTGTGCATTTGGCTCAAAAAATACACAGTCTACAATATATTTTACAAAGCAAAAGATCGATCCACAAAGCAAACTAAATCCAAGGCAACTGGAGTGAGAGGCGGCACAATGAGCCGTACTAAAGGCTCCACGGAATATTCACTAGGTTCAGCGACAGGAGTGTGATAGATCCGGTAATGACTGCATTACCAGTTCAAACTCACTACACTTTACGCACCTGTTAAGCGCTTTAATAGGTTCTCCCAACGCGAAAGGCACTGCATCCAACGCGAGGTTTATTATTTTTATGAAAAGAATACACCACCGGAACGCTTTCCAAGCAATAATGAAACTTGATACAGCGCCTTATCACGTCGTTGAGACGTCTCAAAGTGCTTCACGGGATACACTGTAAAGTGGAGTGACTATATGGGCGAGATCATTAGTTTGCACCCTGAAGGAGAATAAAAAAGGAACCAGTGCAAGCAATTAGCGCTAAGGAGTCTTTTAATGTTCTTTTCCCACCCTCAGCTCTTACCCTGGCCTCATCTTTCCAAGGAACGCCACGCAGTCTCGTGTAGAGTTCCATGTGTTCTCGAGCCGTGAGCTCGTCAAAGAGGGCATCGAACTGTGGACAATACCCAATACTCTGCTGCACCTTCAGCAAGTCCTTAAGGATACTGAAACAGACAAAACAACATGAAAAGCATATTAATAATATTAATAATAATCCACATGTTTGATATGGCGCCTCGTCACTTTGTGGAGACGTTTCGAAGCGCTTCACAGCACCTGCTGTGCTGGCTTCCCCAACTCGCCAGCTAGAACTGTACCGTGATTGCCTAGTCATAGATGGAACATTTGCGGAGGATTATTGACCAGGACACCTCCCTCGTTGGGAAAAACTCTCCTCTCTTGTTTCCCGAATCCTGCTAGCCAGTGAAGATTCATTCGGTTAGTGCAGGGGTGAATTTCATTTCCCCACCGACATTCTTCAGCGCTTTACACACACAGCAACATTTTTAAGCTCCTGTCAACGTTAACACGTCCAGCCTCACTAACCTGTTTCCGTTGACAAAGGCCTCGCCGCCAGTGGTGCTTTCGTCTCCAGTCAGCATCTTAAACGTCGTCGTCTTGCCAGCTCCGTTCACCCCTAGAAGCCCAAAGCATTCTCCGGGCCGCACGCCCACACACAGGCGATCAACCGCCAGGATCCGACCCATTTTACGAGACTTGTACACCTGGACTCGACAAGATAGAAAAAGAAGAGAAGAGATCTCACATCAACGGGCCAACCGGGAGCAAGGAGTCTTCCCACTCAAAGCCCGGCTTTGTCAACGGCTCAGCCCTTCAGCCGAGACATTAAACCGTGGTCCTACTGTCTGTCTGTTCATGTGGATAGTAAAGATACCCTGTGACATGATTTGAAAGGAGAAGGGAGTTTCTCCTGGTGACTTGGTGAACAATCCCTAAATTTAAAAATTGGTCATTCACTTCAAGGCATTATTGTTTGCCGCCTTCAGTGGCAGATACACAGTCACGACACTTTACAGAATAGTCTGTGAAGCATTGCGAGATGAGGTGCCTTCTCTTCGAAGGATAATTTTAGACAGGGTACTTATTTTCTTTTTAAGCTGACATCAAAGAGGAGAAAAAAAAACGGTTGTGTGAAGTCACCGGGTACACTGCTCAATGAAACAGGAGTTTCCAGAGGTAGAAGCGTATGCAAGATACATAGCAGTGTGGGCGCAGAACGGGAAGCTTGGAATGAACGGGTTGATGTATTGATGTACAGGGCTTGTAGTTCCACTGCCCTCGAGTGTTACCTTGGTTAGATTTTGAATTCTAAGAACATCGGTGTCTGCATCTCCCCGCAGAACCCTCCTCCTCTCGTTCCCCACATCCACATCATCATCTTCGATGGGCTTGTTAGACACCGGCAGGCGTCTGTGTAAATCAGGAACAGAATTAGCTTGGAGGCGAAGGGCTGCAGATCTGCCTCAAAAGTCTTTAAAATGAAAAGCGCAGCTCGATTTAATTACACTCCAATTATTATGCCGAGCACCGTGCAGACGCCAGAAATAGAAATCAACTAAAAGTGGATGATTCGCACATGCAGAGGCTTAATGGCTTGGCTTATACCTCATCGTTAACTTCTGGTCCCCGCACCCTTTGAACAGAGAGACCATTATTGTTAAGACAACAAGCCGAGCTGTGCTGACTTTGAAGGAGCCAGGACTGAACTCAGCTGGGAACGCTGTGTGTCCTGGTTAATCAATCTCCCAGATAGAAAATGGATCGTTCACTTCATGGCTGTTTCGTGGGACGTTGTTGCGTCCACAATTAGCCGCAGCATTTGCCTAATAGCAAAATAGCCAAATAGCCACCGCACTTTACAGTAAAATCCTTCGAGACCCCCGCCTGACGCGAAAGATGCTGCAATTGGAATTTTTTTTTTAGTTAACACTGATAATCAATTTCATGAATCTGATGATATTTAACCCTTTCTATCAGGCTTTTCAGTCACGTATCGGAAAAGCTGTGCATTGCGGAATCCCGTAGCTCAGTGGGTAGAGCACTCGCCTCGTAGGCGAGAGACACCTGGGTTCGATTCCCAGGCAGGGCGAAATGTTGGGCAAGTTTCCTTACTCCACACGTCTCTGGTTGCCTCGCAGTAAGTAGGAACCCGGTTTTGTTAGTTGATTGGCGGATTGCTTTGCCGGGGGGAATAATAATTGCTTAAAATAATAATAATCATAATAAATGAGTCACTTCAATCCACGACTGGTTGTGGGAGACACTGCTGTGCGCAATTGGCTGCCGCATTTCGCCCACAAAATACAGTCAATTCCCACTTTGCGCTGTATTCTGTGAAGCGCTTTGAGACAACAACAACGTCTCGAAGACGTGATAAAGTGCTATATCAAATGCAAGGATTATTATGATTATTAGGCCTCAGGATAGCAGGATGTCCAGGTTTCCCACTGAAGGACCGAATAGCTTGTGCGCTGGGAGTCTTGACAGTGTACTTACTGTGGCTTTCTGAAGAAGTTATACTGGCACATGATGGTAATGAAGAAGCCAACGAACCCTTCAATGGTCATGGCCACCAGGCCCCGCGTTACAATGTCCCATTCAAAAGGAGATTTCATCTTGTCAAACTGACCTGGGGGCACAAACTGCGCTGTAGAATCCAAAGTATTTCAGAGGAAAACACGCAGCCTCTCTGGCGGGCGTGTAAGAATTGCAGTGGCCATTCTTTACAAAGCAAACAGATGGACTTCCGTTCTGAAGTAACAATGCAGGAAGTCCCAAGACCGATAAAAATTGCTGTGCGCAATTGCCTGCCCCGTTTCGCCCACAAAATATACAGTCGCTGCACTTTACAGTAAAATCTGTGAAGGGCTTTGAGACGTCTCAAGTTACAAAAAAATACAAGTATTAAAAAATTCTTAATAACACAGAATTAAGCGCCAGGGCACAATCTAAAAGCAAATAATTACCTTGAGACCTGCCTCCTCCTCAAAATAAATAAAACAGCAGTTCCGGGTATTTACCTATTTTTGCGTAGTATTCGTTTATGTACTCATTGTAAGCCATTTCCATCAATCCATGGCCCAGATTATAATTGGGGAAGATGAGAAAGCAGGACTTCAGGTAACCATTCACAGCTTTCAGGTCCTACATGGAAGACATTGGGAGGAAAAAAGAAGTTATCAGTGGTCCTGAAATTGCAACTCAGCAAAAGAAAAAACAGGAGAATAATGACTCGTACATTCGTTATTTTCACAACAGATGGACATCTCAAAGCTCTTCACCACAATTGCTGTCAAGTAGAATGACCGTGTGTGTTGTAGGTGAACAGCATCCAATTCGCACACAGTAACATCCCACAAATAAGCCACGAAGTGAATGACCGATTTTATCTGGGGTGAGAGTTGTCGGCCAGGACACCGGGAGAAAGAAACTCTCCTCTCCTGTTGAATAGCGCCACGGCACCTTTAACGTGCACTCGAACAGCCAGGTGGGACCTCGGTTTGTCTGATCAAAAAAAGGCACCTCCAAAAAAATGGATTGCACATTCCAACCCCCACCACACGCTGGATTACAGGAGTCCCAATGAGGGGCTTGAACCCACAAACTTCTGACTCAGAGGCGAAAGGGCTTCCAACTGAGGCAGGCTGGCACAGGCTGAATAAAATAACCCTCTCACCAAATCCACAATGCGCATTGCAGACGCTCAAATGTATATTTCAGGGTTGTTTGTGACCAGGCGGAACTCGCAGATAACCATTGAAACTTCGCTCCCAGAATAACATAGGCGTCGAGAGCAAAGAGGTCGATCGGGTGGAGAGCGGGGAGGACAGATGTTGCTCCGAGACCCACCTTGTCGTGTTCGAACAGCTGAAGCAGGAACGTAGCGACCGTTGCTGTGATACCAATGAAGAGGTTGATAACGATCAGGAACACGTAGGCTGTACTCGGCACCTCAAACCAGAAGGACGCTGGGTACATGATAGGAGTGATTGACCATCTGTGAAAGAAAGAGCGACGTGGAGTGTTAATAATGATCTCTTGAGAAATACGCACCTTCCTCTCCTCTCCCTCCCTTGCGTTAACCCTGGCTCAGTCGGTAGTAGCACTCTCGCCTCTTGAGCCAAAAGGTTGTGGGTTCAAGACCCCCCCACCCCTCCCCAGCGTCAGGAATTTAAACCGGGGAGGTACCATCTGCCAGATGGGGGGGGGAGGGGAGTTAAAGATCCCATAACACTGTTCGAAAAGAGAAAGGAGTTTCTCTCTCCCAGTGTCCTGACCAACAATCCCCCCAAATAAAATCAGTCATTCGCTAATTGGCTGTCTGTGGAACATTTGCTGTAGGCAAATTGGCTGCCGTGTTCACCCACAAAATACACTCGACCTTACAGTGTGTTCTGTGAAGTGCTATGGGGTGTCCGCCCAATGTGATAAGGCACTACATCAAATAATAATAAAAATCCTTGCATTTGAATACTTGCGCCTTATCATGTCTTCGAGACGTCTCAAAGTGCTTCACGGAATACACTGTAAAGTGAGTTGACCGTGGGCGAAATATAATAATTATTCTGAGCCACCGTGAGCATTGACTGAACAACAGATTCAATTGATTGACCTGAGCCCAGTGAAGGTTTTCAACCCCTCGATAACTAAGTGGAAAATAAAAGATTAAATCTAGGTTAAACTTAGTCACCGCACCCCCTTGTTCAGAAGCAACTCTTGATTCGATCTCTCGCATTCAATTTTAAAAATATGCAACCACACCTCGTGTGTTGAAGTGCACTGGGCATGAAAAGTCCCCAACCTAACATTTTGAGCGCTTTAAAGGTTATTCACGATCGGTGCCAGAAAGTCAACTCAAACGATCATGTCTGAACTCTGTTTTCCTTATCTGCTGAAAATCAAAAATGCACAAACATTTCCAGTGACGGACCCTGCCTACCTAATTCCAGGGAGTACTTAGGCGCGGGTTGACGAGAGCTAAGGTTTAGGGCACCCTAGAGTATGAGTTGGGGGTACAGCTGGAGGTTAACCAGCTAAAAACTGCACGGCTTGATTGAGCGCACTGTCTGGGAAGCTTCCTGATCCTTGTCCAGCTAGGACCATTCTACCTGATAACTCTGTCTCCACCCAGTGAGGCTCCAGACGGGCATTTCGTGAATGATTTGGTACAATAATAATCTAATAATAGCCTGTGCTATTTCCGGCAATACAGCACAACAATCAATTTACCTACGACGTGCGCCTTACTGGGAAACATACAAGACATGCAAACAGAATAATTGCACTGTCTGTGATCCTGTATTCAGGTACAAAGCAAACACAAAATAGATTTAAGACTGGTTCTTCAGCAGTAAACAAAAGAAAGTGTTTCTAAGATCATATCGGATGAGATCTCTTGGCTAAGGTCCAACGCAACAGCATTGGGACAGTTGGACCCAACCCTGATGTCTGTGACTCCATACTTTCACATGACTTACCCGTAGAGCAAGAAGAGCGAGAGGACAGCTGGGAAGTTGGTGGGGGAGGTGTACGCCGGCAGATCAAACACAAATAGTATAAGGACGCAGCAGGTCGCTGGTACCAAATAATTCAGCTTTAGAACAAGAGAAAAAGACAATAATGAATGCTTAATGTACAACGCAGGTCCACAACACAAGCATCTCAGTAAGATTTGGGGAGCCATTTGTGTTCGCCACCGATCTCTTCCACTGCCAGGAATTGGTGTAAGCAGAGAATCTAATATTATGTTTTATTCAGAAGCACAGAGCTGAAATCGCATTGAAACGATTAACCCAGTTCAGCCGTTACAGAGGATCAAAGATTTAACCGGCTTTTCATGCTGGGTAGGTCACACAAACGTTACAAACATGTTCACTTCAATTCACTCGATAAACAAGGAAACGGTCCATGCCTAAAATCAACAAGAGGGAGTGTGTGTCCTCTGTGTGAGGACAACCTCAAGGCCTGAACTCCTCACAGCCATTCAGCCCCCTTGAGCCTGTTCCGCCATTCTATTAGATCATGGCTGATCTGTACCTCAACTCCAAATTTCTGAGATCCCCTCTACAGATCAGCCGAACACATCGGTCGGTCACCACTGACATAGCAAATGTTTCAGTTTTGCACGGATAAATCAAACCGAACCAAAACTTTGGTCGTTTGGAATTTTGGAACCGCTAAAGAGTCCATCTTCTGCTGCAGGACCCAGCTCTGAACCGGGAAACCAGCGCAGTGAGAATAACTGTGTCTAAACGTCAACGAAGAGTTCAATTCCAGCTCGGAGGGAAAAAATGGAACATCTCTGGAACTAAGTGCAAGTGTGAAATATTCAACCGTAATTCTATCTCCTCAGAGCAGAGGCTATCTCCCCCATCCCCACCATCTCTTACAATAAAGTGCTAAATGCAAGTGGCCCTCACCATATCCCAGACGTAGTTGGCCAGCCAGTAGATGACTGGGTCACATCCACTGACAAACTGCAGGTGCTTGGCTTTGGTCGACTTTTCTGCCACCAGGAAAACCACAAAGCTGGCCGGGACGAAGGACATGGCCACGATGATGAAGATAGCAATGACCACATCCGTGCCCTGCAGACTGGGGAGAGGATGTGAAGAGTGGTCGGGTGAACTCGAAGCCACATTGAATATATATCAGCAACCAAAACCACAAGTGGAGATGCACAGTTGTTGGTTCAAGGTAAGTTGTTGCTGACAACATACAGTCCATAAGTTGTGTTTTACTTAGTGGTGAAAAATACTGATTTGGAAAGGATTAGGAGGAAACGTTCGACACAAAATAGGAGAGCTCCATTACAGGGGAAATCACAGGTGAAACCTTGCACTAACATAGGAACTACATACAGTTTTACAACACATGATGTATGGCGGAGGACGGACGGGCACATTGTAAAGCTACACTGCATTCCTGTGAGACTCATCATTAGACTAGCCGTGAAGCGACGGAGTACATGAAGCACTTTTTCTTTATAATCACACCGAGTAATTGCCATGTCAAATTGAAAACCCCAGTGAAAATTGTCACACGCACGGTTAAACAGAACAATGCCAAGGCATCTAATGCTGCAAATATCAAATATTGTATTAACCCAAATCTTACAGGTAGTCGAGAGATAGGCTGGCGCTGGTCTTGTTCATTGGATGATTAGTTACTGTGATACCTATAAAAACAAGTAAGACATTAATTAAAGAACAGCAAATGGAGATAAAGCCCATATGCAGACTGTATTTTTAGCAGGGCAGATCACTGAGGGCTAATACAGTAGTGTCAAAGAACAGTAATAATAATCCATGCATTTGATATAGTACCTCATGTTGTCAAACAGTCTTAAAGTGCTTCACGGGATTTACTGTTAGGTGTAGTGATTGGGTATTTTGTAGGCAACTTGCACACAATTTAATGCTATTTTGTGTCATGTAATGGGGTTCTCAGCTATCCAAATGTATTTTCCTTTGGACGAGATAGAGAGAAAACCAAGAGCTAAGAGTCTGAAACAGAAACGGAAAATGCTCAAAACGCACAGGAGATCATCCAGAGTCTGAAAGAGCATTCTCCTGTTCTCACCCTTCATCAGAACTGGAAACTGGTGAAGGAACTGAGCCAAACTACAAGCCCATACTTTTTAAACGTGTTGCCGTGTACTTCCTGTATTTTACATACAATCAGGTTGCTATCCTCAAATCCTGGAGTTAACACTCAATGGTACGAATATTCTGCTTCTTTCCACTTTTCCTGCTACAAAACAATTGTTCTGCTTGGGCTCAAACGCCCCATTGCCACTTGCAAAGTGTCCCCCTGCATTATCTGTACACGCCACTCGTGTTATATACTCCGTTTAAGAAAGAAACGGAAATCAGGCAGGGCTACTCGAGGTAAAGTCAGAAAGGACTCCTTTCCGGTTGTGTCATATACTTTGTTCGGCATTTCCTCTCCTGTGTCTGCAACATAGAGATTGGCTTTAAGTCACATCTTCCTGCCAATCTCCACAATGCTACAAAGAATGCAATGGGTATTGTGCCTTCTGAGAGACAAGTTCAAGGTCGGATTCAGCCCTTGTTGTTTGTCCCCAGGGAAGGGGCTTGTCGGTATGTGCCTTGCCTAAGGTACGTCAGCGTGCAAGTCGCTCAAGATCCATTCACGAGGTACGAGATTGCCACAAAAATAATCTCATCATTATGAATCGTTATTATATCATAGAAAGACAAATAGTCAGTCAGTCACACAGGGCGAGGTGCATCTCAATCATGTCACCTTCCAGCCGCAAAGACAGACGGTGACCTCCGAACTTCAGAATCTGTTCACCGTCATGTAGAACTGAAGAGCGTTCTTGCAGCGTTCACAAACATCGCACCAGATGTCCAGAGATCAACAGTCATCGGAAGTGATATAAAGCATCCCGGCCTTGACAAGGGCCGCTGTGTAATACTGTCTACAAATCACTTCTAAAGCCATTTTATCCGTAAGCTTCCACTTTACCAGGATTTTACAAAATCCTTTTGGAAAAGGGAACACACACATGAAACAGATGTGGTCATTAAAGTTCCAATATAAATATAAACTAAAAAATTGAAGATGTTTCACAAAACAACTGTTTCCCGATGAGTCCAGATTGGTCAAGCTGGGAAGTCAATGTGTGAGACACAGGTTCCTCTTTGCTCTCTCTCTCCTCTTCCCCATCACCCCCCCCCAAAAAAAATATTCACTTTGCACATCATTCCCAATGTTGGCCACGGTACTTCAATCCGGGATGCCGGTGTAGGAGAAAATAAGAAAATTACATTGGGAGGAACAATGATCAGGAGAGCAAGGCTACAACAGACGGCTGCAGTACCAAGTACTGATGTTTCAAGCCAGGACTCGAAGCCTGGCTCTGTTTCATGGAGCGGTGCTGCAAACAAGAATCACAGTTAGGGTGAAGAAAGCCCCCATTTTGATCTCAACCTTCCAGAAAACCCACCCTTCCCTTACCCTCCCCATCACCGCATCAAGCTGCTTTTCAAATGAATCCAGTGTTCCCAGCCTCGACCACTTCTCCTGGCAATTTGTTCCAGTCGTCGCTTACTCTCTGAGTAATGAACGATCACCAGATTGATTGGGATGAAGATCTCAACCTTCGTAAACACCCATCCTACCATCCTCCTATCAGAGCGAGACAATTAACACGCAGGCTACGTTTGCAAAGGTCACTCTGACTGATCCAGGAAAAAAGACATCGAAATAAAAACCCAAACCCCTCCCACAGAGATGCGTGTGGCAAAGTGTTGGGTTAGATGTTTTAAAAAAACTCACACACCGCTGTGAGGGGAACCTAAAGCGAGAAATATTTGCAATCGACTTTGGCTGCCACCAGATGGCATTGTGATGTACATTTTGCGCTGGTGAACGACAGACAACGCTTGCTGGGATTTGGAATCTGCACCTCGTTAAAACTGAACCAAGACCTTTTCAGCTCATCCCTGCAACCAGGCTCAGAGAACAGACGGGCAAGCTTGCTCGCTCATCGTATCTGTCGGCACGCAGTTCAGTCCAGGTCAATTTGAGAGAGATGAAATTGTAGCAGCAGGTTATTTATTATTATTATTATCGTCATCATTATTATTACTGCATCCTAGAAAGATAATTAGCCGTCACATAATGGGAGAAAGATAAAAGGAAATCCAGTGCTCTAGCAGCTTGCACTACGTCAGCTCAACACATGGGTTTGTTTCCAATATACCGAGTTCCCGACTTGAGCCAGGCTATTAGGGTAGCTTCTAGGAGTGGCTTCTCTCAAATGACTGGTAAATAAAAACACAGTTAAAGTCAGAGGACTGCTCCAGCAAGTCCTCGGGGTAGCAGTTGCAAGAGGAGTTACGAAAACGACTGTATGCTTCAAAGTAAATCGACACGTGAATCGCTTTGAGACCTTTTGACGTGATAAGGTGCTATATTAAACACGGAGTGGAGGAAAGAGGTCAAACCTATTCCGAGGAATGCAAACTAATTGGCTGTGTAAATGGAGGGCTCATCTTCCTCACGTTGAGATAAGGAGAAGCCACAAATTGACTTCAAAGCAACAGTGCTCTAATTAGTCCCTGACATTTGACAGTGAAGAAAAACGTTCATAAGAGTAGAGAAGGAAACAGAAAGGTCAGTGCTGATTATATAAGTAATTAAACAGCTCCACGAGAAACAGAGTGAGAATTGACACCTTTCACAGTCTCTGCTCTGAACAAATATTCTAATGTAAAAAATCTTTTTCCCGTCAGCCAGAGGTGTCTGACACTTGCGGAAACCCATCATCGTGCATAAGAGTTTCATGCATCCCACCTACACGTGAAAATTCCCATTCCCATGGAACGCGTACACTCTCTCCCTGGAGTTCTTTGGAGGTTACAAACAACTGTGAATAAACCGATGCAATTGAACGATATTTTACCAGGTTAGACCCTTAAGGAAAGCTTCAATTCTTCATCAAAGAGTATTGCTAGCATCTGACCAGCTACTAGCGTAACAAATACATGTTACAAGCAGTCAATTGATCGGACTGCACCGAATCAGTGAAGGGACTAACTGGTTGGAATTGGATAATCAGCTCAGAATCAGCTCGCTGGGATGCCCACAACGGCCCCAAGTGATATGTATTTAAATATTCTCTTCCAGAGCCTAATAAGCACAATTGCACTGCACAAAACCTCTCCAAATGCAGCACAAATTGGTGGTCATGTTCACTGAAACCTTTTATCGCTGTCAAAATGCGAAAAATCTACTGGGAACAAGTATTAACTCCGAACATCTTAACATGGTCTTACAATTCCCGCTCTCTTTAAGTTCTCCCGGAGGAGGTATTTAATTGACTATCAATGATCTCTCTTCAATGTTCGCTGCAAAACTGCAGAGAACACCAACAGTCGTCAAGATGAGGAGTGGCAGGGATGATGAATGGTTATACTTCTCATCAAGGTTGTCCAGTCTCACACCAAAGTGGTTCACAATCAGCTACACAGCAAATTGCCCTCTGCTCCCCCCCAAAACTGCTTTACTCTGACCTTAGAAGGCCACCGCCTACGGTATCAGTGTGAACGTTTCCATTTCACACAGCAAGTTATTGCTTCAGAGCTTTCTCATTCTGTGAGATTGCCAATTAGTGCTGGACTTAGGGGCATTCTGAGCTGTGTTAATAATGGGTCAGGAGCTTCGAAACTGATTTTACCCAAACCCCTTGCAGGCAATTGTAAGAGTATGTTTATAACCCATCTATCTGGGTTGCAGAAAATTCAGAGCTCAGAAACGACAGCACCCCACACAAATGCTCCTTTCAATTCCCGGAGCTCATTGACAATACTAACACAATAAGCAATGGTCAGGCTCCAGGTACCAATAGCAATATACAAGAATGCTTCGGTCATGACTGCAAAATGGCCTAATTTCGAAGAGTATTAAACTGGGCTGCTTTGTTTCAACGATCTCGGAAACAATCACAAGGAACGATCAGACTGGAAGGAATAACGACACGTTACGGGAAGGGAGCAGGGAAGCGAGTTTCTCTGTCCCGGTGTCCTGGCCAACAATCTACCTGATACAAATGATCATTCACTCCACGGGCTGTTTGTGGAACACTGCACAGTCACTCCACTTCACAGTAAATCCTACGAAGTGCTCTGAAACGTTGTTCCGACTCAATAAGGCGCTACACCAAATGCAGGGATTATTATGATTGTTATTCGCTCAAGCATCGGCTTACCATATCCAGCGGGGTTTCCCTTGGTCTTGGGCAGGTTGGCTCTGAGAATGGCATTGTTCAGGGCATTCAGGTAGGTGGGCATGCTGTGGTAGCCTTTGTTGTTGTAGAATGCCTAGGTAGATCCAAAGAGAATGATCAGCATCTGCGCATTGGAGGTCACATAATAAAAAAAAACCACAGGTTTCTTTGTTCAATCTGTATTTTCTGGGTTCTGAGCAACTGAGTTGCAAAGGCTGAGATATCTGGAATGGTAAAACCGCAGGACACACGGCCTGCGATTGACGGGGGGGGTAAATTCGGAACGAATGTACGCAAACACTATTTCGGTGAGCGAATAATGAACCTGTGGAACAGGCTCCCTCGGGACTCGGTTGAAGCAGGAAGTGTTGACCTTTCAAACACAGATTAGATAGTTTTCTTTTAGGAAAGAACATTTTGGGATATAGGACATAGGGAGTTTGGGACATATGTGCATGCGACCAATAGGAAGGTGGAGGGCGAACTAGATTGACCTTGGTCTTTTTTCGTTTAGCATTTCTTATGTTCTTATATCTCAAGGCTGTTTGGGGGACCTTGCTAGCACAAATGGCTGAGTCGACCTGTGAAGAACTCAAGTCATTTTTTGACATGATGAAGAGCAATAAAACAATATTAACTTGCATTTATATAGCAACCATCACACGAGGTAGCATCCCGGAGCACCAAATAACGGTAGAGATTGACGCCAAGCCGGGGAGAGAAAGGGGAGGTGATGATAGGCACAATCAAAGAGGAAGGTCTCGAGGTGCAAACTGAAGACGGGCAAAGAGGGGACAAGGCAGAGGGACTGAGGCAGCGAGTTCCAGAATTTCGGGGCAATGCAAGTTCTCCCAATGCATATTGAGCTTGTTTACTCGTGACCTGGGACGGCTCGAGCTCCAGTAAATTTCCTTCCAGTTGATATTTACGCTGCCCCAGGGAGATTGTGCGGCCAGAACAATGGTAACACATAAAGTGTGTTACCTGGAGAAAAGCGTCCATTACTCTACCCTCCCTACCTGTGCAGTTCTTCTGACCGCAATCTTCCGCACCATCGGAGCCGCCTTCGCACCAAAAGAAGCTGGGATCGATCGCTGTACGTTCCCGAAAGTCACTCCTCCGTACCTGAGGAGTAAATTGAAGCAACAACTTAGAAACCTACGAGCCTCGTTAAGACACTGAATGCGGTATCTACGGCAGAAAACCCACCAACCTGTGCAGCCTGAAGCGATCGGAGGTAAACAGAAGGTATTCAGACACATTGCGACCGGTGATGTCAACCAGAATATCGCCCGTCACAACCTTTATCTGCGGCGTGCGTCCGCCAACTCCACTCGGGCAGGAGAATCCCGTTCCCTGCATGGAGCACGTGCATCTCACTGGCTCGTGGACTTTATGCGGGAGCGATGGGGAGGAGGTAAATGGTTCTGTCAAGAAAACAAAACAGCTTGGATCGCCAGTGCAGAAAATGTTGAGAGCGAACACCTCTGGGCATGTCGCCTCCCAGTTTGGGAGACTGACAGCGCCATCCATCGTTACTTATTCACTTCCACTTCATTGACTATCACTGAAAGTGCATTTCTACAAGAACGCCCGCAAATCCAACCCACGCCCGGCCCCCGATACAAATTATATTATCCGCTGCCAAGAGTGAAATGGAGCTCAGAAGATCGGGACTTCAGCCATAAGTCAAATAAGTCGAAAAGCTCCTGTGGGGGTTCGATGGGCTGACTGGGAGTTTTTAATGTACCACGCACAAGTGACTCCACTCAATACATATCTGCTTCAATGTTTCTCCGATGGAATGAATTACGTTGGCTCATGCCCCTTTCTGCCACCACTTACGCTAAACACTCAGCAGAAAACTGTTGGACTGTAACGGGCAAGTTAATAAATGTTACCACAAGCCCAATCTTCTTTTTTAAAGAAACAAACCTGTTGGTGCAGAATCTTGAGTTTGAGCTAAGTAAAGGTGTGGGTCCGGTATTTCGTCCAAGGAGATTAAACGGAAAGAAATCATTTGACACAATAACTACTCCTTCAAACCTTGGCATGCTTTGTTGGTGTAATGAGATAAATTACTCCCTAATGCTTTGGAGGTACCTAGTGGCAGAAGCTACCAAGAGAAGCAGAGAAATTTCCAAAGCACAAAAAAGGAGCCCATTTATCCCATCGTCTCTGTGTTGGCTCTTTTTAACAGCAATACTTCACTCACCAAAATTTATTCTTACCAGAAAAAAAACAGCCACCTGTTCAAGCGGATTGAAAAGGTAAATCCAGTTCAATCCTCCAGGATTCAACAAGACAGGAGGACAAGGAGACACGGGTTTAGAGTTTCAATGGCCAATTTCTCAATATTTAGGGAACCCAGATCCCTTTAATACACGTTCGAATCTCCAGCCGCCAAGCAACATTGGCGAAAGCGTGGAACCTTTCCACTCACAGAACGGGGCATGGCAGTCTGGAGAACTGAAGAGCACGAAATGCACCAATTTCGACAGCCCGCCCCCACCCCTTTCCCCAGCTAATTCCGATTTGATCCCGCTACCTTTGATTGCCGTTGGCACTGTGGTGAGATTCCAAGGGTGCATTCCATCCTCAATCCCGCCATCTGGGAAATCCGACGGAGCGGGCGAAGGGGGCAGCGGGACAAAGTTTGAGAGTGGCAAGCCCTGGGTGAACGAGTCCAGGCACATCGAGTCGAAGTATTTTGAGGCCAGCATCTTGGTCTCGCTGGTGGAGAGGTTGAGGGTCTGGACCAGCTGGTCTAACGTGCTGTTGTACGGAGTCTTAAGGACACAGGTGGCACCGATCCCTGAAGGAAGATGGAAGGTCTTTGCGATCTGCTGGGGGCTGGCATCCGGGGATAACTTTATCCTGCGTTACAACAAAAAAATCAATGTTAAGACTTTGTCCAAAAGTACTTTTCCTCCTTTCCCGCCCACCACCACACACACCCCCACTACCCCACAACCTAATTTTGAGAGGAATCAATACAAGGAATGAAGCACGTACTTCTTTTTGCAACCAGCATCAATGACACACACTCCCTGTGTCAGAAATAGCACAAATCAAGTGCAATGCCCTTGAACTTGACTAAAGCAGAAGTCTGCATCCCAATATCAGATGAGCAAACCCTTACGCGTCTGTGTTATTTGCCAGTACTCGTACCAGCCTCCTTTCTGACCTCTCTGAGTGAGTCAATGTTGAACTAAGGCAATTTGCGTGCTATGAATGAGACGATTCAAATTTACAGCAACTATAACTTGCATTTATATAGTAACCTTCATGCACGTGGTGTCACGGAGCCCTTAACAGTGGTGTGGTTTGACACGGAGGAGGGGAGGGAGAAAGTGGCCGAAGGCATAGTCAAAGAGGAAAATCTTCAGGTGTGACGGGCAGAGAACGAGGCAAGACAGAGGGATTGAGGAAAGGAGCTCCAGACAGATACCTGTATTCGTTTCTTTCTTCGTCCGCATATGGTATGAAGTTTCCTCGTGGCTGGGTGTAATTGTGATACTGAGATGGGGAAAGGATCAGAGGAGGCAAGTCACCTGGAAGAGAAAGTGGGAGGAAAACTGGTTAAATTAACAGCCGATAGGTTAACATCATGGAGAAATCACTCGAAAAAAAGAAAACGCATTCTCCACCTCAGGCACAGAACGGAACTATCACCATCTTTTGTACAAAGTGATGAGAGAACTCGTCTCGCAAGCGAAAGGACCTGGGTTCGATTCCCGGGCAGGGCGAAACGTTGGGCAAGTTTCCTTACTCCATCATGCCTGTTTACCCAACAGTAAGTAGGAACCCGGTCGTTAGTCTATTGACGGATCGCTTTTCTGAGGGCAATAATTCCTTCACAATAAATCTTAAAATAATTTGGTCACTAAATCCATGACCGATTGTGTGGGACGCTGTTGTGCGCAATCAGCTGCCGCGTTTTGCCCACGAAATATACAGTCAATTCACTTCACAGAGCGTTCCTGCGAAGCGCTTTGAGCCATCTCGAAGACGCGATAAGGCGCTGTGTATCAAATGCGAGGATTGTTATTGCCAAAAGGAGTCCCTGGCCATTAGGTTTTCCCTCAGTGAATACGACCCCTCATAAGAGTCTGATTTCAATACCTATTTCGGGTACCGAGAGAGCGACCGTCATTGCCACACACACGAAGAACGCTGGGAGCAGGATCTGGGAGAACAATCCTTTCGTGTTGCGCTTCGCACAGTGGTACCGCTTCACGATCAGCCCGTGGAACTGACAGAGTTTCAACCAGGAACCCTCCAGCTTGAAGCTGCCTTGGCCCTCTAGGACGAAGCTCTTTGGTTCTGCTTCCGCTGCACAAGGAAAAAGAGACAGGCAGAGGAAGAGAAAAACAATCAGCATTTTTTTTATTTCCTCCCTCCCCCCTCAAAAAAAGATGGCCACTTCACTGGGGCTAAGGAAATCCGAGTTCTCATCGTTCGCTGCATTTCTTTATTTAAAAGGGGGTGGGGGGGAGAGGAAGAAGTCTGAAGGGGAGCACTTTCTGTTCAAGGCCTTTCTTCTAAAACGAGTGCTCTTACAGATGCGATGCACTGAACGATACCCTTCTGATATATATCTCCCCCACCACCAGATAAAATTGATTTCCCCTTCCCCCACCCGTCCTCCAACTAACACATTGACGTCTTTGATGCTATGGGCTATGTCTTCAAAGTTCAGAATAACTTCATCTAAAACTGATGGACACCTTTGCCCAGAAAGGGAAGGGAAATGGAAATAAGACCTTGCAAGAAGCTGGTGGAACGAAACAATAACAAGTAGGTGATCTTGAGGCGAGAAGACCAAATCTGTATTCCGTTCACCGCGAGAATTTGTGTTGTCAATTTCTCTACAGAATCGGTTTATATGAAGATAATTAGGCAATTAGTAGACGGCTTGATACTCTGCATGCAAATGATGCCTTCTAGACAACACAAAGCACCACCGAGGTTAAGATTGCTGTCATTCGGTGCCACATCAAACAGATTTCTGAATTAAGCAGGAAAGCCTGACAGGAAAAATATTTCTTTATAATTCTAACCAATCTTATTGTGACAGTCAATATCGCTTTGCGGTGCGGATCTCCCCTGGCTGCCTTTTCAAGCTCGGAGCTTGGATATACAATGAGCGAGAACTTACCTGGAACTGAATGTTGCAACTCGCAGGTTAACACACTGAAATGGCTTCACAGATTATATTGTCCAACACGATGAACCCGAAATAATAAAATTATACTGCCTTATTGCACCGTGAAAAACGTCTCAAAGTACTTCACGGGAAAAGATCACTTGTTTTTTTTTTCAAATGGTGCCGTGGGATCTATAACGTCCACCTGAATAGGCAAACGGACCTTGTTTTAAAGCTCATCCAATAGATGGCGTGTCCGACGAAACACTGCCCGATTAGACTCTGTGAGTTCGAACTTGGGTCTCGCTAACAGAGCAACAGGTGTCAAAGGACTGACGTTATTGTGGTCGCTTAAAGGAAGACATAAAGACGTGCGTCATTAGATGGTATTATCACCTCACCGTTCATGTCAAATGCTACACATTTAGTTTTTTTTAGTTTCATGAAAACTGGGACTAACACCCTGCGGCTCTTAAAGGCATCCAACGCATGACAGCTTTTAAAGATACCTTGTAAACTGAGGTTGTCTGGATCGTTCAGGTTATCAAAGAGTGGTGCGTAATCTCCGTAGAATTCTGAATAGCCTGCCATCTCGTCCCCTCGGACAGAACCCACAGAAGAAGAAGAATGGACAGAGGATTGGGACTGGCTGAGCCTTGAGCAGGTGACCAAATTGCTCAGAATATCTTCCGGCTTGTTCAGATTGCCTTGTTCAGGGACCTCCTTGTGACGGCCATTTTTACTCCCGGCCTGCGGCGTCTGTAAGACCTCCTTCCCGGAATCTTTGTCGTCTTGGAGAGAGAAAAAGTCGACAATTTCACCGATAAAGATGAATCTATTCGACCGCAATTTTTTTATAGGAAAAGAAATCCCATCCCCTTCATATTTTCCTCTGTGCAACGCAAAGCATTCAATACCTATGTCGCTGTTCTCCAAAGACTGATCCTCTTCCGAAACCTTCAGAAAGACCTCCTCCAGCGTAGTGTCCATCAGACCAAAGCTGGTCAGGTTCAGATCCTCCAGGTTGAAATCCAGGGCCTGGCAAAACAAAACATTGACTTCAGTGCACTCAATCTCGGAGTCCTGTGGCTCAGTGGTTAGAGCACTCGCCTCGCAAGCGAGAGACCTGGTTTCATTTCCCAGCAGGGCGAAACTTTGGGCAAGTTTCCTTACTCCACACGTCTCTGACGTTTCGAAGACGTGATAAGGCGCTTTATCAAATGCAAGGATTATTATTATTATTATTATTGTTGTTGTAGGTAGCTTGACTGACTAAGCCCTGAAAAGGGCAGCTTGATGGTTCACCCAGCCGGAATTTCTTCCCACACGCGCACACACAAACACACTCACACGTACGTTTGATGTATTGCTGAAAGCATTACCTGGAAAAGCCTCTCAAAGCATCCTTTTTTCGCTGCCTCGGACGGCAGGATGTAGGATATCTCTGTGTTGGTGTCCGAGATCAGCATGGTCGATGCTACGTACTTTCTGATGAACTGGCTGACCTTTGGCTCCGAGCAGCAGCCAACTAAACAGTGCGACAGAGGGCTGAGATTCTGGCCTGACTCTGAAAGATACAGCAGAGAGGAGGGAAATAAAACAGCAACAGCAAGACTGCATTTGTATAGCGCTTTTAAAGTCAGGAGGACGTCCCAAGGTCACAAAACACTTCTGAGCTATCACCACAGACACACTGTTGATGTCTGAGTGTCGGGTTTGAGGACTCACCTGTGCTGTTTTGAGCGTCAGACTGTTTCTTCACGACTGTGAGTTTGTAACCGTCCCCGTAGGTACTCTTGAGGAACAACGGCGATCCGCAGCACTTCAGCTTTCCGTGGGAGATTATCGCAATGCGGTCGCCAAGGAGGTCTGCCTCATCCATGTGATGAGTGGACAGAAGGATGGTTCGACCTGAAATAATCAGAGAGAATCACGTTCAGAAGCGTTAAGGAAAGCGGCTTTTGAGAGAGAAAAAAAAATCTTCACAGCCCTCTGTAGGAAGAAGCACTTCCAGACCTCAGCTCTGAATGCCTTATACCCAAATAGCTGCATATTATTTTCAATACAACACAAATTTACATTTACATACGGCCTTTCATGTCGAGAGGACGTACCAAGGTGCTCAACAATCCTGGCGCAATCCTTCCACCAGAGATGGGGGTGGAAGATGATAATTTATAATGATAATAATAATAATATCCTTGCAATTGATACATCTCCCTATCACATCTTCGAGACATCTCAAAGCGCTTCACAGAAGAATCCATAAAATTAATTGACTGTATGTTTTGTGGGCAAAACACGGCAGCCAATTGCGCACAGCAGCGTCCCACAAACAGTCGGGGATTGACATGACTAATTTTTCTTTCCTTTTTTGAAGGAATTATTACCCCCTGGAAAAGCGATCCACCAATCGACTTAACAACCGGGCTCCTGCTTACTGCGAGGGAAACAGAGGCACGTGGTGTAAGGAAACTTGCTCTAACCACTGGACTCCACATTATCACAACGCTACATGATGACCCACCTTGCTTGTACTTCAGAATCAAATCCCATATAGCTCGCCGGGCGTAGGGGTCAACTCCAGCTGTAGGTTCGTCCAATATGACTGCTTTGGATCCTCCAACAAAGGCAATGGCAACTGACAGTTTGCGCTTCATGCCACCCGACAGAGTCTGTACCAGGGAATGACGCTTATTGGAGAGCTCCAAATCTTCAATCATTCTGGATGGGGAGGGGGGGAGGGGAGGAAAAAAAGGAAATGCAAATGCACTAAAGAACTATGTAAAATGTAGGTTAAGGCGTCGTTTGATTAAATTTAATGATTTTGTCTTATTTTTTTTTTACAAAGTTACTTCACAAGTATCTTTCGGGATTTTATTTTTCTCTCAACAAGTAGCTTGGTTCCATGCAGCAATATTCCCTGGGAAATGGTGTGGTGAGTGAGGATGGAACCAAGGTTTAAATTCAACTGATCTACAGGCTGGAATAAGGCAGTCCGTCAACTAGCTCAAGCTCGAACTCTCAAGGAGACGTGGTGGTCTCTGCAGGGTGTCCTTACTTGTGCATTTCTTTGCGGATCTCGTCCTCCGCCATCCCCTTCAAACGTGAGTAAAACCAGAGATGCTCTTCCACGGTCAGATTGTCAAACAGCACGTTGTGCTGAGGACACATCCCGAGGTTCTTCCGGATTTCGTCCATCTCTGTGCGAATATCGTGCCCGTAAATCGTAGCCGATCCAGCCGAGGGCGGGAACAAACCAGTCAGGATAGACCTGGAAAACGAAGAGGCAGACTGAGCTCAGTCACAAATCAGAATTAATCTAGTTGAATAAATAGCGGATATCAGATCAGTTAAACCATTTGCCTAACCAGGCCATGAAACTGATGGGATATTGGCAGACATGCTGAGATGCCAATGGCTTAATATTAATATTTAATTAATATTTACGCTTTCGCTTTTAATAAATACGTATTGTCCTACACTCGGTCAACAGATGTTAACCAATGGCACGGTCAGAGACAGGTGATGTTACAATGATTCTGACGGCATGGAGAGTGATGGCAAGTAAAGTATCTTTGGAAGACTACAGAGCATGGTGGCTGAAGGTGGCGTCACCCACATTGGCGCTGTGCAGGAGTGCAATGAAGAACTCCTTTTCCTGTAGGGAAAAGCCTGGCACTGGCGCGATCAGGGAAAAGGCATGTGGGGAAATCAGCAGGACAAAATGTAGTTCAGCCACCACATAGTGTGCTCTAGTGCGCAATGCCAATACAGTTAGTTACTGGCAACCGCACCCAATAGTATTAATCGTAATAATCCTTGCGTTTGATAGAGCGCTTTATCACGTCTTCGAGACGTCTCAAAGCGCTTCACAGAATATACTGTAAAGCGAGTTGACCGCACACTTCGTGGGGAAAACGTGTTAGCCAACTGCGTGCAGCAGTGTCCCAGAAACAGTCGTGGGATCGAAGTGACCAATTTATTATTATTATTATGTTTTTGAAGGAATTATTACGCCCGGAAAAGCCGTCTGCCAATCGGCTAACAACAACTGATAAGTTGCCCTCCGCCTTTCAGTTACAAGCAGTGAAAGGATTGCAGCAAGGCAGAGGTGTGGGCCGAAAGGCCCGGCCTTCGCGGGGAGTCTGACTTCGTCGCGAAAAACGAGGAAACGGGAGAACAAAAGAACCAAACCGGCCTCGCGCTCACATTGTGGTGGTTTTGCCGGCCCCATTGTGTCCCAGGAACGACACCACCTGGTTCTCGTGCAGGTTGAGGCTGAGCTTGTTCAGAGCCAGCTTCTTGCCGAGCTTGTAAACCTTGGTGAGCTTGTCGATGCAGACGACGAGAGGCAAGTGGCTTGGCTCGTCCTCGATCCCACGGGTCTCTTCTGCGAGGAGATCACACAGACAAACAGAATGCCAGGTTACTTGGCACGGGTCTGACGCACACAGACCCCGTCGCCTTCCAAGTGATCGATTAGCGCGAGGCAAACACGATCGCCGGATCACGGTCGTTAGTCACTGCGATTGAGCTGCCACACGCATAAAGACTTTGAGCACACGGGACATCATTATCTGCCGCAGCAACCTCTGACAGCTTAAAAACAAGGGGAGAGAGGGGTGGGGGAAAACACTGGATATGGTATCAGATCAGCCTGGCTGGTCAATTCCACTGCGGTTCTTGAGTTGGCCATTAGGAAGCGTGCAAGGGCAGCCTGGGGAAACGCGTGCTGTCGGGGAAACCTCCAGGTTTAAAGGTCACATTTGCCACAATAGCAGGCATCAGCCAAGAGAACCCTTCACACTTTCCTGCGTCAGAAAGTGAAACAATATTCAAAAGGGCAACAGCAGTTTGCATTTATAACGCACCCCTAACAGAGCAGCGTCCCATAAGGTTCCCCTGAGTGAGGGTATTCACAAGTGCCAGGTGCCCCGGGCAAATTGAAATGAAGTAGGGGAGGTACGATTTCCTTACCCAATCTTCTGTTTTCCATGGCACAGGCCTGGTCATCCTCCATAATGCTGAGCCGGCTTGTCCTGCACCAAGGCCAAGACCATTCCCAGGTTTCTATCCGGCCATTCCCCAGCCAGTAGGATTTCTGGAATGGGAAGTACCACGGTCTGGGAAGTCCATACATCCCTGGGAGTGAAAGAAATAAAGAACAACAGGGCTGTAGTCACGATCCAGAGATGTCTCCAAATGATGATAATACAGTAATAATAATCCTCGCATTTGATACAAAACCTTAGCGCGTCTTCGAGACGTCTCAGAGCACTTCGCAGAACATAAGGTAAAGCGAATCGACTGTGTGTTTTGTGGGCGATGAAGGGACGAACTTGGAAGACTGCAAAACTTCACGTTTCCTATTTCTTTTTGTTTGCCTCAACATAAATCAGCTCAACTTCTCACAACGCTGAGGAGCCACTTGCATGTGTTCCAATACATCCACTCTACACACAACGGCCTTGTTTGCTCATGATCAGTTGTTGATTCCCCTCTAAATAAAGGGCACCTCAGAGAAGAACAATATTGACGATCTCCAGCATTAGGAGCGATGAGCTATGAGCCACGATTAGATTAACCAGGGCTCTTCAGCCTTGAAAAGTCTCATAAGGGCCCTTATAGAGGTGTATGATAGTTTAAATGGGATTAAACAAAGTAAATACAGAACAACACTTGCCAACAAAACAAGAGGGTGCAGTTTGCAAAGCGTAGTTTCAAGATGAGACACCATTTGACTGGGTCTGCAGTGATCAACCTCGCAAGGTTTCTCAGTGAATCTTCAGTAATGGCATAACAAACTTATATTATTGCTTTGTGATTCCTTATCAGAGCCCCTGCATCCACACAACGAAAGCCGGTCAGCACAAAACCAGACGCTACTGTAAACACCGAGATGTGGCTGGAAGCGATTTCGAGGTCTTTACTTTAATCGTATAATTGACAGAACCTGCCTACAAATCATTATCCATCCCCCCAAAAAGTAGAGATGAAAATCCAGTGGTTTAAAAGGTTCCCAAGTGGAATTTGTCCAGTTTGTAATGGCAAAGTGAACCTCTGGAAATTAGAGTGAACATGTAGAGGTGGATGTGAAATGCCATTAGCATGAAACAAAGTGCTGAACGGCGTTACCTGGATGGACAGCCTCGATATACCATGTCAGCACGCCGTAGACGGAGGCATCAACTATAAGCATGACCATGGAGAGGAGGAGGTTGAAATCATCTCCTTCGACGGGCGATTGGTTCAAGGTGTGCCATTGTATCCCCACCCCTGATACTTCGTAGAGAGCAAAGTACTTGGAGCCCAAGCCAAAAGCGGTCGTCGACATGAGGGACTGCAACAACAGACACATTGCACTTACCGCACAAAGGACAAGGATAATTAGCTTAACAAGCGCTCTCGTCACAACACCACAGTGTACTCAGAATAGTCTGCGCGGAAAGCTGTTATTTGCAGCGTTATCATGTCAGCTTTGGCTGAGAGTCAGTGACTCGAGAGTCTGCTATGCCTGGCTGGAAGGGTTGCTAAACACGAACACACAACAACTTGTGTGTTTACGTTTAGCACACCATTGGACTTCCCACTTCACAGCCTCTTCCATATCCCACTGGGGTTTCAGGATCGGTCTCAGTGGCAAACCCCCCGCCACCCCCCCACCCCAACTTCTCTCCCCGATAAATTCGGCGCCTAAGTTTTTAAATCCATCGAAAGCTGACACTGTGCTGACCGTCTCGAAGTCTGACTCTCGCTCGTTCATTGCAGGACAGAGTTCTTGCAACGCACCTACACTGCGCACAAAATCATCAAATCGCGCGTGGTATTAAACACAATCGAACAGCGTACCGCAATGCACTTCTCAAACGCCGTGATCCTGTCATGAGCCACTTCCTCGCGGATAGCCACATACATGTAGGGAACGTAGCTGAGGAAATAGATAATCCCACCGCAGGCGGAGGCCAATTTTGCTTTGGAGTAGACCACAGAGATCAGGAAACTGCAACAGGTCAATAAAACAGCAGTAAGAACCGGCTTTCGCTTTATTTCAGATTCATTTTGAAAACGCTGAACGTCACTCAGTCGTGCTAATAATCATCCTCGCTTCCTTTCACGTCAGCAAGACATCTCAAAGCGTTTCGTAGGATTGATTTATTGTGAAATGCTGTGACTATTTGTAGGTGAACGCGGCAGCCCAATTTGTGCACAACAGTGTCCCACAAACAGCCATGAACCATTACTCACCAGAACATGATGGTTGCTATGGCGTAGATTGTAAGGAAAAGCCAGATGATAAAGGGATCGCTGTGCATCAGGACTTTGCCATACTTCAGGATAGCCGTCAGTGCAGTGACTGAGATCGAGAGCTGAACAAATCCCGTGATAAACCAGGCTACCCAATGGACAGCGTTGTTCAAACCCATCATCTTCATCACCTGGTGGAGAATAACAATAATATTAATTTGCAATTACTTAGCGGCATTCAAGTAAAAAAAAAACTCATAGCATGGTGGTTAGGTTGTATACTTTGTGCAGGATTCACTTGGATATCAACCCCTTCATCACAGCTGGTTTACCTGTCTATTTCAAGTCCGATTCAGGAACTCAATCTGAATGACTGTCCATCTCCGATTCTTTGAGCCAATGTTGCTATGTCAATGTCAACACGTAATCACTCTTCGCCTTCCAAAGAGAGTTTAAACTTACAAAGAAAATGCTAATATTCGCTGCCACAGACATTCCTTGTGAATGAACGTCTATATAATAATAATAATAATCCTTGCATTTGATATAGCGCTTTTCACGTCGGAAGGACGTCCCAAAGCGCTTCACAGAACACACTGTAAAGTGAATTGACTGTAAATTTGTGGGCGAACGCGGCAGCCAATTGCGCACAGCAATGTCCCAGAAACAGTCGTAGATTGAAAATGCCAATTTTATTATTGTTTTTTTTGGTTTTGGAGGGATTATTATTAGGCTCTGTGTGGAGTAAGGAAACTTGCCCAAGGTTTCGCCCTCTGCCTGGAATTGAACTCAAGTCTCTCGCTTGCAAAGCGAGTGCTCTAACCACTGAGCTACAGGACTCCATATATATATGTGTGTGAAGATGAGATAATGGGTTTGGGTTATTCACTTTGAATTCAGTTCAACTCATGCAAAATTGATACAAAAAAAATTGGAGTTTGAGGACAAAAGTCATTGGGAGATCATTTTAAGTAATGAACTCAGCATGAATCACATTCTAATTAGATTCTCAATCACCAAAGGCTTCAGAAGGGTTCAAAGGACTTGTCAAAGATTTACAAAGACTTGCTTAAGTCACACATTTTCATCCCAATTGGGATGTGATCTTATAATACATTGCTGTGGACGACCATCTGTTGCTAAAGCAAATGAACGATCAAGCGAGGAAAGCAGGAACATTTTTCACGGGGCTTGCGATGACCAGTGAAGGATTCCTCTCAATGTGAAGCGGCCACCAACATAGCTGAAGCACTACACAGCTGCACGCTGAGCATGCTTGCCTTGCCTTGTTTGGAGCACATTTGGGATGCTGCCATCAATTTGGCGCAGTCCCTCTGCCACCCATGTACTGAAGCCAACGTGACATTGTCACGCTTGTACAAAGATAGCACGTCACACACCGCAACGAGGGATTCAGTATTCTTTAAGTAATTGGGAACATTTGCCCACACCCATCCCAACCCTCACTGCGCCTCACCTCCTTCAGCCTATGTTCCTTTTCTGCGACGATGTGCTGAATCATCATAGCCACCGAGTAAACCCAAGATATGACCATACACAGCGGCATCATGTGCTCGATCACAAACAGGAAGCTGGGAAACAGAGAGGGGCGGGGAGGTCATTTCCTCATGAAACTAATCATTTGCAAAACTACACAATTTCACCCAGAAGAGACGATTCAAACAAATCAATGCTGAACGGGGCGTTACAGTTAAGGCAGCTTCAGGAAAGCATGTGGTCCCAGAAGGTTCCTCAGGCCAGACTTTTTTGGTCTCCTGCCTGACCGAGATCAGCATCAAGGTAGAAAGACAGTGAAAGAGACCAAAACATGGGCATGGTTTCAAGACAAAGTTTTGGACCAAGACTTGGCTTCTTCCAAGCCTGCGCTATTGCTATAGCTTGAGCAATACTCACTCATCCCTAGTGTAGCAGGGATAGGGAAACATCTGGACATAATTCCCAGGCTCCACCACATCATGACCCACAAATGTGTTGATAATGGCCCGTTCCATCATATCTGAAGCGAGGAGAGAGAGAAAAGTGAGAAAGAAAAATCTCACAGTACATTACATTTGAAGGAAGGTCATGAATCCCATTACTGTGAGTTAATATAGCTTGAGTAAAAAGAATTGAAGGTGATAGGGCTAAGTAATAGGCACTCGTGATCAAATAAACGGGGGCAGAGATGGCATTTCTGTGAAAGAAGCAATAAAAGCAATTTTGATGTAATTTTCAGTAAAATTAATATTTTAAATCGCCAAATTAGACGATCCCTTATCCTGCATTCATTCATAGTACTTCATTCTCAGCATCAGAGCAAGGTGGAGCAGGAAGTCCAACTTAGATTTCCTGCTCTGCATTGAGCTGGGGGTCAGTCAGAACTGAAGCAAGCTATTGGGATTCTCCCATTGCAATAGAATTGGGTGTTTAATTGCTGTTAAATGAGCAAAACCTTCCTGAAAGCTTTTGAGTTATTTACACCCAACAATGTTGAGCAAGAGTTCCACTTTCAACTGGAAGTTAGCCCGGTTTTTTGTACTTGCCAGCACCAATCAGGTGGTAGAAAGGCATCATTAATCACACAGCTGGCAAGGAAGCAACATTCAGATGACAACCAGTGGAACATTTTCATGATGGATCAGGATTCCTCGTGAGCAGAACACAAACGCACGCTCACATCAATAAGCCCACCAAGAGCGAATCACCAAAAGCATTGCTTCATATTGTGACAGCAGTGCTTTAAACTGACACGATGCAACAGAAAAACACACAAAAGTTACTATGGTGCGCTGCACAAATCCTTTTTCTGTCTGTGTGACTTCCGCAGATTCAGTCGATGATCTAGTTTTGTGAGCCAACCACCATTATTTCCCCATAAGGAAACCCTCTTTATAATAGCAATACTTTAATTCAACATGTGTCTCAAAATGACATGTGTCTCAAAATACTTCACAGGAATTCCCGTAAAATGTAACGACTGCGTATTTGTAGGCGATCACAGCAGGCACTTTGGGCACAGCCTTCCCTTCTCTTCCCTCCCTCGTAAATGATGCTCAGTATCATATATGTGTGGTGACTCTCTTAGAATTCAATCTAGAGAGCCAAGTTGCATTACTATGCGTCAGTGACAGCAGTGGTCTGCAATCTGAAAGCTTAGCAAGCCAGTTGGATTATCTCAGTAATAATCTCCCTTTTTAATCAGCCTTATCATCCTCATTGAACAAATCTAATTTGGTACAGGATTTAATTACATTGAGAATGAACACCGCTTAAAACATGCATCCTTTCCAACAGGGTTTTAATCAACCAATTAGAATCATTAAATATTAAATGGTAAAAATGAGGAGAGCAGCAAATTGTTAAGGCGATACACTCGGCTTTACTGTATAAAATCCTCGTGTACCAACCTTGTATCCAGACAAAGCCGTACAGGAAATAGAATCGACCGCCAGTGTTGGGACCTGGTCTCCAGTACGCCCTCCGGATTTCATTGGTTTTCTCAGTGAAGCTGGAGTTCTGACGAATCTTGAGCATGACGTGAGGAGGCAAGGTGCCGTCCTCTTTTGTCTGAAATATCACGCCTAGCGGAAGCGAGGGTGGGTGGGGGCAGGGGCGAAGGAAAAGTTAAATAGAGTTGTTACAGTCTGGAATGCACTGCCTGAAAGGTTGGTGGAAGCAGGTTCAATGACAACTTTCGAAAGGGAATTAGACAGGTACTTGAAAAGGAAAAATGTGCAGGGGTATGTGGAAAGAGCGGAGCCGCTTGGGTAGCTCTTCCAAAGAGCTGGCACAGGCACGATGGGCCGAATGGCCTCCTTTTGTGCTGCAATATTCTATGATTCTATGTTCCCTTTTATGTTACCCGCTAATCTTTTCTCATACGCTTAACAGTGGCGGAGACTGACTCCGAGACTGGGAGAGAGGGGAAGTGACTGTAGGTCCGATCTGAAGATGGGGAAGGGGGGAGCAAGGTGGAGGGATTGTGGAAGAGAACGCCGGGTTCTTTTGAACAGGGAGCAGTAGGCAGTCTGGCAAAGTTAGATGCTACACATCATGGAGAGGAGAACAGAGACCACAAGTAAAATACACACAACATATAATTACATCTGTAACAAAATAAAAGTTTTTCATTCTCTGTAAAACCCCGTGCAGTTTGCTGGAAGAGTAATTTAATGATTTCAACAACAGATGTGTATGGTATAGATCTGTGAGTGAGTCAAGCTGTTTGAAATGGAGCCATTGACATTCACAACAATTGCTGATTCGGCGCTGGCTCTCAGTTCAATCAATCTGAATTGTTAACTGTCTCTCACTGGGGTAATTATAAGTGGAGGTGTTTGAAATGCCTATTTCGTTTGGATCCATTTTCTCCAACTCGGATAGCTCGAGGCAATGCAGAAATTGTACAGTTGCAACCTGTGGTTTCATATATTTAGCGGATTGGACGGCAAAAAAAAAACAACAATCCACAGGTACTCAAGCGAGGTGAATTTCAGAATTCTTTCATCCAGGCGCATCTAAGTAGATTATCAGATTGGTTTTGATGAAGAAGGCCCTTCAGCCCATCTGAGGACATAGGGAATGGGAAATGATGGGTGTTTGCCTACAAAATTGAGTACAGTCAAATGTGTCTTCAACAGCTGTTCAGAGGAAGTAGCCACCATGTGAGTGAGGGTGGCCTGGGAGTAAGGGTCCATTGGTGTGCGAATCAGACTGTTTCAGGATGGTTGTTAACGGGGGGTGGTTGCTGAATGCAGGTGGTTGCTTGACTACATTTGGTTTGTTTTGACTAATTATTTTAGGAGCAACTTTTCATCCATACCACTTTTTTTTTTAAAAAAGAAAAACTTTCCCGATCCTAATTTTCAATACAAACTATATTGAAGTGCGAGTTACTCACTGGCAAAGACTGTGACATTGTCATGGTATGCTTGGTTCAAGGTATAGTTCACGATGCTCTCTTCATTTGGGAATCCTTTGAAGATGTCCACACTGACCTGGGAGGGGGGGGAAAAAAAAATCGAATCGACTTACTGGAAATAAGTGGCATGAATTATCATGGACATTCAAAACAATTTTTATTTATAAATACATCTAGATAAAGCTTTGCATTCCAAAACCAGCACAAGCCATCCTTGTGTTGCATGGCGAGCCTTAACACGCAGACGATTCTCTTACGCGTAGCACTTCGATCACCAATAACTATCCCGTACATTTTCACACTTTGATCCCAATGACTGTTCCAGTGCGTCTCTCAGTCTAACCTTGGACATGAACTGGATCCAGCCGCAGGCAGCGTTGTCGATGGTGTCCAGCTGCTTCAGCAGTGTGCTGGAGTTCGGCATGGAGAAGTTGCTATTGACGAAATTCCTGATGATATCGCTGTCTGAGGCGTTCAACACCTCCGGATGCTTTTTCAGTTCAGAGGTGACCTGCAACGGGGTGGGAAGGGATCAAAGAAATTGTAAGTTAATTTGCATTTCGTGCTTNAAAAAAATATATCCAACAGCTTTGTGTATCACAAAGCGCTTCACAGAATATACTATAAAGTGAATCAACTGGATTTTGTGGGCGAATCGTGGCGGCCAATTGACAAAAAACATGTGTATCGAGAATATGGGATATAGTACACAGGTAGTTTGTGACATATCAGGGAGATGGAAGGTGAACTAGACAGACCTTGGTCTCTTTTTGTTCAGTATTTCTTACGTTCTTATGTTATGTTCCATGAGAAAGGTCTGGCTTTATATTGCTCTGTTGCTTTGCAATGGGAAAACAGTGTTAAGCGCTTTGAGGCGTCTCGAAGACGTGATACGGCGCTATAATAATCCTCGCATTTGATATAGCGCTTTTTTCACGTCGGGAGGACGTCTCAAAGCGCTTCACAGAACACACTGTAAAGTGAATTGACTGTATACTTGTGGGCGAACGCGGCAGCCAATTGCGCACAGCAATGTCCCACAAACAGTCGTAGATTGAAAATGACCAATTTATTATTGTTTTTGGTATATCATATCCAAGGATTATCATTATCATTATTACCCACCTGCTGCAGCCAACGAATGCGGTTCTGTAGCTTGCCTTCCTCCAGGAACGTGCGGATTTCCGCGGAAATATTCATCCAGACTGTGGCGTAGTGTGTCACATTCCCGACAAAAGCAAAGGTTTCATTCGCCTGAGGGGGAAAGCAAAAGTCAAAAGCAAGGTTATTAATTCTCCAAGGAGGAGAGGAGAGGAAGAATGTTTTTAATGAATATTCACATTGCTTCCATTCGGCAACTCCTGAGGTTAGGAACCTGGTTTGTTGTGAGGTTGGGGGGGTGGGGGGGGAGGGGGGGGAGTTGGGGAAGATGAAGAGTGAATGCAGCTCTATGAATACACAGCGTTACAAAGGATGGAGAGAAGAGGCTGTGACTGCACTCTGATACAGTGAGAGCAAACGTGATGAGAAGACGGGTTCTATCGTTCACACCCAGTCAGCATCTGTGATTTGCTCAGCGCCCGTTTGGAGTGTGACTGAAACAGTGAGCTTGTGATTTATAACCGGCTGCATTTGTTGCAGCTCGCTCCTCCTGGACGAGCGAGTATTCGAGGGAGCTCATGATTCTGAGCCGCAGGTAGTTGCATTACACGCCTTGGGATTCGGCGAGCGCGAGAGTGCCGTTGCCTTGGTGACTGGTATCCACGGTGATGTGTTATCAGCCAGTTTCATGCAAATTAAGAGTCTGCGGCAGATTTTAGTGCTGAAGACGGAGGCACGAATATGTACGCATTCAGGAAAAACTTTAACGTTCATTATTAATAGCATTAACCAGTTTCCGAATCCCGTTTCGCATTCGGTTAATGGGATGGAGGTCATCGGTCTTTGAGATTTTGATTTGGATCGACTCAGACAGAGGAAAGAAAGTGCACTAACAGACAAAACCATTAAACAAGTGCTGTTCCTCCTCAAGTTCACACAAACCTTTCGAATCGCAAACTGATTGATCAACGATAAGGTTGATGCATTCTGTGCAAGCGAGTATTGCACAGAACCTCTCACCTCTCACCACCTAAACCGTGAACATCTTTTTATGACTAATATCAGATTGTCACAAGAATGTTATTGTAAATGCGAGTGTATCATCTTAACCCAGGAGCTACACACTGCACAGTTTAACACAGTCGTTGAAATATCCCCACGTTCCTCAATTTAAGGGGGAGAGGAAAGAATATAGCAACAAAAAGCACTTCAGCATCTAGTCATCTCAACCTGTTTGTGGTGCAAACAAGGGTTCAGGATAGGAAAGACAATTATTAACATTACTTTAGAAAATGGGAATGACACGATGCACTGTAATGACTTTTGATCATATTCCACATCCCCGTGTTCTTATTTTAATCAATGCCATTCAACCGAAAGCTCTGAACTTGGAGCGATTCAATGTCAATTTGGATTCAAGGGGCGATACTTTCCGCCTGTCAGTAAATCTACCAAATTTGAGTGTGAAGTGCACATTATTCCCCACATTTTTGACAAATTTACTTTGCTACGGTAGTATACAACAGCAAGAAATTACGCCTGTATAGCGCCCTTCATGACAGGAAGACGTCCCAGGGGGCTGTGAAAGCATACGCTTTCAACGGAACTTGAACAAAGTTTGGCAAGTTTACCCACAACAAGAAAAATTTGAAACCCCCCCACAAGGATTCAAGATGCAGAAAACGTCATTGAAAGCCTCTGAAATTCCATCGACAACACACCCTGGGGAAAAACTTACTGCAGAACGTAATTAGCACCTCAGCTTTATGCTGGAATCATTATCTTTAGAGGTTGTCGAGTTTCACGGGCCACACAGGAGCACACAGAAACTGCAAAAACATGATTAGTTATTGACCTGCTGAGATATCCCAGTGTTAGAGCAGAAACTGATTAGAAGATATTGGCAGAAGCTGGGGCTACCACCAATACTGTAGGTAATGAAGAGAATTGATCCCATTTGGATAGCAAACACCGAACGGAGGCTGGTCAAAAATCCATTGAGCACTATCCTTATTGACTGCGCCTGGAACCAGATGTTTGGTTTAACTTGGTTTTACTGACGCTTTGAGCAAAGACATGTTTGACTGCTTCCCAGTGCGATCAGTTTCAGGCAGGGTGAAACAACATGGCTTTATTACTCCACACTACCTGTACCATAACCCGGAAAAAAGTCATCAACACGATGAGAGAAAATTGTTCAGTGCGAGTACCAAAATACCTGAGCGTACACTCACCCATCCACAGACGTCACACTCGCACACAGGTAAACATACATATTCCTTTAATTGCTCTTAAGCTCTTAAGGAACATTAGCAATTTGCTGCATTTAAAAAAAACTGCTGTGAAAATTATGCAACTTTTATTCAATGTTTCTACCTCCCCCCATGATCTCGGTACTTAATGATTCTCACCAGGTTGTGAAGCTGTATTTATTCTGCTCCCGCACCACGCTCTTGTAAGGCTCGGGTCATCTCAAGGAACATACACATTGTAAACATGCTTGAAAGAGTAACTGTGCTTTTGTACATAAAATCTATTTTGTTCTGCGAACCGCAGAGAATCTAAAGAGCCTGTCAAGAGTTTTATTATGGCAATTAAGAAAAAGGCATCCTTTCGGAACCCAAGACCTAGAGTCTTTGCGCAGGAGAGCAATACAGGTGATTCCCTCAGTGTTAGAGGAATGTGCTATAAGCAATGATTAGACAAGCTGAGGACCTGAAAGAGATACGCTCAATTTTAAACAGGATGGAGAAAGCAAACCCAGAAAAATACTTTTAGATGCATTGAGACAGCAGAACAAGAGGAGGTGCAGGTTTAGAGTCTCAAAGGGCAATTTCAGGACACACAGCAGCATTTGTTTACCCAGAGGGTAATTAATGCCTCAAACAGGTTACCAGGAATGGTGGCTAAGGACGCTGGATTTATTTAAGAAACAACTTGATGCTGCGATGGGAGGCAGAATTCGTATTCTGGAGGGATGAGATCAAACAGGTTTCTGGCCTTCTTCATGAGACCCTTTTTTGCTAATTGGATTTCTCAACTATTGGAACTTAAAGTAACAACAAAATTACATTTGTACAGCGCCTTTCACGTCGGGAGGACGTTCCCAAGGCGCTGGACAATCAGTGTTTCGGACCCGAGCTGGGGATCGGGGCAAGGTAGGTGGAGGACAGGAAGGTAGGTGACAGAGGGCAATACACTAACCATAGAAGGTAATACGATAACCATAGAATGACACGTTAAATCACTTCCCCAACCGCCAGAGGAAACATGTTCTCTCTAAAGATTTATGATTTGCTCGAATAATTGGTGCCAGGCTGTAGCCTGAACCACTCTTCTCCAAGAGAACTCGAGGAAGACAGATGGCAGAATTGAGGAAAGAATCTGATTGTTGCACAACAATCCTTTCTTTGGAAAGAGAGCTGGGAATCAAATCCCCATCAGTGACCGGTTTCAGTAAGTTGTGTCGAAGATGCAACAGCAAGGCTACCAGGTTCTTACCTTCTGTATCACTTTGTCCACTTCTGTGCCCACAGGTGAGTACAGGATTTTGGGATTGCTGGTCATCAGGTGCACGAGCAGCCCCAGGTTACGTTGCTCCTTACTGGTGAAGCCCAGTGAGCTCATGTTTCCCTGCTTCAGTGCCTCAGGTTCGATAGTTCTGGGCCAAATCAGGAGAACTGAATGAGTACAAAAGGGCCAACTGGCTTCGAGCGAGAGAAGCATCGGCACAGAACACAACCGCAGTTTCATTAGAAGGGAAATGCATTTTCCGTGTTTTCATTTCCCCAACGACCTTTCCACACTGTGACAAGTTATAATTCAATTCTGGAGCCTTTTACCGGAAATTATTTGCTCGGAATATTACCTGATGTTGCCACACAAGATTGGCTGAAGTCCAGCCCAAAGCTGAACGAAAGCTGAAAACTGGCTGTGAGGATTCTCCTTCTGCTTTTGCTCCTCGTCTTCCTCGGATGTGGCATTGGGGGCCGTGAAGTTACTGCTCCAGCTGGTATTGTTGGGGGCTGTGGCTGGGTTCTTCCCGGCGCAGGCCCCCTTCGGGAGCAATTTAGCAAGTCCTGATAAGGCATCCACGTCTTTGAGGATTTTTTCCACTTCAATGAGGTCCTCAACCAAGGCTTTGAGGTGCTGCTGAACGGCTGTGCTGTTCACCTCATCCAACTTCAACTGCACAAAAAATTACAGGGAGAAATCAGTTCAATTAGACTTTGACAGGGGATGCCAGTTTATGTAACAATATCAGATGCTCAAGCAGAGAGATTTTTTTGTGACTGAATATACAGTATCAAGATAACTGTAGTGGGACTACTGTTCAGCGCACTCTCTAATCGACCATTCATCCAGTTCGCTTTTCGCTATGGATTTTATTCTCCTTGGAGAAAACAACCCCTTATTTATGTATCACGCAAAAGGACCAAAGCAAGAAAGCAAACCCAAACTAGAACGACCGTACCACAACGTAGCTCTGAGGACTCAATTGTAGATGCAGCACAAACTGCAACATTTAACTCAAGCCAACGGACTCCAATTGGAAAATGCCCCCAATTAAACTTCTGTACCAGCTGTTAATGATACAACGGCAGTGTTTGGCTACCAGCAACTGGAGCTGGTTTGAGCGATACGAGTGGCGTAATACACGCTTCATCACAACACAACACAAAAACCCAAAGGAGGATCTGGTGGGTACAAGCTGATAGCTCTTTGGAACGTTGAGCACAGTGTGCAGCAGCAGCAAGAAAGGCGAAGAGGATTTTAAGTTGTATGGCCAGAAGGTCATTGTGTGTAAGTTATAGAACGTATAATGGAGTTGTGCAATGTGGAAGCACAGCTCCACTCGGAATTGCACACAATCCTGTGAGCTATTGTCGTGGTCTCAAAGCCTGAGTTGGGAAGGAAAATGTGGAGTTTAGAAGATACGGAATACTTAAGGGTTGTTGGTCTGTGGAATATTTTTGGGTCTCACCTTATCGACCACTTTCTGTACGTCCACCTGGCTTTGAAGCTCGTGGGCAAGCTCTTGAAAATGTTCTTTCCGCACCTTTGCAGTCATGTTGCAAAGAGCTGCCCGGGAACTACTCAAGTTTGCCTTCTGGGACTCAGGGATCATCAGGATCTTTTGCAAGTTATCCTCCTCGTTCTTGCACGTCAGGTATTCCAACACGTTTGGTGTGAACAGAATATTCTGAAATTTAATACAATATATATCATCAGTTCGAGAGAAACACAGATTGTCTCTTGGCTCGAGTTGGAACTATGGGAGTCACAAGAGAATTTATTATACAATTTGCAAAACAATGTCCCTCCTACCCAATTAATGGGAGCCAACAGATATCATCAATTGGCCTAAGCGCTTATAATTCACTCCACGGCTTTAGTCGGACATTGCAGTGTGCAAATTAGCTGCCGCGTTCACCTAGAAAATGCCCAGTCGTTAAACTTTACAGTAAAACGCCATGTCCTCCCGACAGGAAATGCGCAACTTGAATCCAGGCAAAGATTATTTTATTAATGAAGATTGCTCTGGAGCTGACTGAAGCACTCGGGTCCTATCCCTCCAGTTTCATCAGTCCTCTGTCTTCACCTTTGTTGCACAACCTACCAGAGACTGCACCACGGTCTATTATTAGATAAAGGAAGCTGGAAATTGTTATGCAAGGCACAGGATTTATATAGGTTAATTCTGTCCAGGAGGCATTCAGTTCAAGCATTAGGGTAGGTGAGCTTGCAAATCAAAGATAATGAAAGCTAACTTTAGTGCAAAGGCCGCTGGAAAGATGGTCTTATTCTGATAGTTTTGAGTCACGATTTATATAGGTCAAACCTAACCAAATTCCACAGATTTAATATGCAAACCACTGTATCAGGGCTTCTTTTGGGACTGAAATGTCGACAGAACTCTCTCATAACGTGAGCCATTTCCTCCTCGTTCTCTTGAGCCGCGGGGGGGAATACGAGTAACTTATCCGTCGCTTGATTGTCCCTCAGGGCTCCACATTCCAGCAACGAGGAGAGTCTCGGAACTTCAAATGCCCTTGACCAACATTTCACCAATCCCCCCACCCAAAAAAAAATCTGTCACCAAACAGTTAGAATCCCGAAGCTCATTGGCAATGATGGAGATGGGTGACAAGTGGGTGACGGGCAGATTGGGAGGGGGTGGGGGGTGGGAGAGGCCCTTGTGAGCTGATAATAATAATAATAATCCTTAATAATAATAATCCTTGCATTTGATATAGCGCTTTTCACGTCGGGAGGACGTCCCAAAGCGCTTCACAGAATATACTGTAAAGTGAATTGACTGTATATTTGTGGGCGAACGCGGCAGCCAAATGCGCACAGCAATGTCCCACAAACAGTCATAGATAGAAAATGACCAATTTAATTATTGTTTTTTTTTTTTGGAGGGATTATTATTAGGCTCTTTGTGGAGTAAGGAAACTTGCCCAAGGTTTCGCCCTCTGCCTGGAATTGAACTCAGGTCTCTCACTTGCAAAGCGAGTGCTCTAACCACTGAGCTACAGGACTCCACACACACATAAACACACACAACCTGAAATCTTAGAAAGAACCATAAAACCTGCCAACGCTTCATGTATAATGTTTCTCTTTCTCACACGCGGATATATCCTAGGTTCATAAGGATTTCTTTTTCAAATACACCAACCATAAAACACACAAGCTCTCCGACAGGCTTTTTGAACAGCTCCCATAGATCATCACAGAGGATCATTAAATATCTATCTCAAACTCCAGAGAGGAACCATTTTGTCAACCCTCCACTGCTTTACCTCCATCTCTTGAACAAATGCCTGTGGGTCATAGCCGTCCCTGTTACTGCTGGGTCCTGTGAGGCCAAGTGACTGGGACACCAGGTGGAGGAGAGTCTGTCTGTGTGTCACACGTTCTGGGTCGCTCAGTGCTTGGTGAAGCAGTCCTCCTTCCAGCTTCCTCCAGCCTTCCAGCAGATGTTCCTGGAACAAAAGAGGTTTCGCTGTTACCGATTTTTGTCGCGAATTCAGAGGTCATTTCCTTCCCTCGTCTGAAAGGGGAGGCGTGGCTGTTCACTGAATTAATCCAAAGAAGGGGTCAAAACGGGATTATGAACCCTCCCTTCTCCATCAGACTCTGATCGACCAACTGCCAATCGTAGGTTTTCTGCCTTTGTTTCAGATTTCTCACAGCAGTCGTGAAACAAGGGTCACGCGATGAGGCGTGAACGAGATAAAATCACAGAAAAATGCAAGTGTTAAACGTTTATACGACATACACACATTTTCCATTTCAAAGGACTTTTCTTTATGCTAATTCAATACTCTTGAGAGAGAGAGAGAGAGAGAGAATCTGTAGGTTGTTCTCACCCAAAATCTCGCCAATAAATGCTTTAATCTGGAAATAACACTTAATTGCCGATATTTTAAACGCAGTTTGTGCCAAGTGGCTTTTTCTGATAAAATAAATCTTTTCCAAGAACCATATTGTTGGCACTCGTCGTAATTCAGCTCTTTTCCTGGAGGAAGCTGGATTTGAATGCATTGATTATGTTCTTGCCCAATATTCAAGGGTATTGACTTTCATATTTCACACTTCAGCAATTACTCTGAATCATATCTCCTGCCCCTCCCCCACCCCTCTTCCTCTCAAGATAAACTTAAAAGAAAATATTATTATGCGAAACTAGCTCTGGAGGAGAAATCACGGAGACACTGCGTGCAGTTTAGCTTCTTTCAACGATCTCGCCACAATTTGATTCGAAACAGTCACTTGAAAGGTACCAGGAACAAGGCAAAGCAAATGAATCATGGCTGCAGAGTAAGTGGTTCCTCTCGTAAATCATTTGCTGTTGTTTTGCCTGCCATGCTAAGGGTAACACTGACTCTTCATGTCTTTGTCAAACCCCATTATAAAGAGTGACCCAATTACCCAGGATCAATACTGCTGCTATACCTTTGTCAACCAGCCTCGATCTGTACAAGGTAATAAAAAAGCAATTCAAATAAAAATGAGATCAAAATAAAGGAATAATAGCACAGCCAAATAAATACCCAAATACTCTGTTCTTCACTCCCCCCCCCCCCCCACCCACAGTGTGCACGCACACACACACAGTTGTCACATCCTAATGGATTGCAAAAAATAAATAAATCCACTGGTCTTCAAGCAAGGTCAGTGTAGGACATCTTTCACTCTGGAGCAGCAAAGTACAATTTTTAATCCCATTTAAAGGAGGAGGAACGAGTAATACGGTGAAGGGACTCGTTTTATAAATAACCTTTGCATTTGATATAGTGCTTTTCACATCTTCTGGACGTCTCAAAGCGCTTCACAGAATATTCTGTCAAGTGAATTGACTGTATATTTGTGGGTGAAATGTGGCAGCCAATTGCACACAGCAGCGTCTCCACGAACAGTCGTGGATTGAAGTGACCAAGTTATTATTGTTTTTTTTTCTTGAGGGATTATTATCAGGCGTGTGGAGTAAGGAAACTTGCCCGAAGTTTCGCCCCTTGCCGGGAATTGAACCCGGGTCTCTCGCTTGCGAGGCGAGTGCTCTGACCACTGAGCTACAGGACTTGTCGGTTGAAGTTCTAATCAGAGTGAAATGACCCACAATCTTGCATTCAAGGCCATTGCCCTTCACCCACGGAATATCAAAATGGAACGGAAATGAAGAAGAGAAGCGGAGGACACAACAAAACCACAACAAGTTGAATCGTTCGGGGTGGGGGGAGGAATAACGTTTGCTGTTGTCTGACAACCAAATCCATAGTCTGAAAATGTAATTGCGTCTATCATGCTCCGATAAATCACCCGGGACCCAGAGACCAATGGGGAAGAGTAGACGTATCACATGCCGATGAATTGAAAAACAAAAATCCATCAATATGATTTCTTTTGTAACGGACAATCAATGTCGCAGTGGCCCTGCCGCCTCAGTGATTGCCCACACGGACACCAATAACACTGACTTACCTTTCCTCTCCCCCCCCCCCCCTCCCCACCCGATGTGATAAAACTTTTAAAGAGATAGCCCTCAAAACAAAATGATGAATTTCAGTCACATTTTCTCCCTTCCCTTCCTTTTTCGTGAAGGAAGTGGCCTCATGCCTGGGTATGGCCTGGCTCAGTCGGTAACACTCTGGCCTCCGAGTCAGAAGGTTGTAGGTTCGAGCCCCACGATGGGACTTTGAACTCACATTGTCCAGGCTGACACACCAGTGCAGTGCTGGGGCGGTGCTGCATTGATAGAGATGGCTTGCGTGAGTTAGGTTAAAGAGGGCACTGTCAAGAAGATAGTTTTTAAAGGCAATTTTAACATCACTTCTCTTAAGTTAAGTGGGCAAGTTCACGCAGGGTGATATTTCAAGAATTGATGACCAACTTTATTGCAAATAATATCTTGGCCTCTAAAAAGACCGAGGGGGAAATGGATTCTACTTTCTTGACCCCCACGGCGCTGCCTCGATAATAAGCGCAGCGTTCAGTAAACACTCTGTAAGGAAGTCGTTTTAATCAAGATAAACTCTACTTACTTCCAACCGAAGAAGTTTCTCTCCGGCACTGAATTCATCCCAGCTGTCACTGTACAGACCATTGTCCAGAGCGGGTGGAAATGAACCAAAGCAAAGTCTGAACACCTAGGAAAAGATCAATTCAAAGCCATGGAATTAACTGTAATAGGAATAACCTGAACAGGGTTTATTATTAATAATCCTTGCATTTAATATAGTTTCCAGTTGGGCGGACACCTCAAAGTGTTTTGCAGGTTTTCTGTGAAGTGCAGTCACTTTGTATTCTGCAGACGAACACAGCAGCCAATTTCCACACAGCAATGACCCACAAACAGCCACAAAATGAATGATCGATATTATCTGGGGGTGGGGGGGTTGTGATTGTTGGCCAGGATATCAGGAGTAATTCAGTCCCTTTAACCTCCACCTGGACCGGCAGATGGAATCTCGGTTGAAGGTGTCACCCAAAGGATTGCACATCCAACAATTCAGCATGCTCTTAGGCATTGCATTCGAGTGTCACCCTACACTACACAAATTTACTACTGTAGGGTGGCGGTTTGTGGCAAGTGGGTGAGATTAACACTTAATATTATCAATATGGAGGTGTTGACCGACTTTGCACCATTGTCACGTAGATTAGATACGGGATAACCGTTAGGTAGAACTTCAAGATCGCGACAGATAGACCGAGATCAAAATAAAACAACAGTAATCCTTGCATTTGAAATGGACCCCTGATCACATCTTCGCGACGTCTCAAAGCGCTTCACAGAGTATACACTGTAAAGTGGATTGGCTTCATTTGCAGATTTACAATATTACAATATTTTGTAGGTGAAAACGGATTGATACACAAATGTCACGTCAGCCAATTGCCTCCCATCCTATGGGATCGAACATTCAACAGATGGCACTCGACAAGTTGTCAAAATAAAAAAGCACAAACGTCCTATTTTCAGACTTCCTTACAGCTGTTTTTAAGTCAGGAAAGCGCCTAAGGAACCTCACACAGATACTTTGGCAAATGACTGGCGAGGCAGTGAGGAGCCTCGAGTCAATTTTCTCAATGCTCACAGAAACCAATGCGACCATAATCTTATGCAGCATCCAATTCTAAGTTTCCACCTACACCAAGGGAACCGAACACATGTTGCCGTCGTACGTGTTTCGTAACACGAGTTCTAACCTAAGGTGATGAAAAGTGTTGACATTTTTATGGAGTTGTCCACTCGCTGGTTCAACAAGGGTTAAGTCCCGTTTCGTGCGTTAAATTCAAGGAACAAGTCAGCTTCTCTCCGGGAGCGACACAGTAACCCACTGACCCAAACAATAGCTTCCATTTACTCAATGCAAATCTCCGCAGCAGTTATGACCCTGGTTCCATCTGAGCTAAGATCACAACTCCGCATTCGGATCAACAAATTACCTCACTGTCAACTTTCAAAAGGGGAAGCATTGTCTGACGGTAATTAGCCGGAAAACTTCACGCTGTTTGCGAAATGCGAGGTTTGTCAAACGTTTACGATTTGTAAATGATTATGTGCATCTTTTATTTATAATATTTATATTTATAACACACATGTTTATATTTGTAATTATAATATTCATAATCATAATAATTAATACAAATGATAATATTTATAACACAAATTACTATTATTATTATTATTATTTGCTGTCGGCAAAAATCTCTTGTGAAACAATACGTTTAGCAAAAGGAAGAAAATGATTTCGCCAGCTGAGATCGAAGAGATTGTGGCCTCATTGCTCAGGCTTCTGCCTCCCAGCTGGTTGGCAATTCCCTGCTGGAGGTCCACTTGGGCGCACAGGATCTGCTGTGAAGCCCTCCTGACTCCTGCAGTTGAACGACCTGACGATGCTCGTGCTAACCGGCTCACAGGTGGGTGAATAATGGCCCCTCAGCCAAGAGAAACCATTGGGGGCTTGGAGTGCGGGGGGTTAGGTGGGGGAAAGTAAGTGCGTAAATTACAGGAGGAAACCCATGTAGATGTGCGACACGAGGAGTGTGCAAAATGCTTATATTTTTGCTGCGGAAGCAACAACAGCAAGTGTAATGTTCTGGGTGCTGCCGGGAGAGTGATACCATTCTCCCAGCAGAACAGCTCTCTGCACCTGGCGACTGGTGTCAAGCACTTGCGTCCAAGGTTATTTTGTGCAAGCACAATGTCTTGTCTTCTCGGTGGCCTGCAAGCGACCGTCAAATGTTAGACGGCAGCGTTTCAATTATTTGCGATCGAGAACAATGGAAGAAACGATGGCCGGGGGTTAGAGGTGGGGGAGGGGGAGGAAACCCAATAAACCACATTATAACACAAAATGTTTTGAATCAGCTGGTGTTATGTGCCAAGGCCACTGCAGCCTCATTTCCCAGTACTTATGGATAGGCCAAGGAAGGATATCAGGTCAGGGAATGATGATACATACAAGGTCATCTCCCTACAAGTGCGTGTGCGGAACAGATCCGGTTCTGAATCAACGGAAAATATAACCGAATTAAAAAATAAAAAACACGCTATCAAACAAAATCATCTCGCATGCCCCTCCATGTCTCATCCGGCAGTTAGTAAGTATTAAAAGGGCTTTTGATTAGATTTCACAGATGACCTTGTGAATTGAGATCTATTTTGATTCATTCTGATAGTTCCTGCTGTCTTGAAACAGAGCAGCACCAGATTCAGGTCTGTCATTGCGATCAAACACTGGTCTCGTCAGCGCTTTGTCTTGCTGAGTGACACCTGGTGTATCTTGCTGCCAGCACCAGAAAAAAAGGAAATTAATTGGCGTTTCTTCAACTGGTTAGCGAGCCTGTGGTCACCTCTTGCTCACTCTGTTAGGTCCATCATGGATTCCAGAAATTTAAACCCACTCTACACTATTTCCTGTAACGCTCTTTGAGACGTCTCAACGACTCGATGAGGCGCTATATCAAAAGCAAAGATTGGTATTAATATTAATAAACCTTGACCAAAATCCTCCTTTGAATATCCTGCATTAAAATGTATTACGTGCTTCTGCAAATATCAGAATTACCGAAAAGATGGAAGGAAACATGGGTGTGGGTCTGAGTTTTAAAAAAAATAATTAAAAGATCAGAATTAGTGCATTCTAAATCTTTTGTCTGCATAATTGGCTGCCGTGTTTCGCCCACAAAATATACCGTCAATTCACTCTCCAGCATATTCTGTGAAGCGCTTTGAGACGTCTTGAAGATGTGATAAGGCGCTCTATCAAATGCAAGGAATATTATTTATTATTATCATGATAATCATCTGCACCGATGTGCCACTCAATTTTAAGTGGAATTTAACACCACAACAACAATTCTTGCACTCGATAATTTACCTCATTATCACATCAGCGAAATGTCTCAAAGCTCTTCCCAGCTTCAAAGCTGAATTTGAGCGGCTTCCAACATCAGGAGTTGGGGTACAGAAGTCCCCAATTCGCCCACCCCACTGGATCCTACCTGTTATTGTACCATACCACTCGCTCTATTATAATAATATTATTTATATTATTTATACATGGGTTTTAGCTCACTTGCAAAAATAAGTTCAGGCGTTTGAGAAGAGTTCAACGACCCGATAATTAACAACAGACTCGACTGTGAAACAGAGGAACTTCCAACTTCCCCACGGACTGATAATCATAACATTGGTTTGTCCGCCACACAATTCATAAAGGAATACAAAAAATCCACGAGAATACAATACCAATTACATTGTTAAAGTTCCTTCTGTCCGGGGATGGGGCATCAAAGCACGAAACACTCAAGAGGATAGAGATAATATTTGAGTTTTACAGTGAGATGCAAATCAAAACTGAAGATGACAATGCTCGGGAAGCTACTTTTATTGACCTTAATATTAAACTTGTAACTTTACGCCAGTACTGAGATAGCGAGAGAGAGAGAGAGAGAGACAGAGAGAGAGTCTATGTCCAGTCAAAACTAACAGAAATTTGGAGTGAAGGCAGGTTTTAAGGGTCTCACAGATATGTCAGCGTTACATTAGCAAAGCTTTGTTGGCTTTTGAGATCTCTCGGTAATTGGATTTTTCCTGTCTCTTCATAGCAGAGTGGGTTTTTTTAGTAATCAATTTGACAATGGTCCATTCTCAAGGGAATCGGTCAACACTGCCAACACAAGTCTCACCACTGCAGAACAGCATTGTTCCTTCGATCTGTGAATGCATTACAAGGAGGATCCCAGGAGCAAGATGCAACACAAGAGCACTGTGTAAAGCACAATTTACTCAAGCTTTTATTGTACCCCAACCACTTTAGCTGTGAGTGCAATAAACAAAGCCCCTTGTGGGTGGAATTTGGCAAATGTAAACCGCCACCAATTAGTGTATTACAGTTCTAATCTGTCAAGTGATCTAATGTCCTCAGACAATATCAATCATCCCGAATATAACCCTTAGCTCTCTTCGCACATCGACTGCCCAATACTTGAACTCTTAATAACATCCACCTTTCACATCTGTGATTGCTGATGTCGGAGTAAATATTTAACAATCTATAATGGTCTGGAATGTGCGTAAGAGAGATACAAGTGCCAAAAGTGCACCTCTGAGCTTGTATGCGCACCGGAGAATTTTTACAGCCTAGACAAACAAAACAAAATAATGTTCTGAATTCAAATGTAATGACCTTCGACGTTTCTTACGCGATCAAAGATTTAGGATTTGAAATCGTAGCTGCCACTTCTGTAAATAAAAAAAAACGCGATTCCATTTACTTTTCCTCCTTTAATAATAATAATGATCCTTGCAATTGATATAGCGCCTTATCACTTCATCAAGACGTCTCAAAGCGCTAAAAATCCTTTGCCAACGATCTTTAAATGCTTCCCACTATTCTTGTTTCTCTTGCTCACCGGTCTGTCTGCACATTTACCCCAACCTTCTCCTTCAGCGTGGCAGAAGGCAATCTAACCCATGAACATCTCCTACCGTTGTCCTATTTGTTCTGCGTCAGCGTGGCTCAGTTGGTTGCACTCTCCTCTAAGTTAGAAGGTTGTGGATTCAAGGCCAATGTCAGCCCTGACTAACAACCCTTGCATTCCACCCACCGGCTCGGGCCGCGGTTAGAAGAGTGAAACGAGAGCTTAGGAGTTTTGTTTTCCAGAGAGCTGTTGGAATGTGGAATGCCCTGCCCGGTGAGGTGGTAAAAGCAGAGTCCATTGTGGGTTTCAAGAGAGAAGTAGGCAAGTACATGAAGGACAGAGGCTTGGAAGCTCTTTGAGACGTCTGGGAGATGTGATAAGGTGCTATATCAAATGCAAGGCTTATTATTACTAATTGTGGACGCTCCCCTGTGTGCATTTTGACAGTCAGAAGAGAAACAGTTAAGGCAAACTGATTCCATTTATTTATAGGGCAATATAACATTTCAGGTTGATCAACGAGAACGTATGATTTTTTTTCATCCTCTCCCCTACCCCCCCCACCCCCGCCACACATTTCCACTGAAAGGGGAGATCGCAGGATAAATATTTGTCATTTAACCGTCTGCATTCGGTTTCCATTGACTGGGATTTCAAACTCACGTTGGCAAAGCTAACCGAGGCTGACATTGAGCCCGAGTCATCGTCAACTACATTAGAGACAGTCTGACCTGAACACAGACACAATTGTTTTCAGCGCTGTTGTCAGTAATGTAACCTTTTGCGGTGTTCTGTTTCCCCCATTGTACTCATTTATTGTCTACTTCACTCACGCAGTACGTCAGCCGGTTTCTTCCAAATGTACCAAAAGCATTCGATCAAAATGAACAAATATTTATGAAAAAATAATACTTCTGCACTGGCATTTCGTTCCGCCGCCTATTGTGAACATGGAAACGACAACAATAACAACAACTTGCTAACAAGGAAACAGGTGGGTGAACAGCGGGGATTTTTGGCTTGCGAGCTGCTAGTGGCCTTTTCAAGAAAACGCCTCTCTTTTACTACTTCCCTCCCCCCCCACCCCCCACACCAAACCCCCTCGTCTTACCTCCTTCATATTGACACTTGATCCCAGCAGAAGGCCAGCTGTTTCGTTGGACATGGAGAAGTTGTGTGTGAGAAAGTTTCGAAGTTCATCTCTGTCTTTCACAACTGACCCGAGAGTTAACCCTGAGGAAAGCGGGGGTCAAGGCAAAATGATTAGCAGCCGACCGTCAGTGCAACTGGAAAGAACAGAGTGCATTTCGCCCACAAAATACAGTCAATTACGCTTTACAGTGGATTCTGCGAAGGGCTTTGAGACGTCTCGAAGACATGATAAAGCGCTATATGAAATGCAAGGATAGTTATTGATGGTGAATGCCCGTTTCGCGGTTAACACAAACGAGCAAGGTCTTTGGGGCAGTGTTCCTTCCTGACCGCAGCTCTCTAAATTAGTGCAACTGGGAAAAATATCTAGCAAGCTGATGTTTACAGCACATCTCCCGGCTTCTACACATAAAGGAGGCAGCTGTATTAAAGAGCAACGTGCAAGTGACAGCTTGAGCGTCACTCCTGCGTTGTAACGTAACCGCTACCATAAAGGTTTAGTGACCCAAATATCGCAGAGATAGGGTTTAAACTGTGGTTGGTTGAAGAATGATTGTAAACCAATCTCATCTGTCATCCCCCCTCTCCTCCACCACCCACCAACCACCCCCAGATAAGTGAGAGGCACGTTATGTGTTTGGAGGGCACTCATGTGGAATACTGTAGTTATTTCAATGTCATTTTGCTGGAAGACTACAGTGCTCCTGCTGGGTTATCTCACAGCAAACCTTGAGCTGTCAGTTCAGATACTTCATGTATGGACTCCCGCTACCCAATTGCCTCAGACATCAGTATCTTGCCTACCAGAGCTCCTCCAAAGGCCTTTTAAGAATAATGAACGTCATCTGTCGGAACTTAGGGTTCAAAAGACCCAGTTTATGTTCTTGCACATCGGAACAATTCTTTACTTCAGTTTTATCATTGGGGGAAGCTTAATGGGACAGTACTAAGAGGTACTCCAAACGGGAAACGTATTGTTGTCTCACGTTTCATACCACAGCATTGTTGAATCGACTCAATAGACTTTTTTTTAAAAAGGGGGAACGTGTTTTTCATAGACAGCCTGTTGTTTTTAAGCCCTAACATGAAAGAACGCCCCATACTCTTCTCCACCGTACAGCCACACAATCTCATGGAGAAGGCTGGGCACAGGTATGTGAGCTGAGCTGGCAAAGGCTGACCAGTCAATGGGAGCAAAGGTAAAACAAAGGCCAGCACGAAGATGGACGATTTGCGATCGTAATTAATTGTGCTGTTGTTGTCTCGTGAAAAGCCGCCTTCAGAATTGCGTTGTAGCCCCAGTTTTACAGCCTGTCCTGATAATATGCAGCTCAATTATTTATGGACTGGGTAGTGTGCAAGAACAGAAGAGATGGAGCCACCATGAATTATTTATGGTTGGAGACTTGCCTGGGGAGATTTAATCAATCCTGAAGGCAAGGTGCAATAATGATTTTCATGGGGAGTGGGGAGGGGGAAGTGGATGGGGGCAGAGAGAGAGACAGGAGATCAGCCCCTCAGTAAACTAGTTTATACCTGTCACATAATAACGATCCTCAAGAGTTCAGCCATCACACCATAACATGAATGATCCTAGATATACTTGCAATTGCAAACGAATGACTACTTCAATGTGTGGCTTGCTCCAATCGGGTGTGAATACTGGGTTACACTGAGGGCCGGCTGTTGACTGCATTGGTTTACGTGCAGTGGGTCATAAAGAGCTCACCCAGTAAAATGCAGTCTTTTTACCATATCTCTACTGGCTGCTACGCCACGACCTCTCTTAACAGCAATATCCTATGATTGAATCATACCCAATTGACTGTGCCTTTTTAACCAAATATCCAAACAAGTAGATCATGGAATTATACAGCACAGAAGGAGGCCATTCGGCCCATCGTGCCCGTGCTGGCTCTTTGAAAGCGCTGTCCAAATTAGTCCCTCTCCCCTGCTCTCTCCCCGTAGCCCTGCAAATTTGTCCTCCTAAAACATCTTATCTACTTCCCTCTTGAAAGTTGCTATCGATTCTGCTTCCACCACCCTTTCAGGCAGCGCATTCCAGATCCGAACTACTCACTGTGTGAGAAATGATGAATCATATCAGAAATTCTCAAATCATATCTCACTCCCTTTAACTAACGTGCACTATCTCATTATGTACACATTTGTTTCTCTTCCTGCCCCCTCCCAACCCCCCAACATTTCCTTTTATATTTCTGCATATCCATTAAAATCCGTCTACCATTCCTTGACCTCCCGACTTAACGATTCCATGTCTTTCGGAATGCTATTGACCTCCCATCTTTTTCTCACCCGACCATCAGTAGTAAATTATACGATGCTACAGGAAAATCTATCTCTACCAAGAGTAACTGATGAACTTGCAGGAATCTAATGCCGGGTAAGTGGCCCTTACCTTGACTACTGTTAAAGTGATTTTCAACTGAGCTCGGATCGTTGCTCATCGATTCCAAATGGCGTCGCAGCGATTCCAGCTCTTCCTCAAGCCCTGGGCGATCGGGATCAAACAGATTGCTTTCCTCCACAACCTCATTGATTCGCTCAAGAAGCTGCGTGACCCTATGGAGAGACCAGGCAGTCAGGGGAAAAACGCCAGATGTGAATACCTATGACGTGCACAATACTCAACTCTCAACACAAATCTATATTTCATTGGGCGAGGATTCATATCTGCATTGATGAATAACTAAGGATGAAAAACATCTTTCAATCGACCCTTGCGGTTTCTGGACAAAATAGACTGGATTAACAGTGGCCACACACTTTGACGTAGATCAGATCTGCATTCCAGCAATTGCTGATTCGGTGCGTAGTGGCTGCTTTGCCACTTAAGCACACAAGTCTTTTTCACCTCTTTTGCCATCTTTTTTGACCATCTTTTGGTAATGTATTCCATACAGTGTGTGCTATTACTTTCTTCGGAGGTGTTCAGGCTTTTTGTGCATTAACCAGTTGTGTTTTGTACAGCTTCTCACTCTGTGACAGGGCGATTGGTGGACAATATTGTCAGCGGACAGCAAGGGAGGGAATATTAATGCAACGACTAACTGCTTTGTAACATTCACAGATTGGCCATACGTTTCATGCTTGGTGCACCATATGCCATCAGTCCCAAAATGAGAATCAAATTAGTCCTGGACTGTAAGTCAATTCTAATCTTCTCCTCCTCCAACAATCTGAACGTCACTTGCAAATGCTGACGTGTTCAAATCCACTGTAGTGACCAATAATCTCATCAACTGATGGCTCAATCATTTCTGAGCGTCAATCGCCAGACTTTAGTCTCTATGGCACACTGTTGATGGGAGTGCTGTGCAACTTGACATATAAACACTGCACATTTTACTGTGAGCTCTGCGATTGTTTAATGTATAAATTGCATCGCGCCTGGTCTATTTCCCGAGTTTGTAACGCAAAGTCTTTCAAATTCAGTGGCAATAAAAACGAACATTCTTCGCAAACAATAAACAACTTGAGCAGAGGTTAACCCCGCTGAATGGAGCAGTGACGTTCTCTATTGCATGCAAATTTTTATTGCTCTTTTTTTCCAGAAAGAAAAGTCATTATTAGCCCAAATTCACACACACCACAAAAATATGCAAACATTGCCTCGTTTAACAATCTTTATTCCGGTCGTTTGTGTTCATTTTGTGACCATTTTTCTCTTCATTGTTCGAACACCTTAGACATTGGTGATCACAGGAAGATCCTTACAGGGGAGAAAATTTTTATGTAAAAAAAAAGCTTTTTAATTTTTCTTAATAAAAATAATCAAAAAGCATTGATTTTGTTCAATCGATGGGTTTGGGAGCAACACGTTATCTTACCGCACTGCGGTGCCCTGAAATGATTGGTTTGACTTACGTTGAATTCGAATACTGGAGGAATCCAAACTCGTCCCTCTGACCATCGGGACACAGTGACTGCATCACAGGGAGAATCCCAGCGGATGTCAGCGGTGCAGCTGAGTAGAAGGCTGAAGAGGAGACAGCAAGGCAGACGGGAGCAAGGGAAAGGGGGTGGAGTGGGGGCGGTGTTGGGTTGAGGTGGGGGCGGGGAGGGGAGAGGTACAGTTCAAAGAGCAATTAAAGAGACATGTCAGTAAGGTCATCATCTTCATGCGTCACTGATGAATCCCTTTTGGAATCACAGGTCAAAGAGCGTGGATCAGAGGTCAAAAAGCTCATGGTATTCTCATTCTCTGATGGACTTTGTAACAGATTTGTTTGATTCATTGGGAGGGTTGTGGATCCTCGAACTTCGAGGTGGTTTCAGCTCACGCGATTGAATTCGTATTTATTTCTCACCAAAAAACTATGTGCAGCGCAGGGCTGTTCGCTTGTTGTGCGGTCTCGCACTGCGTGGAACCCACATGCAAGCGTGGTAACGGCAAGAAACATCTCTCTCTCTCGATTAGGCTGGACCTTCAGTGTAAATAATATGGCCACATGAGAAACTTAGAGACTTGTCAGTCGCACGCAACCCGAGTTCTGTCGACAATAATTGGGTGCAAACTGAGTCATTTATAGCCATAGCACAGGATTATTCCCAATCTGACTCAGTTTGCACCCAATTATTGTCTACAGGGGGACTGGGGAACAGGGCGACCGGGGTACAGGGGGACCGGGGTACAAGGGGACCAGAGTACTGAATCCGCACCAATGTAAACTTGACGCAAGTGCTTGTGCACTCGGTTCCGCTGTAAATCATGTGCCTTTACTAAATCACGTTGGCAGCCTCTGGCATGACTGCATCCAGCACATAAAATACTATTTTGCTGTCGGCCGCAATACGGAATCAGCATTTACTTCTGGCAGCTTTGGCAGCCACTTTGCTAATGGTGCTCAGGGAGTCGCAGTTGCAGATTAAGGTCAGGCTGTTAAAGGCTTATTCCTTCGCAACTGCCGCCGATATTTTTCCAAAAGGATGTTGATATTGCCCGATTACGAATCGCGCAATAGGGGTGACAGGAGGTGCAATCCCTAACAGGGTGAGTTCCTGATCCTGACTCAGCTCAAGTGAAGGGAGTTCACAAAGGAAAACTGTGCGACTCCCAATGTCGATGACGTGAGCTAAGAGACGGGAATAGGTCACAAGCCCACCTCACTTGAGGACACAAAGAACAGAACTTACGAGTTATTTTTCTCAGGGGGCTGGGGTGGTGGTGGTGGTGGGGGTTGGAGATGGGCATTAATCGAACACTCAGCTGGTCTTTGCAGATGCACAGTTTCATCAACCATTACATGCCAAATTAAGTTTAAAATATTTTCTAAATTCGCTCACGAGTAACCAAAAAGGATGATTTTAGCGCTGAGAAATCAACAGCACGGTGAATACGGTTTGTGGCATTTATTTTGCACCTTTTCATTAACCATGTGATCCTTTTGACCCCTGATCCACTTGGATTTCAAAGCATTAATGTGGCATAATTCGGTTGTGCGCAATTCTTGTCAAATTCCCGTGAGTCCGTTAGTAAAATGTACATCTTCCACACCTCTCGATCTTTTGTTTAGGCAATACGAATTAAGTAAGTGAAAGGAGGATGAAACTGAATGTTAGTGCATTCAGGAAAACAACAGATCAGCTCAGTCTTACATAATCTATCTCTGCAACATAAGCGAAGACAGAGACACGCTAACATCAATCGAAAGAATCAAAGGTAAGGGACGTTAATTCGACAGAAAAAAACAGACAGGAGCAAAACTTACACGTCAAAACCGCTGTCCTGACACTAGAACTAATACGTAGTATATTCAGCCATTGTAATTCTTGACTAATGAAGAGCTTGTGTCACTGACACATGGAAAGGCTTCGTAATTCATATACTCAGCTCCTTTGCCTGTACAGTACCAGCAATGCGGTACAATGAGTTGCGATACAATGAATTGTGCGATTATACTGTATACTGGACTCGGATTCTCTCCAGTGTGAGCGAGTTCAAATCGTCTCTCTCTTTCCCTTGTGAATTGGTCAATCGGTCAAGCAATCGGTCAAACGGACTATCGAGGCGTTAGTAAATCCCTTACGTGCTTGCTCAGAAAGGTCGCTAAAGTTCAGGGCTTTTTCCTGCGTAGTTTGCTCGTGCTCTCTCTCTCTCTCTCTTTCTCTATTGGTGAGACTTTTTCTCTTCATTTCGAAATACAAAGTTTTATTTAAATATTGTAATCAAATAATTAAAGGAACCGCATAATCCACTGACAATAACGAAATGAGAGTCATGTTTTTGCACTTAGCTTTGCCTCCTGCTGGGATAAGCCTATCGACTATCCTGAGCAACTCTTGGTGTTTATTACGACAGCGTCGGTCAACCCGCTGGTATGAAACGGTTTGTAATAAGCCACCGTCCACTGCTCTCAGCGGTCAGTCAACCTCACGAACCCTCGAGGGACCCGAAACGGCAAAACAAAAAAGAGTAGCACCAAATACGACTGTGCAAATCTTTCCCCCTCCCTCGTTCTGCTTCCAACCCCGTCTTTGTGACCCTGCGTGAAGAGCCCAGACAAAACGCAAGTTGCTGTTGTTGCAGCAAGCCTTCATCTCCACCGCTGACGAGAGCACAAAAAAGGGGGGTATTCACCGATACGTTTGAAGAACTGAGGGTAGCAGCTGTCCCATTAACAGGCAGGATCGCAGCCAAAAATCAGTACGGCTAATAAGCTTTCTCTGGGCACATTTCCCTTCTCCTCTCAAGTTGGGATCCATTTCCACAAACTGCCTTTCAGGACCACAAAAGGCCATTGTTCGCACGTGACAAAACATTTTCCACACGGTTCAGCTGTAAGGGGGCACGCACACGCACACGCACGCCCCTTACAAGGCTCGCGATACATAGCGATCAGGAACTGCATCCCTAACTCACTGCAGCTTCGCACACAATGGTCCCAGCTGGTTTTACTCCCATCGGCTTAGGTACTGACTGGCTTATTCTGCTTAGAAAACATCTCAAACCCTTTCATTCCATTGTCAGCTTGTAGCCGCTCACTCCCAGCTATCCAAACTTCACCGCTATATTTTCTCAGATCATCGCCCAGCACCACGAGCGAGACTGTTCTCCCTGCTGTTCACCCCCCCTCTCTCTCTCTCTCTCTCATGCCCCGGAGGTGACTTGCGCTCTTCAATCTGTCTCGCCCGACTCCGCTTTTAAATGCGACGAGTTTTAATCACCCCTTAAGTGTTCACAATAAAAGGCAACACTCAAAGGAACAACAAAGGCATACAATCTGTGCATTGGCCAACACGAGGCCTGCTTCAAGTCAACGACAACAGATGCCTGTAGCTCTCTTCCGTAGCATTGCCAGTAACATCCTTCCCCCTGCTGCAGCAGCAGGGAGACCGACCCACTGGCTGCTTTCAATCACTGCAAGGACTTGAGGTATGCACGATTAACGGCTAGATTTTCAAGCTAGAGCTACTTCAGACAATAAAATCATCTGTTACAGTGCCTCATCACATCATCTCAAAGTGCTTCGCGGGAAACGCTGCAAAATGGTGTGTATTTCAATAATAACAATAATAATCCTTGCACTTGATATAATAATAATAATAATAATCCGTGTGTTTGATATAGTGCCTTATCGCATTGTTGAGACATCTCAAAGCGCTTCGCAGAATATACGGTAAAGTGAACGAACTGTGTATTTTGTAGGCAAACAGCAAGATCTACTGATTGGTATTGACGTGCTCATCTAAATAGGCACGGCAAAGGAATTTCATGGTGTGTGTCAACTTGGCTCAGTTGGTAACATTCAGTCTGATGGACAGAAGGTTGAGTTTCCACGACACACACACACACCCCTCTTGGACTGCGTCTCTGACCACCTTCCCCCACTCAGTATCAGACTCCGCAACTGTTAGCGCTCCAAGAGACGCTATATAAATGCAAGTTGTCATTGTGTATTGATACCCCCTCAGTCCGTGACAAAATACGAGTTAATCACACGGCCCATGAATTCACTGACAATGTCACTCAAGGTACCACTGGGGGCTTAAAGAATGTTAGTTTGCTGCTGTTCAGGCTTTCGAGAATGCAATCCATTTCAATAAACAACATGCATATCAAATACCAGGGAAGTCTATAAATTAAGTACGTGGATTCTGTCAGCATTGTTCAAGGATTATAAGAAAGCCAGACACCTTTTGAGCTGCTTAAGTTGAGGACGGCAGTAAGGACTGAAGTCCATCTAAACCAACACTCATTTTGTAGTCCAGCAATATGGAGTTGCCATTAATATGCATTTATTCCCTCACGCAAGTCCAACCTATTGGGCAGCGACCATCATTAATGTATAAAAATCCAAACTTCAAAACCGTGTTTTCCTTCCAATTTCTGTTTAGTGCTTTGACAAGCAAACGCCTCCGACCAAAGACTTCCTGCGCTAATCATATTGAGTTCCAGTCGACGAAGCAGAAGGATTGGTTAGCCGCCACTGCCACAAATTCTTTCAAAATGGGTTTCTCCGATGAATTTAGGCGTTCCCTTGAAAATGTAATAAACTCGCTTGGCAGCTCGGTTTAAAATTGATGCCGATCTTGTGCCTGAAGACATGAGTGTAGCTGCATCTGTTGTGAAACTAAGTTTTGACATTGTGCCCCTTTACAGCCAAGTGCAGATGATTTATATAAATGGAGAAAATGCAATGAACCACTTGTGGGACAATACGGTTTACATCTCTACAGACTGGAAGAACTTGCCTCATTAATAACTTACTCACACTGCAATTCCCATCTGTGCAATTTAAAACACATAATTCCGAAGAAGCTATTTGCCTGACTAACTCTCCCCACTATTGTGCACACGGTCAGCTCGACGTTCAAAATGAAGGCTCGTGAACTCTTCAGTAAAGTTTACATTTATATCACCCTTTCACGTCGGAAGGATGTCTCAAAGCCGCTTTCCACTGCTGGCTGGTCAGACAGAACTGGGGGTGGGAACTGGAAGGCGACTAAAATCGTGGTCAAAGAGGAAAGTTTTGAGGT